AAAAAAAACAGAGTTTTTTCTTGTCTATCAAATAGATAAAAAGACATTAAATAATTGAATAAATCAAATATGAAAAAAGTATATCGATGAATTGTATATGCTAGGTGTTATTTATCCTTTATTCTCTCATATATCTAAAGAAAGAGAATCAGAAGTGACTTACAACATGTTAGTACAGCTATTTACATATGCATGCGGAGAGAACCAAGAGATAAATGATGAATAGTTCAGAATCTGTCATAGATATCGTCCCTATCTTATACTTACAGTCACATCCTTACCCTTCAGTGTAAAAGATATCTTATTTAGAAGAAAGTATTGAGATGATCAGTTAATTAAAACAAAATTTCGAAGCTATCAATAATAACAGAATAATATGATATATTATCAGAGATGTTTTCCTAAATATATATAATAATCTTGTTCTTCTTTAGTAATAAAACAATTGGAATAATTAAATTTTGTTTTCTGTTGATCGATAATCTCTTTCTTTAATATGTAAATTATGGAATTGTTTCATATGTTTCAAAATTAAAATAATAAGATCAAGTTTTGATTGAATTAATAATAATAAATATGTACATTTTGAAGTAAAAATACACAAAATATCAATAAGTCTATTTTTACTGAAACATCGAGATAAATTAATCGCAGAATGAAATTTTAAATAACGAATTTTATTTGATAATTGATTACATATAAAAGCATTATTTTAATTATTTGTCAATATTTCTAATAAATTATTATTCACTACTAATGAATATAGATCAGATGTATTTTTTATACATAATTTATTTGCAAACATATATATGTCATCATCATCATTGTCAATATTTTTTTGTTTTGTGCTTTAGTTTCTGAACTAAACTGACTGAAATTTTAAGAGAATGAGTAATGTATATTGAACTCAGATGTATAAGTCTATTAGAAGTTTAAAGAAATAAAATATATTGTTGACTCATTTGATTGTCTTTTTTATTATAACTCGACGGCTCGTTTGGATATATGCTATAAGTAAAGGAAATATCCTACATCCACATACACCCACTCTCATCATAATGTAGAAATATTTGGTATAATAAGCATTTATTCTATTAAAAATTATACTCGATAATATAAAAAAAGAATTGATATTTGTTTTATAAGATTTGAAAAGTAAAGAAATTCGAATTCAGTAACTTGAAGTTCAATAAAACGTTCAAAATGACATATTTTGTAATGAAAAAGAATTAAACTTGTACAATGACTTTATTTCTCTTAATGAGTCTGGCCAATTTGAAAGCGAATATGACAATAATTATCTACAATGGAATCGAAATACAGTATTAACAGAAATAAAAGAGATCGAATACTTACTGTCAAAATGAAAGCACTAATAAATACAGCAAAATAAATGAATATATATATCGAAAATCGAACCATCACGCCTTTTATGGCAGCTGCGTCAACAGAAGGTCGAATAGTTGAGTTGTCATTAACTGAGTTTGCAGCACTGAAAGCAACGCCTACAATGGCTAAAACTGCTACATCACCTAGGAAAAGCCATAAAAATCCAATACCCATACAAACAAGGATGATCATACCCAACCAAGCGAACTATAGATGAAAAACAAAGATCAGTTTTAATTCCAACACTTCATTGTTTTTTTCAATTTTGTGTAACTATTTACTACAATTTTGATATACATACGTCTGTACTATACAAATAAGAGTTACGTTTTAGTAATAAAGCCTAACTTCTACAATTTTCTTTAAATGAAAAATAACATTCACTATTTCAAAATTGATTAGTAAAATCTTATTAAAACAAACTGTATCAAATTTTGTGTCAAATATTTTTTTATACAATTTATATTGAAAGACAATCAAATAACATTACATACCACACGTAAGCCTATTTCAGAATATTTATAACTGACCAATAATCCAAAGCCATCGAAAGCAATTGATACAATAGGGATAGCAACTATTGTATTTGTTTGTAAATTTCCTGTATAGTTCACGTTTTGAACAAATGAGTTGACCAAAGAAAGACCCTGCAAAATTTATTATTCATAATCAATAAATAATCAAATACTTTAAATATACAATCAATATCAAATGTTTCTACACAAAGAAAAATATTCATAGTCGGAGAGGAGAAACCTTGAGAAGGTTAGTTTTTTTTTATCAACGATTATGCTCTACGTATTTTCAGAATCTTGAATAAAAATATTCAGTTTTAATTGCGTATGATTTTATCTGTTTAATCTAATGTTTTCAGTAAAATAGTTTCGAAATATTACAGAATTCTACATGAAATAGAAGCGTATGATTTAGAGATTGTTCATCATCATTTTTAAGTTATTAATAAAAAACAGTGATATAAACTTACAAGAGAAATACCAAGCATAATGAGGAGAATTTTACGGGATCGTTGTAATTGAGGATCTTTAACTAGAGCCAGTGGTTTCGTAGTAGGGGTAACAGGATTATTCGTCACAACCATGTTTTCGGTTCCTAGTTTGTGCTGCATATGAATACTGTGCAAGTATTTAGTTAAGTGAATACACGTACGAGAATATGGTTTTAAATAGAATAGGAGTAACTAATATTATAAAAAAGAAAAGTTAAGAAAGAGAAATGCAATAAATTATGTATTGGGTATGGATAGAGAGAAGATGAACCCACTTCGACATTGACACGCATACGTTAAGTCTTCTGTTTGTCGGAAGTAAACGAAAATATCAAGAAACAAGATAAGAAATTTGTCCTCTCATATGACAGAAGAGAAAGATCTGGACAAACAATATGATCGTTTATGTAAAAAATAGGAGAGAGGAAAGAAAATAAAAGGACAGAAGAAGATATATCGTAAAAGATTATCGAAAAAGTATCATACTATACAAGAAATAAAATAATAGAACCATCGAGGATGACCTCGATAGCACGTCTCTCTCTTGAAGATGAACGTCCTCGTTCGTCTTAACGTAAGAAATAAAAAGGAAAAGAGAGAGAAACGTCACACAAAAAGTTGCCTCTACTGAAACGAGGGTGTTACGCAGAGTGCACTAAGTACGTCCGTTCGTTCGTGCACTCTGATTGATTAATTAAAACTTCTAATCCGATGTTGCTATACGGGTTCATCAAAGGGTTTTTGGGGTCGAGGAAATCAAATCTAATGTTAGTTTTTCAGAATTTTTCGGACCAATTTTTTTACATAACGGACTACTTTTTAACAAAAAAGGTTTTTTTTATAAAACCTGACTGAACGGTTATTAAGATCGTGGAAGTCAAATTTGAAGTCGGTTTTTGAAATTGTTTGAATAAATAGTTTGCTAGTAGCGGAGACCCATCGTTTCTACGAGAAAGAGCTGAGCGAGTCTCCAGGCGAGCGTTATTTATTGTATTGCATATCACGGTAAGTTCGTTTGTCTGTGTTTCATTGGAGTTGTGCTAAACTTGTTAATCATGTTTAGTCGTGAGGTATGTGGATTAATTTCATAACATTTCCATGTACTTATCTGCTATAATCATGGTGTTACAATTGAATTGTATACGTAACTGATCAGAGAATATTAGTTATACGAGACTAATCTTCAAAAAATCTATTTAATCTTATCATTCCTTACAGCAGGTTTTGCTAAAACCAATTGACTTATTGTGTACCGCGTGTTTGGTCGATGAAGATCATAACGTTCTTTGTTTAGCTCTTGCTATCATTGAATATTATTTCGAACTTGTTGAATGATGAGTGAACGATATTTACGGAACTGATTATAATAATCATTTGATCTTGTGAACTGAAGCATCGACTGAGGTTTGTGCGATGTTGTCCAACATTGTATGCGTATATTGTTGGTAGTATATATTGATCCCAATTGTCACGATTCAGATCCTGTAAATTACACAGTTGGTATTCGATTGTCACATTGAATCGTTCGATAATTCCATTAGTTTGTGAGTCATATGCTGTGGAGAATATGTGATTAATGACAATGTCCCTTGTGATCGCTTGCATTAGATGATTGTTGAAATGATAATCTTGATCACTAAGGATGTGTTTAGAAACATGACCACATCTAAATATAATATCTTTAATAACGAACTTCGCTGCTTTAGATGCAGTTGCTGTTAATACAGGCTTTGCAATGACAAACTTTAATGAATGATCGTTACATGTAATTACATATCTATTATCATTACTAATTATTTTATGTGTAGGTTCCCAAAGTCCGTACAATCATATCAAATATTTCAGTTGGTGGTTTACAACGAAGTATACTATATCGTGCGCACAAAAAGCACTGTTTTACACATTGTTTGATATCTTTGACTGTATTAGGTCAATAATAATTATGTTTCAATTTATGATACGTCCTATCTGATCCATAATGCGTTGATGTTATGTTCATGTGGACTAAGTCTGGTGAATACAGTATCCACATCCACCCCCAAGACCACCTTCTCAAACGAATATGGAAAAGTTTTAGTTGAATATGGTGCCAACTTCACCTATATGCTGTGAATTTAATCCATTTATTCTCATCTCAACCATGTGTGAATATATTTCGAGATTCTTGTGTTTTATTAAGTACGTATTCCGTCAGAATCAACTTCACAATGAAACAATTCCTTAGAAAAATTGACAAACTTAAGACTTTAATGGGGTCAAAACAATGCGAATTAAATAATAAGCATAAAAAAATAGTTTTTGCTATCCGTCACAAAATAAAACAACATATTGTTCCAACAGAAAAAGACATCAACAAATGTAAAAAAAGTTCTTTGTGAACCTTATAAAGTGGCACAGAAAATGTTGATATTAGTGGAAATGAACGTTCACTTGATAATAAAATCTATTCAAATGTCGAAAAATCTTCACAAATGACAAAAATATTGCTCAAGTTAAATAATTTAATTAAGGTAGGGATTCTTATTATCGATGAATCTGATGATGTAGATGAAGATGACGTCAATGAGACATAAAAGTATCAAAAGAAGGTGACACGCAGATGATAAATCTGGATGTCAAGAGGGGGCGTAGATTAGGAATATAAATGTCAAGAATATGACGCAGAAGCTGATATTTAAGATATTTTCAGAGAAGATGATGTTGAAGAAGGAAATATTGAAGATAGCATTCATACAGATAATATTAGAGAATCAATCGTCAACAGTTATGATCATTTCTATAAGTGCATATTTAATTATTGATATGCACCAAGTACGAGTTTTCGAAAGATACTTTTTGTCATTGAAATGGTGATAAAGAATATATTGTAGATTCCTACTTACATGGCTTCGTTTAATAATGAAAAACATTTAAATAATTAAATACTGGAACAAAGCTATTATCTCGATAGATAAAGTGGTACGAGCTCTAATTTTAGCTTAAAGCAGAGCACAACGCTAATATTTTCACTCAAATTATAAGAACAACTCCTTTTTTTTTTATAAAATGTTAATTTCTAGTTTATTTTAGGATTTCGACTATTAAAATCAATTTCACAGCAAGTCGGTATTTACAAGATAGATGAGCTTGATTATCTTGTGCTCATCTTCATACTAAATACGTTATTTATCATGTATAAAACTTTAAATTATGTAGATACTTTTGTATTAGTAATTTGTTCAGTTGTCTAAGCGTTCATTTTCTTTCGAATAAATAAATGATGAACTTGTCTTTTCGTTTTTGAAAGTAGATTATGTATATACATACTTCGATCACTTGCATTTGATATGTTAATTATTGAAAAAACTTGATTACTATTTGTTTTCAACAACTAATTTTTTAATCGTGAATAATAAATTTAAAAGATACCAACATATACAACTAATGTTATTCTTCTAGAGCATATTGCAAAATTTATTAATATAACAATGTTTATAATTATTCAAGAGGATGAGAAAACATTGTTGATATGATTTTGTGAAACAGTTTTACATCTTAACTCATGTTCCTGATTTTTTTGACATACTCTATAGTTCATTTTATCTTACTATTTACAATTCACTGCCATGCAAAAATTGATCAAAATGAACAGATAAACAACCAGCTATATAAACGAATGTCAAGAAAGGTCAGGTCATATGAAGAATATACGGTATAGAAAGAAAGAAGGAAAGAAAAAATGTTTTTTTTTCTAAATGTAGAAGAAATATAATATCGACAACGGAGTAGACGGAACATTATCAAATTGTAATCGAGTATGCGCATATTCATTACCGCTTAGCTGATAAAATTGAGTAAAAGACATTCAAGAAATTTTTCTACGACCCGAGAATAATTGCGAGCTTTATCAAAAGAGATAAACTCTTTTTCGTTGAATAACAGTATAAGAGATTGTCAAAGGCATCTAATTAAATTGTATTACAGTCGTATTGTTACTTGTCTACAACTTGTAAAATAATGATACTTTGGTAAGTTGAATCTCGATTATAATTTTTTGAAATAAAATCGTTTGCAATAGAAATAACATTTCGCAATCCAACTGGGTGAGGTGAATGTCGGTGTGGATGTGAGTAAAGAAAAAATGAATCCACATCGACACCTACACCCACTCTCGAAATGGTTGCATTTTAGAGCTAAATACATCGTGTAAGAACAAAATATTGATCTATTGCAATGACATGTATTGTTATCACTTAAGATTCTAAATTCAACACACTTCCTTGCTAACCCGTCTTCTTTTTTTTTGTAGTAATTCTTCTATGATAAACTGTACCACAGAAGCAACGAACACCATTCTCTATTTAAATAGCTTGAAGACGTTTTTCTCACGTTACGTTGGTATAAGTTTTTATGGAATCGGACTCGTCGGTGGCCTACTAAACATATATGTGTTTTCACAATCAGCACTTCGTTCAAATCCATGCTGTTTATTCTTGTTAGCTCTCAGTATTGTTGATCTCTTGTATATTCATAATACTCTTCTCATTCGCGTTCTCCGCGTTGGTTTTCAATGGAATCCGATGGTTATTTTTCCATTCGTATGCCAATTGCGATACTATATTGTTTATGTACTCATCACACTCAACACGATACTTCTTATCTTTGCATCGTGTGAACGATATGCATCGACACACAAGCGACGCAGTCATTGGCGTCAGTTTAGCAAACCTATGACTGTGTGCTATACTATTCTCATCTGTACAATCCTTTGCTGTTTAGTATGCTTATTTGTACCTTTTTGCTATAGTGTTAGCAAGGCTTCTGAATGTATAGTTCATAATTCCATATGTACAACGCTCACTGTTGTCTACACGTCCATAGTAGGTGGATTTATACCACCAGTCTTCACCGCAATATTTACTTGGCTCACTTTACGTAATTTACGTATCATACGTCATCGATCGCGAACAGGACCGATTTCCTACAAAACATATTTACGCATCAAAGATGCAAATCAACAGCTCACATCAATGCTCTTTATGGATATAGTTGCCATGTTGATTAGCAGCGTACCCTATGCTTCGCTTAAGATCTATCAGTTAAATACTCACCACATAAACAAAACTTCGGTGCGAATAGCATGGGAACAGCTGATCTCAGAAGCAATTCATCTGCTTATTTATGTCAACTACTTGTGCTCTGCTTACATTTACTTGGCTACCTCACCAATGTATAGAAAACATTTAGTATTAAGAAAGAAACTATCTCACGTACCAATTGTAATAGGTAATGAGTTTGTCACCAATATCTTCAAGTCACGAAATCGAACAAAAAATGAAAAGACATTTCTTTCAATACCAACTAATAGCTCCAAAGTTATCAAACAACGTCGTCCCACCATTATATCGTTGTACATGACGTCATATAGCAAGAATTGTTCAACAGCGATTACATCATGATCAATGTGCTACAAGCCGATACTGTACAGCTTTAAGTGAAACTATCGCAATCAGAAATTAACGTATATGGTTATGAGTGTGGGTATGTCTACTCCTAATCAAAATCAACATTTACACTTACACTGATACAATAATATAAGGAAAAATTTTAGTAGTGGTCTTTATAATAAACTGATTGAATTTACGAAAACAAGTTCTACTGAATCAAGTTGTATTCCAACGGTTAAAATAATATCAAAATGTTCTTTTCCAATAAAGACTTATATTATATTTTTTTAATAATTATAACTTTTATTCAACATGTACATATTTTTATATATCAGGAGCGCACGAGTAGAAAATGAATAAAAGAAATATGTAATAGATTAATTAATAATGTACAATCTTGGTAATAAATATATCATAACATTTGGTATATAAATACTCTTTGATATTATAACTAGAATAATCTTTTATTAATATTCAATATATTCTAGAACATTATTCTTGAAGTGAACACGATATTTGTAATTAATATATAACTCTGTAGATTTTATTTATACATCTTTTTTTCTTTCGGTCGACGTAACCTTTATATACTCTACAGCGTAAAATTTGAGAATCTCGAAAATAAATAGAATCATTTTTCATGACAACATAGTTCCTATGTTAATTAAAACAAGTAACGCTCGTCACGAGACTCGCTTAACTCTTTCTCGTAGAAATGCATCCTCTCCACATTTACTGGACTCTTCTCTACGAGAAAGAGAACTGTTGATTAAAAATATAAATTTGTTTTTTTTTGTCAATAAGTTTATTGAAGTGATAACGAATAATTTTTAAAAGACAACAAAAAAAGCTTGATTTCTATTAGACAACATTTAGACATAAAGATAAAATATTTTCTTAATAAATTCAATGTTTATTATTGTTTAGAAAAATATTTTGAATTATTTTAAATAATATTTAATTATGAGTTGGATGTATTTGTGTACTAGGATGATTAAGATGTTTGAGAAGATTTTTTTTAATTTTATTTGTAGCTAAAATAGTTAATATACCAATTAAAATTAAACATATTGCTGTTACAAAACCAATAATAGGACATGTTAAATAATTTAAATCACCATTAATGAAATCAAATATTACAAATATTATTGTTGGAAAACGTAATATTATTAACATTAATACACATACTATAATACGTTTAATAGCTGTTAAATCTCTTAAATTTCTTTGACGTTCTTGGATTCGAATTATTGTTGGTGAACGAATATGATTTGTTATTAATATATATATCATTATTATTGTAAATAATGGAATTAAATATAAAAATAGAATTAAATAAAATGAACCAATTATATTTGTATATGGAATAAGACAATGTTTTTCAGTTGGTAAATGGATATACCATTTTAAAAAATATGTTGGTAAAATTAATAATATTATTAATAACCATTGAATTAATATTAATAATTTATATAAATTATATGATAAAAGATTTCTTTTATTATAATAAATAACTCGAATTAAACGATAAAATGCATGTAAACAATAACTATAATAAATTGAACATTCAAATATATCATAAAGTAAACCACATATAGAACAAATATTTATATGGATTAACCGAAACTTATGAAATAAATTTGAACTAATCATTATTATTATTATTAATGATGTTAAAAATGCTGAAAAACATGTATTTAATATCAATAATATTGATGCATCTTTTGATCTTTGTTCATGAATTATTTCAATAAAAATTAAAAATATAAAAACAAATATCATTAGACTTATTAATGATAAAAACCAATTTACAATTCCAAATACTAATGAATATATAAACATTTTTATTCTAAAAATATTTCATTAACATTTTTATTCAATTACATAATCAATCAAGGGTGTGAGTATGAAACAATATTAGAATCCACACCCACCCTTCATAATATCAATAATGGAAATACTTGAAAATCTTCTCATAAGTGAATATATCTAGGATAATGCAAAAGAAAAGTCATGACATATACTTTTTAATTATTCATTACTTTTCTTTAAATAAACAGATCGTATTTTACTATTTCATAAAATTTAATATATATATGGGTATTTCTTGTAAAAATTAGTTTAAAAGAACAGATGTAATACAAGATTATAAAAAATAATTAATAGATAGAGAAGGTATTTGATATATTTTATGTTTAATCTTATTCAAATGATATTCTCATACTAAACAAACTTTTAGTACATTCTAATAATAGTGATAATATAGTTATTCTAGTAAATATGTCATTACAAATGATATTCTAAAAAAAGTAATAATAAGAACAAGAATACTTTGGGTATTTTGTTATATGAAAATGATACGAAGTCCACAAAACCTAGATTCAAATTTCTATTAATATCATTTAAACATATAATTAAAACAGGTAGTTCTCATTATATTATTAGATAGTTTCTAGAACAAATTGATTAAAATATTGAAGGATTTCGTTGAAAATCATTCAAAATTGTTATCGTCTCAGAGATCACTAAAATAACTGTTGATTAATAAAAATACTGAACGCTTTCTTTTTTCCTACTATAATCCACAAACTATGGTTAGATGTAATTTTATTGATTAAATTCAATAGATCTATTCATGAATTTATAAAGGAACTATATAAGTTTTAATTTCATTATTATTTTATCACTGAAATAGATCATTTACTACGCACAAATTATTTTCAATTCGTTTTTTAAAGTCATTTTTCTAATGCTAGTAATTTTGGCACTAAAATATTGTATCATTTACCTGACTTTTGTTAGTTGTGGTAAGAATCTTCAAATACAAATAATTATATAGAACGTTATTGCTGATTCTATAAATGTTGTTGTATAGTTAAAGATAGAACTATGATAACCTTAATATGAGAAGAAACGTCTAGCATATGAATGTTTCTCATTTTCAGACAGATACTCCTCCTTTATAAAAATAGATTTCTCTTTTTTCTACTAATCTCTCTCTTTTATTAATTTCATTTTAAAATTCAGTAAATATTACATCTGAGGGTAGGTACGGGTATAATTGTGCTTAGCCATACCCACATCCTTATAGTATCAGTGACGGCGGAGTTTTGAGGCTTAGCCTCACTTATTTTTGGATTCAATATTATCTTTTATTATTAGAATTTGTTATGTTCGGCATCTAACATATCTATCTTATAATATGGTTTACCTATTTTTTATATATTTTTCTTTAATCTATTCTTTTATCACGTAGGTGTCGCATACAACTTATGTATATATATATCATGTATTTTTTTCTTTTCTTTTACTTGGATATTTTCCTTCTGTATATGTTGTTGAGGTATTTTTCCTCTTTTATTACATGTTTTCTTGTCCGTATGTTTAGTTTTTCTCTATTTCATCTATATATGTTTTATTCCCAGAACGTTTGTTTTTTTTCTAAGCGCGTATGCACACATACACATATATATGTATATTATTGCGTCAATAAAGAAGTAGCTCAGTAGTGATCGGGTTGATTTACATCCTCTTTACAGTGTATTTAATGGCTAAAAGACGTCCAAACATTCATTCATTTTTCTTTTTGACACATATATACAAAGAAAAGTTTCTTTTCAAATTTTACATCGAAGAACGAACAGAGAAAGTTATTTTTTTGGTACGTTCGGATTGATTTTGTTTTCACAATGACCATTGTAGTTTTTATTGAGGTCTTATAAAAGGAAGATTTATATTTTGCTTCATGTAAAAAAAAATATTATGAGCGCCACTTACGTCAATGACACTCCGCCGCCACTGTATAGAATAGAGTCAATTTTCAAAATCAATTATATTTATTCCATTGTGAAGGATGTCTTTTTTAAATAATCAATGTATCTCAAGCACATTTCAGTTATTCAAAATATAATGTATTCTCTTGTATGAATGATTAAACAAAGAAAATCGACAATTTTATTCAGAAAAAAAATACGAGTATATATATATATATATATGTGGAATGTATAAAGAGAAGAATTCGTCGAGAAGTTTTTTCTCTTTATCAAACTCATAGAGAATGGATCGAGGTCCATAAAAGGTCATACAGTAACACAAATACTAGACACACGTGGGAGAAGAGACAAATATATGAAGGAAAAGAAAGAAATACACATGAGAGAAAGATATAACTAAGTTATACTAATACTATTAAGATAAAATCGAAATTTTCTTCAAATAATTTAACAGTAAAATAAATAAAACTAATACGAATTTCTCTTATGGATGATATTGATTTAGCTGATACTATCTTTCGAATGAATACATCATTGAACGAATGTAAATTTCATCTATTATTAATAAACAACTAAAACAAGCTTTTTAACTTGTGAATATTACTTTACATATACGAAACCATCATTATATCAAAGTACTTCTTTTAAGTTTCAATATTTCTTTAAAATAATAGAATTAAATTTTATTATAATTTTTTTGTTTTTATATGATGAAAATAAAAATAGATTGACAAACAAACTATGTTAACATGAAATAATAAAAAAAAGAACATTATAATAAAAACATTTGCCAGGGTTATAGACAGACATTTTTTCTCATGTTTGTTCTATAAAAAAATTTTGAATTACAAGTGAAAAGCAGCAAAAGGTTTCGTCAAGCAAGTTATGTTTTTTTGTTCTACTCATTTTATTTTTTTTTCTTCTTTTGTACTGTTTCTACAATATCTGGCGCCTTTTACCACAATCGATAATCATACGTTATATGTGTTCTTTTTTCTTTATTTTTCTACATGTTAATTTCATAGCCCATCGACTGAAAACATTTGTTATTTTACATCATCATTATAAATTGATGGGTATGTCAAGTTCACTCTTTTTTTTCTTCAGATAAATAATGACTATGATAGATGGAAATAATAAATTATGGAATGCTCGAACAGCTGGTATTGTTCCACATGATAATATTTATTATGGAAAATGTTTAATTGGTGGTGCACTTGCATGTGGTTCAACACATTTATTTATAACACCACTTGATGTAGCTAAATGTAATATGCAGGTTAATTAAATTAAAATATTTAATTGAACGAGATAGAAGAAGAAAAAAAATATATATTTTTAGGTTGATCCAGGAAAATATAAAAACTTATTTGGTACTGTTAGAACACTTATAAATAAAGAAGGTAGTCGAGGAATATGGAAAGGATGGGAACCAACAATTTTAGGTTATTCACCTCAAGGTGCTTTAAAATTTGGTCTTTATGAAGTTTTTAAAGATGCTATATCGAATTTTGTTGGTTATGATTATGCACAAAAATATCGTGGATTAATTTGGCTTGGTGGAGCTGCAGCAGCTGAATTTTGTGGTTGTCTGGCATTATGTCCAATGGAAATGGTTAAAGTTAAAGTTCAAACAAGTCCACCAGGTACATTTCCAACAGGATTAATACCAGCAACAATTGCAATGAATAAAAATAGAAAAACAACACGTTTTCCATATGGATCAATTGTACCATTATGGTCAAGACAAATTCCATATACTGTTACGAAATTTTATTTTTTTGAAAAAGTATTTATTCAATATGATTTTCTTTTAAAAATTTCTTTTTTTTGTTTTTGAAATTATTTTTAGACTGTTCAAATGTTTTATACTCATGTATTTACAGAACCAAAAACAAATTATTCTAAAACAACACAATTAGGAATAACATTTGCTGCAGGTTATTTAGCTGGAATTCTTTGTGCTATTGTGTCTCATCCAGGTGATTCAATTGTTTCATTAATGGCTAAGCCAGAATATAAAAATAAATCAATGAAAGAAATAACGAAAGATTTTGGTGCTTGGAATTTATGTACGAAAGGTCTTGGACCTAGAATTATTATGATTGGAACAATTGCTGCTTTACAATGGTGGATTTATGATACATTCAAAACAGCTATGGGAATGGGTACTACCGGTGGAAAATAGAATTGTGTGTGTGTGTGTGTATTTTGTTTTTTATATGAATAAAAGAAAGTTTTTTAGAAAATATTTTACACAAAGTTTCTTTAATACCGAAAATTTATACTTAGAATTAACATTAACATAGAAGTATGAGAGAATCTATTTTGGTTCGTTTGGTATTGATCATTCAATTAAAATAATTTATGAATGTTATATTTTTAATTTTTTCTTCAGACTATATTTTCATGTTTTTCAAATCAAATGCGCACAACTGTGTGATTTTTTCTCCATTAGTAAGACTAGGTAAGAATAAAACGCATTCAAAAGGATAAGAGTTCATGTGTCTTTTTTCGAAAGTTATGATTTTCGTCCTATGTAAAATATTTCGAATTATCCTTATTCAGTTTTCTTAGATACACCATTATGAATTATAATATCATGCTATCGATTGAATAGATCAGCCCAATTAACATTGTTTCTTTCCTTTTTTTTCTCCAAGAATAGGATTAGATGAACGAAGAACGAACTTAAGTTACATTAATGAACATGATTGGTGCATAAAAAATTAAATTGTTTAGAATATTTTTGATTTGTTTAGCTTCAAATTTTGTTGAGCTGAAATCTCATTTCGGATACTTTCTCTCATTTGTATTTAGTTATTTATTTGGGTGTGGGTGTATATGAGATAAAAGAGAGATACATCCTCACCTACACTCGATATAGATATGACATGTTTATGATTTATTTTATTTAATCAAAAAATGTCTTTTGTGTATATAGAAAATTGAATCATATATAATACATTTATTACAAATTATCTTTGAAATTCTATAGTTTAATTACAACATGTAAATTTCGATTTTTGTTTCTCTGATATATGAATGTCTGGTATTACTTTTTGTTGAATAATATTTAATTTTTGAGAATAAATTGCTTGATTTATTAAATCATTAATGAGTATATCATTTTCCATAATTCGAATAATTAATTGTTTGAAAAGATATTCGATATTATCACCTCGATAAGCAGAAATATTAACAATTGGCATTTGATGTGCAAAAGCAAATTGTTGTGAACGTTGAAGAAATAATTCGCGATATTTTATATCTTCTTTTTCAAATAAATCCATTTTTGTACATACAAGTACACTTTGGAAATGATCCATACCGAATTTTTCTAATTTTGGATACCAAAATTTTTCTAAACGATCAAGAGTTTCTAAACGTGTCGTATCAGCTAATAGTAAAGCTCCATGACATTCTCGAAAGAAATGATTTGTTACTGATTCAAATTGTTCTTGTCCTGGTGGATCATTTAATTGAATAGCAACAACATATTCATTTCGAAATAATTTATCTAAATAATAAAAGAGTATATCACTTCCAATTGTTGAAGTTGGTAATGTCATAGTTTGAGGCCAACGTCCATATTTTAAACATTGTGCTAACACTGTTTTGCCTATTGCAGATGATCCTAAAAGTGTTAGTCTTATTCGAATTTTTGGTCGATTTTTCCAATCGGAAATAATTGGTTTTGTACAAATTTTAAATGAAAGAAATTCTTCAGTTAATGAATGGGATAAGTTTTGTTTTTGAGAAATAAAATCATTGATAAGAGATTTTAATGCACGATTTGGTACATAAGTACGATTATTTAATTCATTATTTGTCATTGGAGATCTATTATGATTTTCTAACCAAGATTGGATGAAAGATTCTTCATACGAATATCCCTGAAATATTAAAATTCAAAAACATATTTTTTTACATGACAATAAATTTATTGTCTTTCGCTTGAAGACAAAGTGTAAATTTTGTGAAAACTGTTTCGTGATATTAGGAAAAAAAAGAAGAGTAAACCTTTTTCTTATACACTTACATCTTCGATAAGTATAACAGGATTTATCATCATTTCTCTTGTAATTGGACAAAGATATTCATCTGGAATTGATGTAATAGTCGAAGCCATTTATTACTATATAATATAACTTATTATATTTTTATTTACGAAACAAAAATAAGAAATATTCAAAACATTTTGTTATATAAAACAGAACTAACGAGAGAACCGCCCGAGATGATTCACCACTTTTAAGCTAGAGATAGCGAATTTTCAATTTTCTGATAGTATAACGATTTTACATGTATATTATTGCAATATATCACAAACAAAAATTTTATTATATGTGATCAATTAATAGTTTTGCAATTCTTGTAGGACTAATCATCGCGCTGGTTTAACAGTAGAACGAACAATGAAATACTATACTATAGATACTCGCTAGAATCACATATTTAAGAGAATATTTTCGTACGTGTTAATAACTATAATTCAGTTCTTATTACATACTATCACAGAACGCGATAATATCAACATAATGTACATTTCTTTTCATCCACCATTATTATTAAACTAATACAGTTACTGATCTTCTGATATTTATAAAAGATTGAAAAGCTTCAAGACGATACATTAATGACTATATATATTATTTGAGAATAATTAGTTTTTTCTTACGTTTTTGTTTGTTTGGGATGTATTGCAATAATATACATTTAAAATCGTTATACCATCACAAAATTGAAAATTCGCTATTTTATGATAAAAAGATCATGGGTCCAAATCCTTTGGGATTTATTCTAGTCTAAAAGTCCCTTATATGTTTCATAAATACGAGTTTAAAAGAGCTGAATCACATCGGACTGTTCTTCTGTACGACAAAAAAATCTTGTCTTACTTTTATTGTTATTCTCTTCTTTACATAAAATAAACTACGCCACGTGTTCGTTGATAAAACATTGTTGTTCTAAGTAACACAATTCTATTTTATCATTAAATAACAAATCTTTGACTTTTTATTATAAATTAGATTTTCAATAGAAATATTTCAATTTAAAGATCAAGTGTTGTTTCAAATGAAGAATAAACATAATATTCTTACTCTCTAATTGATTATAACAATAAATTTTTATTAACAAATCCAATAAATATTTTCATATGCTTCAATTATTTACCAAATAATATTTCGAAATATTTCTATCTATTTTATATGAACAAAATATAACATGTATTATTTGTATAGCATTAGTGTTACGTAATCTTATTTAAAAATATTCTTTACGTTATTGTTTTGTTGGGGGAGAAAAATCTTTGTTATCAATTTATGAACAAATAAAGAAATAGTTAGGAATTTATCCATTGAAGTTATATAGTATGACAGAAACAAATGGTCCTTGCCTTATTTCAATTGATTATCTACCTAAATCTGAACGATATAAACCATTATAGGTGAAACAAAAAAAAATTTCGAGTAATAGATGATAATTAACAAGATATATCTTGAAATAGAGGTATATATTACACTTCATTCATCTTATTCAATATGAATAATAAAACTGATATTGATCAAGATTTCTTGTCTTATTTAAAACAAATATTAGCTGAATATTAGATATTTTACTCAAAATCAAATTCGATTATATCATAATGAATACATTTAAAAAATATTGTTTGTTATTTATATTGTAATGATACTATTGATCTTTTTTTCATCATTGATCTTTAAATAGAATTGAAATTAATATAATAAACCTTTTCATATTACTATAGAATACAAAAGACAAAATAAAGCGTCGTTTTATCCAAAAATTAAATTATGACGAGAAGACGTTTGTTCGCTTGTCCTTGAATAACAATAAAAAATTAAGAATATCATTGGAAACACTTTTCTGAAAATATTTTACTCAAAAATTTAATGTTTTTTTTTTCATTATCTATTTGAACAGCCGCGAAAATCGATTTATATATTCTTCTTCATTAATCGTGTCATATGTACATCTATATTTATACTGCTAGTCGATATGATTACAATTCTTTCGTTCATTCTATAAAACACGTGCCTATATGAATTTATCTCTAATAAAATTTTAATTTTGTCTACAACGTTAATACGATATTATACCCATATTTTTAGTTTGTATTAGTTATTCGAATCTAGTTCATTAATTATTTATTAATTAACAGAGTATATTTTTAAAAGTAAAAGATGAACATTTGTTTATTTCAATAAATAAACTCCAATCATTCTCATATTTATTTTTCATGTCTTTCACGTAGTATTACATAACTTATCGATTGTAATTGCTTTGTCTTTGATGACACTTAAATATTCATTTTCAATATAAATAATACTGGCAAAAGACAGATGATAATTATTTTACTAGTATAATCAAAAATAGATCATCAATATTAGAAAAATTGTTTCTATTTCCAATGTGTCTCTTTTTTTTCAAGAGAAAAAATGTATGATTATTTAAAAACAATAATATAAATAATGAGCCTAATTTTTAATTAATTATCTTAATATGTGGTTTCATCTAATACAAAATATTATTTAGAAAATTCTTCGGATTAAACTGTATAATAGTTTTCGTCAAATAATATTATAATAACTAAGAATATTTTTTAAATAAGATGAATTTATTAGTTTAGCTTTTAATCTTTCATGATCATATTCAATGTCTACGACTAATTAAATCATTCTGTTTTTATGACGTAAAAATGTTCTCTTTTTATGTAAATATTATTCACGATGTGTAAATTATTTATCATTCGATCATCAAGATAAAACTGACTTTGTTTTATTTAAATGATGATTCTCTAATGAAACGTTCTTTTGCACGCACATGAGATTCATGACTTTCTTGAGCAAGAATGTCATGCGCTATGGATACATCTCAAAATCTTTCTTGGTATGTGGGAAACAAGAAGAATTTTATGTAAAAAAAAACCATCCAAACCGAACATTTTTTTTTCTTTTATAAATAAGTATTATTTAAAGAAAAAATATTCTTACCTATACCGAAAATTTTCATAATTTTTTTGTACACATGCGCTATGGACACATCTTGAGGTCAAACGCTTGAAAAAAAAAGTTCGAGTAGGATTAGTATAATTTTCAATTCAATATAACGATTTTTATCAACAAAACAAGAAGAAACTTGAATATTTTTATATGATGTTAAATTTTTCATTGTAGTTTCTATAAAGAGAAAGAGTATTGTACTAAGAGGCATAAAAAGCCACGTTTTTGTTTTATAGTAATTAAAGTTCATGAGTATTGAATTACTTTGTTGCTTTCAATTTTTCTCATGAAAAAGAAATGTTGATGGGAGAGAACATTTTTAAAGAAATTCATTTTTATTTAGAATGACATTTGTTTAATATTAATAAGTTTTTTTTCTTATATTATGAAAAGAGAACAAAAAAGACGGTACAACATACCTTATATACTTTTTTTTCTTTCTGCTCTTTTTCTTCTTATTACACCTGAGTAAAGAAGAAAAAAAAAAGTGTTTCAAGCCAATGAGTAAGTTACCAATAGTATAACAGTAGTGTTCGCTTTCCTTCATACCAAATTTTTTTTTCTTGTACAAACATATAAACACAAGGTACTTCGAGCATGTTATTTCTTATTCAATAACAAATCCGAGGTCGATGAAAAAAAAATCATTTCAATCTTCGAATATCTAAATAAAATTTCATGTTTAGATATCTTTTTAAAATCTTTATTTTTAATGATAATAAACATAACGTAGAAAAATGGCAGATCAATCATCTGAACAAGCAGCATCTGGAATAAAAATTTATCTAAGTAATTCATGGAATTTAATTAAAACTGGATTTCTTGTTTTAACATGGATTATGTTAGTAAGTTTTTATTATATAGAACTTTTTTTTTATTAAAAATAATTCTTACATAATAAACAAATAGGGTTTTCATCTTGAATTAGTTGGTCCAACAATGCCAGTTCTTATACAAAATATCGATGTTGATTATAGTGGAATGGGTTCAGTACTTGCATCAAGAGCTGCTGGTTATTTAGTTGCAAATCTTCTTGGTGCTATTTTACAAAATATTGTGAAAAAACATTCCGAAGGTCTTTTAGTTTGTGCATTTATTTTACCTGCTATTGGTAAAACATCATCATCATCATCATTTATGATAAAAGATAAAGAATCTTTTTTATTTCATTCTAGTGGTTTTTCTTACTCCATTTGTGACATCATGGATAATCATGTGTATTTTATTTTTCATTCAAGGAATTGCTCAGAGTTTTACAGATTTAGGTAAATTAATTATTTTCCTTAAAATATAATTGAAAAACAAAAACAATGTATTTGTTTTTATATAGGTGGAACTAATATTATATTAACAATGTGGGGTGTTAATGCAGCAGCTCCATTAAATACAGCTCATTTAGGATATGGAATAGGTGCTGTCTGTGTTAATTTACTTATTCGTCCGTTTCTTAATCCAAAAGGTTCATTGATAGATAATCCCGATACTGACGAAATGAATTCAACATTATCATCATCAATTAATAATATAAGAAAAAATTCTCATATTGTTGCTCCATATACAATTGTTAGTATTTTATGTGTATTAATTGCTGCTGGACATGCATTTTTCTATATTCAAAAATTAAAAAATCAAAGACAACAAGCAGAAATTGGAGAGGTAATTATTATGTTCAATACTATAAAATCCCTATTTGCTCCACTCAGAGATATAAGATATCAATATATTACATCATAACGTTAAATCATAGAGAAAACATTCTATTAATTATTTAGATTGAATATACAGCTGTCAATGGAAATTCAAGAAATGTTACTCATACTGTTAATAAAGAAGTTTCTTCACCATATTCTCCTCGTACATGTGGTAATGGATATTTTCAATATGGTTTAATTCTTTCAACAATATTTATTTGTTATACATTTTTTATTGGTGCAAATGATCAAACATTTGCAAAATTTTTTTTTGCTTATCTTAAATTTGAAAAATTTCATATATCGAATAGTGCTGCAAGTTGGGGCATTATTTTATATTGGCTTTCATATTCCGTATGTATTATATTTATATATCTAATATTATAAGTAACACTCGGTCAGCTCTTTCTCGTAGAAATCGCGTTATTAAACAATTTATTGATTTATATAATTAAACAAAACAGAAGTCACATTTGAATTCTTCGGTTAACCCTTATAAAAAAATTCCTTTTATATCTTTACTTAATTTTTTGACCAATCAGTGAAGTGCGGACAATTTATGTTTGCAAGATTCTACTTTACGAAAAAGAAAACTATTTGAGTTTTGACATTTGATTATGAAAAGCAAAATTTATAAAGTATTCCCTAGCTTGAATATTTGATGTGTGTATTTGTAAAGATCTTCGGATATGAAACTAATTTTATTGAAAATATAGGTTGGTCGATTCATTGGAGCAATTTTATCTATGTTATTATCTGTTAATATGTGTCTTACTATTGTTTGGTTCGGTGGTTTATGTCTTACAATTGCTTGGTTTATTTTTGTATGGTTTATAGGTTTAACTGGTACAAGTTTATTTATTCTTGGTGCAGCTACTGGTTTAGTATTTGCACCGTTATTTCCTTTAACATTTGGTTTAATTAATCAACGATTAAATGTTGTACCTGTACTTCTTGCTCTACTTCTATCAGGATCCGCATTAGGAGCAATTGCACTTCAAAAAATAGCTGGTAAAGTTTATCTGTTTATATAATTATTTTTATTCTTTTGAAAATATTTTAGGTGTTGTAATGGATCATAATCCAAATCATTTTCCAACACTTTTGATTGTTTGTATATTGATGGGAATCATTCTTTATATTGCTTCGAATGTTGTTTATCACGTACATGAACAAAAAAATCTTAAAAATGCACGACCTTTAGTAACTAATGAAGCAGTATTATCTGGTGAAGTTTTTAATAATGATGAAGAATTATAGATAATTGGATTATTTAGGAAGTCAAGATAATATATAATAAATTTATTTGTATTTTTCTAAGTAAATTATCTGAATAAATATTAAAATTAATTACTATTATATAAAAGTATGATATGTTGTATGAATAAATTGTTTGCTTGCTTGTTTGTCCGCAGGGTCAAAAAAACATCGAAAACTCATTTTCTGGAAAAGACATTTCTAGAGGTATTTCGATGCAGGGATTTCGAATCTGATGTTAGTGTTTGCAAGTTACCTAAACAACAGGTCCCGTAGCATTGTAGAACATTATTTCTACGAGAAAGAGCTAAGCGAGTCGTTAGATGAGCGTTACTTGTTATATGGAGTTTTGTTTTAGATTGTCTACAAGATAACTATCGATATAAAAAAATGATTGAATATTAATTTATTTCTGACATAAATAATTAACAAAAATAATAGAAGACATATATTATTTCCAACAATTATCTTTACACATACATATTAAACTATGAATAGGATAAAATTCATTTCTATAACGAATTCGATGACGAACAAGATTATGACAGTACATATAATTACAATTACAACTAGCATTATTATGCTTTACAAAATCATCACTATTAGGACGCAGATACCAATCACGACATGCACCACATCTTTTACATGGATGACCACCACAACTCAATTGTTTAACATTCGATGATAAAGCAAATTGAGATTCTATATAGAAAAATAAGAAAAAAAACTTTTCTCAATAAATATTCGTATTGTTACTTACGAAATGATTCTATGAACATATAACTCATTTTCAAACCAAATAAGTCAAATAAATATTGTTTATCTAAAACAAAAATATCATACGTTATAATGTATAATTTAACAACATTATTTATGTAATTGTTCTATCAATGATCCATATGAATACTTATATCCTATGCATCATCTTACTCTCATCGAAAACAGGCGAATATTTCTTACAATGAAAAGAAAGAAATTTTAAATATATATATATATATGTGCCCTTCTTATTTTTGACAAATATTATTTTTGACAGTAACGGCTTCTTTTATTTATTTTTGTCCGAGGATCATATATTCGAAAAATAACAAATGATTAAAAATTGTCAAGTCAGTTCATGTCAGTAAGTCATGACATTAATAGTCGTTATAATTCACAATGTGATTAAAATACAATACATAATGAAGAGAAAACTTATTAATGTTGTATGTAAAGCAAACAAGCATTGTAAAGTTATTTTTTCTTTCCAATATCTTTATAATATAATGATGTTAAATGACATCAATCATTAGTTGAAAGCAATGTGATCTTGACCGAAAATATAGTTAAATAAATATATATACTCGTTCTAATGCAACGTCAACAGAAGATTTAAAATAGATCGTTCTTTTTCGAACAATGTCATCAAGTTACAAAAGAATAAAAAAGATTACATAGTAAAATGTAAGAATTAAATCGAAATGATTCGACATTAACTATCAGAGTGATTTAAAGTTATTGAAATTCAAATGATAAATTTTCCTTTTCTTTTATTTTCTATTCTGCTTTTTCATGGAAATTATAACTAAAGATGCGTTATTCTTTTGAAAACATATAATTTTAATTAATAGAAATTTTTGTAGACAAGAAAGAATAATTCTTTATTTAATTTTATTTGATTGACATCTTTTTATTGATTTATTAGGTAAATATGTTCAGTCTGTTTCTATTTCATTTTAGAAAAATAACTAACGTCAATAATTTTATTCGAAGTTCTAGATAAGAAAAAAGAATGACATATATATAAATATTCATTAAATCTTTGTACAGAATAGCTATTGATAAATTTTATTTCTTTCTGCATTGTTCTCTTTTTTATTTTTGCAAAGATTTTAAACATTATTAATACAAAATAAAACTTTGAAAAAATATTAAAAATGAATGAAAATGAAAAATTCAATACCCTACCACCATCTCAGTATATATATATATACATTTTTTTTCTCAACTCAATTTATAAAATAATTTATTATTTTAGGAATGCAGTTGATGATAACAATAAATCGAATTGGATTGTTTGTTAGGTTACTACCTTATTTTTAATAGGAGCGATCGCTGCCATTCCAATAACTATTAGTGTATTCAAAAAACAAATTACAGTAGTTACACCCATGTTTGAAACAACAACATTAGCATCATCTTTATCAATGATATCAGCAAAAACTACAACACAGCGGCCAGTAGTAACGATAACAATGAACGATACATTCACAGGTATATATATCTAAAGAAAATATCTGTTAATGGATTTGCAGGCTATATTGATATTTGTTTTTTGAAAATATGAGTAAACGATTTTATCGAAAATTAAACTGTTAATATACTCTTTTTATGATCGTATTTTATTAGAATAGTTAAACTATTTTTCTATAGACTATCTATTATTTCGAGTTATTTATGCACTTTTGTTTTATATTAGATCTATGTAAAATATATTCAATTGAAATAGAAAGTAGCAATGTAAATCCTCCAGAAAGCTTGATGGTCGTCGCTGATATAAACAAAGACAACAGATCGGATATTGCTCTTGTATTAGAAAAAGATCTTCATGTATTCTTAAATACTGATGTTGGTAAATTTACTCATCATATAGTTCACTCTCTCATCTGGATTCCATTATTTATGGTAGCAGTTGATATTAATAGAGACAATAAATTGGATATAATCGCCATGTACAGTAGTCAATGTCGAATCTCTGTTATTTTTATTGATGATACCTATACATTTATAGATCAAACTTACATTGAAACTAAATCAAGACCAAGTAATATAGCAGTTATTGATGTCAATGAAGATAATAATCCTGATATTATTGTTACAAATTACGAAATGAATACAATTGGTATTCTTTTTAATAATGAAAATGGTACATTTATTAATCAAAAAACGTATCTAACTGATGATATTGCCTATTCTTTAGATACAGCTGATATGAATAATGATAATAAAATCGATATTATTCTCGTATGGGACGGAATATTTGCTATTTTATTTAATCTTGGAAATAGCAAATTTTCTGCTCCAGTAAAATATTTCTTTGATTTTCGTAGTACACATCTGATTATAGCTGATGTCAATGCTGATAATAAACTAGATATAATTTTTTTACCTGTCAATGAAGAGAAAATTTTTATTTATTTCAACAAGAACAATGGAATATTTACTGATTTCAAAACTTTTCAAATTAATAATGTACCAAAACAGGTAACAATGGCAGATATAGATAATGATGGTAAAATGGAAGTTATTTTTCGCCATAATTGGGGTATTAAGATATTAACATTTAATTGCTGATCTATCATATATTTTAATTCATTTTTTTTATAGAAACACATCTTTGATTCTACATGATTTTCTTATTACTTGTTGTATCTAACGTATTCCTTTTTTTATGAGAGTTTCTACGCTTTTGTTATCTAAAGTTGCAATAAATCAAACTTTTTCTTATTAGTAAATAATCTCTCTTAATATTCGTTCTAGTTATTTTACTATCACTTATCTTCATATATATACTTATTTCTTTTAATATTAAAGTATAAAAGGAAAATTAACAAAAGATGGGTGTGGGCGTAAATGACCATGCATGCATATTGAATAAATTAAATATCTATGCCAAAACTCACAAAAAACAAAATTTATTTTTATCTTTCGTTCTCCCTATACATAATCTTTCTTTTGTCTATTCTCTCATTCAGAGACGCACGTTGTTGAGAAAAAAAGTAATAGGCTCGTTTTATTTTTGTCTATGTGATAATGTCGTATGGAAATTAGAAAAGATAAGACATATTTTTTATCTCCACGTTGCGTATGTTTTCTTCGTTTCTTTTTTACTCTTTCTACATCTCGATCTTATACATACATATCACTACATGAGTCACATGACTATACGTTAGTAGCGACTTTTTTTCTTCACACTAGATAAAAAACTAGCCTTTATCAAGGTATTATTTTCTCTTCTTATTCAAATTCGATTGATAACGAATTAATACATGTAAGTTACCTTTATCTAAATATTGATGAATAGATCTTCAAATTTATCTTGTTCATATAGGGATTCACGATTTACTGATGAAGCAAAAGCTTACTATCAATTAGCTGTTTCAGATGAGCCTTCATTGGATAATGTCACAGTCAAAGATTTTCGTGAAGGAGAGGAAAAATTATTTGCTGAGGCTAATGAAAGACTTATCGGAACATTCAAAGGTACCTTAAAAGAAGAGCAAGTTAAGATCAACGATGCAGGTAAATTTCGACTACAATGATCATCTTTTTGTTTCTATATTTATATGATTATATTTAGAAATTCCCATTACAATTTATACGCCAATTGATGTCAACAAAAATAAAGTTGTTATATATTTTCATGGTGGAGGTAATATCTTGATTATTTCTTCATTATGATTTCTAACTTTATTAGCAAACAGGTTGGATATCTTCCAGTTGCAAGACACATCAAACAATAGTCAACACTTTAGGCGAGTAAGAAGAGCTTTGCTTTTCGTATTTTTCACTATCAAATTTTTAAAACTATATGCGTTTGTCTACCTAGTGCAACGAAAACTATTTGGATCTCGGTTGAATATCGTCTTGCACCAGAACATAAATATCCAATTTGGCTTGACGATGCATGTGATGTTACTCGACATATTCTGAAGAATAAAGTATCGTACGGTCAGTTGTTCTATCTCTGATTCTTTTATCGATATTCGATGATTATTCAGGTGTTAATCCAACAGCGAAGGTTGGCGTGGCGGGTGATAGTGCTGGTGCTCAAATTAGCGCATCTATTTGTCATACAATAAAAAATATTGATTTTCAGGTATTGATTTATCATTTCATTATCTTGTTTTCATTTTCAAATAGATTCTTGTCAATGGATTTTTCGATCTTACATGTGAATCATCGTCTCACAAAGAATTTAACGATCCAATGTATATTCTTACAACTACAATGCTCAATTGGTAAGTATTCAATAGAATTTTATATTGATGAAAGAGATCAATCTTTTTCATACAGGATGAAATTACATGCATTTCGTGATGCAAACGATTTGAAAGATCCTAGAGCATCGATTTTTCTTAATAAATCATTCGACACTTTGCCACCATGTTTATTTATCGTTGCCGAACTCGATCCATTACGAGATGATAGTTACGGTAGAAATATTCAGTTTGAATTAGCAAGAATAAATCTAATATGTCTATTTCAGCATATCAACAGTTACTTGACAAAGCTGGTGTTAAAACGAAATGTTTACTTATCAAAGGTGTCTTGCATGACTTTTTTGTATGTCCAGGTATGACAAAAACTCGAAAATAATTTCTCAATCAATTAGATCTTTTGTTAATTTCAGGTACCTGTCCAAAAGCATGTGCACAAGCAATCAATGCCATTCAACAATTTCTATCCGAACTATGAAATGTTGCCTTTCCATTCAACGCCTCTTTTTCTTGATAACTATCGTTGTCGGTCAAGATCTTAATTGAAATTAACTATTTTGTTCAAATATAGAAGGAAAAAATATGAGATATGTGTATGTAGATAATGCGTAACTTAGAAGTGAAAAGGAGTATAACAGACTTTAATAGGTTTGAACGTATGAGATACAATTTATTTTAACATAATGTCTATGAAAAGTCATACTTTGAAAAAAGAAAATTTGAATACTGAAGATTATTGATTTATTTAATAAAAAAGTTTCATATATGGTGGAGAAGGTAAATTTGAATCTGTAGCGCTATAAATAGCTGCTTGTTTAAATGGACATGGTGTTTCTCGCCAAAGATAACGAAGACTATAAACTGGCTTTCCAAAACATCTACGATCTAGTGTTAATGTTATTGTCAATCCACTTTTACTTGTTATAGTTGCTGGAACGTATATAGCATCATTAGAACATTGACTATCGTGACAACAAACCTAAAAACAAAATAAATATAAAATTATAAAAATACAACAAAAGAGAAAAATAAATATACTTCAAATCCATCTGGATTACGTATTTCAATATCTGATACAGCAGTATAAGTAATATTGATTGTTGTACCCTCAACATTATAATAAACATTTTGTACAATAGGACCTTGAAATTCAACTTTTTGACCATAAGCAACTGCAAGACCAGAACGTGAAAGTCGATATCCTACATCAAGTTTTGTTCGAGGATGAATACTAAACTTATTAACAATTTTTATATAATCAATAGAAAATCTTTATTTACTTATTCGGATCATCACGTAGATCTAAAGCAACAGCCATAAAAACTTTTGGAACAACATCATTTGGAACATAACCAATATTAAATGTTTGTTGCCATCGAAGCATAGGAAATCCCCCGACGACTGCACTATTATTCGTACTTGTTGATAACTACAAAACATATTAGAATTAATTTCAATCATTTGTCGTCTATATAGAAATGTAATTCTTAATGATTTCAAGTAAAACTTACTTGAACAAAACCAAATGGAAATTGTATATCAGTTATACCATTTGTACGATTATTCCATATTTGTCTCCAATATTGAATCATTTTTGCAAATTTACAAGCATATGTAGGATTGCCAGAATTTGCTTCACCTTGATACCAAATAGATCCATAAATAACAGTACGAGTAAATGGATAAATCATAGAATTAAATAAATTTGAATGATTAACTGGTACATCTTGAAAAAGTTCATTATATGGTTGTTGTATTGGTAGATTTTTACTTCTATAAAAATTCCAAAAAGAAAATAAAAAATATTTCCTCGAACTTACGTTGTATCATTACAATCTTGTAATGCTTTTGGTGGCATCCAAAATTCAATTGGTGTTCCACCCCAACTAGTAGCAATAAGACCTATGGGTCGACCATTTAATGATTGATGAATCATACGACCATATAACCAACATACAGCTGACATATAATTCCAACTTGGTCCACCAACAGTTTTTGGTGATGCTGCTGACCAATTTAAATTAATTCCAAGTAATTCTTCAACGGGTGATGCTGATGGTATAAGTGAAGTAGTAAATAGACGAATCTTAGAAAAATTGCCTGCATTTTGAATTTCTTCTGTTGCATTGAACATCATATCTACTGTAAATTGCATATTTGATTGACCTGAACAAAGCCAAACATCACCAAATAGAACATCATGAATTGTAATTGTAACAAGTGTTCCATTGGCTAATGGTTGCAAAACTTGAATATCAAATGGTCCTTCTTCAGATACAGGATCAAGAGTAACTGACCATATACTTTCACCTACTTCATTTGCTACTTCTAAACTACTAATCGTTCGATAAATTTTATTATTCATTCGAAGAATAGTTAATTTTCCAGCATCTCCATATCCCCATACAATAGCTCGTTGTGGAGCTCGTTGAAGTACCATATGATCTTGAATATAATTGGCAAAACGAGGTACACCATTACCTTAAATTATACAAACTTCTTTTACTAATAAACTTTTCAAATACATTCCTATTTACATTCAATAATAAGAACTAGAACAAGTAGCAAACCATTTCGAACAATACCCATTTTGGTTTTGTATGGTATATGTTTTTTTCTTGCTATAAATATAGGCAAGATAAAAAAAATAAGACAATATACCTTTATTTTAAATGCGGAATGATAACAATACAAGATATACATTAGATAATGTGCTCTCTCTCAATTTAATTTCAAGGCAATAATACGGATATCTCTTATCAGATGAACGACTTAGTATACAAAAATATATTATTTTATATAGTGGAATGGTCGATCTTAGATTGAGTGTGTGTAGGGTTAAAGTAATAAACGCGCACCCATACCCACCCTAGTTAGAATTATTTTTTCTTTTATTGTATTACACATGTGTGATGAAGAAAAGCAAATATTTATCACATGAAGATATATAAAATAACTATTCTTTCTCTAACATATTTTTTGTGTTTTTATTTTCATGACGTTAATATTATTTACTAGTCTTTTATGTTTGGTATTAATTCTTATTTATATATATTTCAAACGACGTTATACTTTAATAAATAATAATTTACCTGGCGATAAACCTCAAATATTCTTTGGTAATTTATTGAATTCAGGTTTCTTGACACGTAAAAAATCATTTCATGAAATACTGCATGATTATCAACGTCGTTATGGAGATAAATTTACATTTTGGTTCGGTTTACAACCATATATAGTATTCTGTTTACCGGAGCATATCCAAACAATCCTATCCGATCGACATACATTCGAACAATCTTCCTCATTTATACCTAATTTTGATTTAGTTTGTCCAAATGGTATTGTTGTATTAGCTGGTGCGAAATGGAAACGTCATGTTCGAGTTATGTTACCAGTATTTAAACGTGCTAAAATGATACAACATTTAGATACAATTACTGAATGTGCCGATCATTTTATTGATCAATGTCTTCTTGATAATCATATACATACAGATCTTGTGCATCGTTGTCAAACATTTACAATGAATGTTATTGGATTAATTGCGTTTGATTATAATCTAGAAAGCAATATTAATTCACCAATAAAAATTGCATTTCAAGATTTTGTATCTTATGTAACAATTGTAATTCTAATGTCATGGTTACCTCAATGGATAAGTAAAATCTATTTAAAATTCAATTGGAAATATCAAAAAATTCATCGATTAATTCGTGAACTTACAGAAAAAATTGTTGAACAAGAACAAAATAATTCACAACGATCAAAAAATTTAATTGCATCATTAGTTTCATCACTCAATGAACAAGCTAATGATGAACAAATATCATCAGGTTTAACACGAATAGAAATGCTTGATGAAATACTTACATCAATGTTAGCTGGATATGAAACAACATCAACTGCTTTAGCTTGGTTTATATTTTATATGAGTAAATATCCTCATGTACAACAACGTATTAAACAAGAACTTCATGAACATAATCTTTTAATGACAAATCATGTTCAATATTTACCAAGATTAACTTCGGAGAAACTTGATTCATTGATTTATTGTGAATGTGTCACAAAAGAAGTTTGTTTATATCATATATATAGATTTATTTTGATTTTTATTTTTTAATATAGGTTTTACGTTTAGCTCCTACAGCTACTGCAACAACACGTATAGCTCTACGTGATACAATTGTTGATAATGTACCTATTCATCGTGGTCAAACTGTAATAATTGGTTTGAATAATGTAAATACTGATGCTCGTTATTGGCATGATGGTCATCCAAATAAATTTATACCTGAACGATTTTTAGGTAAAGATAAAGATCATCATCCTTTTGCTATGCTACCATTTGGTGGTGGACATCGAGCATGTATTGGACAGGATCTTGCATGGTTAGAACTTAAATTAGTTATTGTTCGATTAATGCAACGTGGAATAACATTTGAAGATACAATAGAAAATGGAGGTGGTTATCAAGAACAATTAACATGTTTTCCAAAAAACATCGCTGTACGAGTACACATTGATAAGATTTGATAAAAACAAAGAAATTATATAAATCTACAAGATCATATTTAATTTACCTTTTTTTAATAAGTAAAATATTGTCGAACTAATCAGTTATTTTCTTCAACAATATAAACTATTCTAATGAAGTATATTTACAAAATAGTAGATATACAATAAATCTGTAAATATTTCAAATGTTCAATGTAACTTTGAACAAATAATGTTTCATAGAGTATTCCTCTCGTTTTTAACCGTAAAATAATTTCAAATATAAATTCGATTAACTGATTGATAAGAAATAAAGTCAATAGATATATTAATCCATCTCAAATGAGATTTTAGAAAAAACAACAAAAACATATAATTAATATATAGCAAAAGATTTTATTAATTAGACATAAACAAATAGAAGAGAAAAATTTTATTGAAGTATTCAGTCTATCAGAATAATATTTGAGCATTTATTTATCATGATAACATTTTAGAAGCACATTGCTCTGACACCATCACAGTAACCATTACGAAACTTATTCCTAACACAACATTGTTGAAGTAAGCGTTGATTTGTTGAACATCCTTTATCACAAAAACTGAAGCGAATGCCTGCACTGACAACTAATCCAACAACTAAAATATTTTAAAACAAATATATATTATTGATTTATTCTCAAAAGAATAATACAAAATAATTACTTAAACATAAGAATACTAATAGAAGTAAAAAACGAGCCATTATAATAATATTATTCTTGAACAATTTATTCAAATTAATTAACTAAATAAAAACATTTAATTTATTAATAGAAATAGGAATAAAACTAAACCTATTTATCTTACCTTGAATGATAGGATATGTTGTATTTCATTTATATCTTCTTCTTTTATACATCAAATAAAACAAAGAATTATTATTTCGACAAATAGAATAGTGATTCATTGAATGAGAATCATATCAACAATATAAAGGAAAGATATATCTAGATCGATATTCGTTCTCTTTCTCTCTTTGTCTATATATATATGTATATGTATCTATTATTTAGAAGAAAACGACTAAAATATCGTCATAGAATTTTGGACGAGAAAAATAAATTTCGAAAGAATAACAACGAGAAAGCTTATATCCACACCCTGTATAAATAATAATATCTGTACAGTACTGTTCTTATTAGATCAGCTTGAATGAAAGAAACGACGAGATAAAAGAAGAAAATAAAAATGAAATTAATTAAGATTGAAATATTAAGTTTATAGAAATTATTCTTATCATGATTTAGTTTACATTGAAATTCTTAATAAAAACATCGATTTCAAACGACAAAAAATGAATATTTGTTTAATAATGTTCGATAGAAAAACAAATGAAGAGTTTACAATTCTCATCATGAAAAAGACGTATCGAAACTTATCTCAAAATATTTATCTAATTACTTCCCTAACAATTGTAGTCAGAAAATGAAATCTTTCTATAGTTTTCTATATTCTTTTCCTATAAAGCTACAAAAACTTTTCCAGATAAGTTTCAATGTATCTCCATTGTCTATTATCAACGATGAAAAGCGCAGTTCTTCGTTTTTTTTTCTATGTAAAGTTATTGAAAACATACCTATTGACCTTCTATTTTATTATTTCACAAAATAAAAACATTACACTTTTCCAATGTTCTCAATTCGATTATTCGAAGTTTTGTTTCCATAAAATATAATTTTAAACTATCGATCAATATAACTCTCATGTTGTTATTAAACAGATGCACAAAAATGAATGAGATAAATAGTTACTTGAACACATACTTTTCATTTTCATCTTTACTTTATGTCAACGAAAACTTTTCACATTTATTATTCATTGATGTTAATTTCTATTAGATTATTTCAAAGAAAATTTTAATCAAAATCAAAGAATAAATTTAATAAATGTGAATTTTATTATAGATATATAAGAAAAGATTTGATTTAATACACAATTCAATTACACATAAGCATCTAGAAGAGGCACGTTTTTTTGAATTATTTAGTCCGTGAGAATAGTATTTGAGCATTAGATGGTAATCATATTATTTTTTAATGCAAAATGCTTCTTTACCCTTGCATTTACCATCAATAAAACCATCTTGCTTGTGATCTTTACAACATGTTATAACATCTCCCTTTTCTGCACATGGAGTATCGCAAGTCGCAAAACGTTCTTCTTTGTTGCTAACAACTAATCCAATAGCTAAAATATTTCAAAATAAATCTTATTCATTTATTTCTGAGTATATTAAATAATTACCTAATGAAATTAATACAAAGACAAATAAGAAATAAGTCAATTTCATTTTTTGATTTTCGAACAATTTATTCCAATTAGATAACTAAAGAAAAATGTTTCATTTGTTAATAAAAATAAAAATAAAATATTATCTACTTACTTCAACTTGAAATATATATGTTTGACTTCATTTATATCTTTTCCTTTTATACAGTAAATAAAATAAAGAATATTTATTTCGATAAATACAATAATGATATCAACGAAATAAACAAAAGATATATCTAGATCTATATTCGTTCTATTTCTTTCTTTCTTTGTCTAGACATATTTCTATCTATTAATTAAAAGAGATGAATAAAACATCGACGAGAAAAACAAATTTCTAGATAGGCTAAATGATTAAATATAAGAAACGACATCAAGGGATCGATGAAAAGTGACAAATACACTTATCGACCTCTCCCCCTGATACTCCTGGAAGTACTTTTAATGAACTTCCCAGTGGATGATTAGTCGGACTTAATCACAAAAAAAGCGGGGACCGATAAGTGTATTTTCTCCCGATGAAAATAAAATTTTAAATGGAGAATGTCCTTCATTGAAATTGTCTACTTATAGAAAAAAAATATCTAAATATTAATTCATATTTTTAACATATTATTTATTAGCTAATAAGATTAAATTTAAATATATAAAATCAATTGTTAAAACTTAATTTCATTTCATTTATTATAATTTCGTTTGAAAAAGCAAACACTTTTTTTAGCAGAAATTTCTATTTTACGACGTAATAATACAAATTATTTGTTTACATTTCGTTATTTATGATTGTCTATCAAAAATAATTCTACTACATGAGAACTTTATAAAATCAAATTGTATATGAATTAAATTCTAGTTGATATTTGAAAAAAACAAAAATCTAAATGTATATATAATTCATTTGAAAAAGGAGTTATTCTATTATATGATAGTACGATATAATGATAATGATGTTTTTAAATAAAACTGTTTATCGATCTGTTTTCCAAATAAATTCAGTATTATATTCATACGTTCAAATAAATCGTGATAATAATTTCTATAAACTTCACATTTAAATTTTAATATATAAATATATTTCATTGAAGATAATCTAATAATAATAAAGACTTTTTATCATTTATGTTTTAATTGCTAAAATCTTTCTTCTTAATTCTATTCATTAATTTGGCTTATTTCCAAATTCATTTTTATCGTCCATAATCATGTTTCGATATATCCTCTATTTCTTTTAAATAATATATACAAATGCATATAGAGAACGAAAGAAAATATTTACCCAAATATATCTTCTCTCTATGGTTGAATCATTCTCTTTTAACAAATCATTATTCTATTCGTCGAAATGAATATTTTTCGTCTTATATAATATCCAAAAGAAGTAGATGTGAATTAAATCAACTATATATATTTCGCGGTGAAATAAATTCATATTTCTATTAACAAATTAAATCTTTTTATTTAGTTAATTTGAATAAATTCTTGAAAAATAAAATTCTCATAATGATTCGTCTTTTATTTCTATAAGTATTATTATGTTTAAGTAATTATTTTGTTTTCTATTTGTCTATGTCTAATTAAATTGTTGAATAGAATTTTTTGCTCTAGACAATCAAATTCATATATTAAATATATCTTTTGATTTTTTCTCAAATCTCATTTAAAATAATCTAATATAAATGTATAAAATTGAGTTGAAGAGATAGGACTGAATCTACTTCTATATTTTGAATATTTTTATCTATGAATTAATTAATGGTGTGAGTGTAATTTTAGTCGTTCACGTACACGTTTACTATTTTTATCAGTATATATATATTTGTCAAATAATGTTTCAATAGAATTATTTGATTGATTTATTGTTTGTTCATGAATTAAATTTAATGTCTCACGATTTATTTCGTTATGTTTCTGAGTAATTGTTTCGTTGTTATCATTTGTATCTGTCACATTGTTCTCAAGTATTTACATACGATTGTTTTTATCAATATTATTTTGTTTGGCTTTTATTTTCTTTATCACTTTCTCTCAACATTACCTCTTTAATATTTATTGATTGAATATATTTCTTATTTCACTGCTTCTTTATTTTCATTTCATCATTTCCTAAACTTCGCCATAAATATCTCGTGAATTATTATGTCTTCCATTTTACTTGTTCTCTTTCTTTCCTTCGATAAGTTTTCTAACTTCATCGAGAATATATATTGAATTAAAATACTTTTCGCTTTACTAGTAGGGGTAGGACAGTTCCATATTAGTTCCGTTCTTAGGAACTGTATTAACAGTTCTTTTGAGTAGAACTGAACTGTACCGATAAGTTCAGTTCCTTTCAAAGAACTGTTGTGAAAACTATTTTTTTGGAAATAAAAACAAATTTGAAACAGAACAGTTCTTTTAAAAGAACTGTTGAAACCGACCAGTTCCTCTGAAAGAACTGTTGATACAGTTCAGTTCCTTTCAAAGAACTGTTTGGTAAAGTTCAGTTCTATTCAAAGAACTGTTGGTTCAGTTCAGTTCCTATCAGAAGAACTGAACTGGTAGTTCTTTTGACCAGTTCATCCGAACTTGGAACTATGAACTGTCCTACCCCTATTTACTAGTCCTCTTTTCTTCTTTCGCTTAGTTTCTGAATGTCGTCAGTAACATCGAATGAATTAATATATATTTTATTTTACTTTTTTTCGATAAGTTTCTTAGTTTTATCGATAGAATTTGTTGAATGAATATGTATTTTGATTTACTTGTTCTTTTTCTTTCGATTAGTTTCATTGATAACATCTATTGATGTTATTTTTTTAGGATTAGTTTCCTATCTTCCTACTTTTCTTTAGTATCTGAACTTCATCAGTAATATCTATTGCATTAACATATAATTCGACCTATTTGTTCTCTTTTCTTCTTTCGACTGGCTTGTGAACGTTATCAGTAATATTTATGGAACTACTAGTAATAATAAGTCTTATGTATTTATTTTTCATAATATTTGAGGGTATAAATCGATTTTCGTTTTACATCAGCCTTATTTGTTTAATGTTGATTGTTACTCTATATTTGTGTTGATGGAATAATCTCTTGTCTTTGTCATAAATAGATCATTATTAGACAATATACATATGTGACAAGTATCCACAAAGACGAATACACTCTTTTATATGTCAAGGTCATATCGACGATAGATAATAAAAAATACTTGATGATTGTTACTAATAATCTCGTCATAGAAGTCTATATACATGAAAATAGTATGTAATATTCAATAACAATTCTAGTTACTCTCTTGTTTTTCTTCTTCTTCTTCTTTCTTGAGCATTATATGGTACAGTTAATTAGCAAGAAAATATTTCATTTACCATACATTGTCTTTTACTGGATATATTTTTAGATACGTAGAAAATAAATACAAGTAATACATTATCATTTCTTATTCATTGTCAAAGGGCGTAGTAAAATTTTTCATTTCTGATAATACTATTTTATTTGTTATTGTCTGAAAGATATTAAAAATAATAGTAGATTTCTGATCAACAAGAGAACCAATTAGATATCTTAATTAATTGAAATACTGAACAATAAAAATTTGTAATTTCTGATTTGTTAATGATTTCGTACAGCAAAATTTGAAATATTTATTTATCTATTAAAAATATGTTTTACCAAATATTGAATTTTCTACTTCTTTTACTATTATTTTTCTTCGTCTAACACAATGGATAAAATTTATTCTATTTCTCTTTCGCATAGCAAAATAATATAAAAGAAAAGCAAAAAACTAATCCACTGAGAGCATATAACACTTGTTTAAACATTCTCTTCTAAAACTAAAAGTAAATTAATATAATTACATGTTTCATAACAAGAATATTTACTATAACATTACAAATTATTATGTGAGACGCTCAGGATTCAATAATTAGTTATTATTTCTCGTTTTTGTTAATGTAAAAAATATAAAAAGTGTTTATTTTTTTATTATAAACGAAAAAAAGTTTTGAATAGATAAACAAATCTTAATATTGTCAAATAAAATCTAATCATCATCATCTTCTTGTGATTTTGATGTTACAGCTTGACGAATACAAACTTTTGGTGGATTACGATTTGATTTCTCATTATCACAAACAATTGTAGTAGTATTCGCATTGGACGTAGAATCTGTTGATTTATTCGTAGATTGTTCATCTGGTTGTTTCCTTTTGAAAAATACAAAAAAATTAAATACATAAACTTGTAAAAACTAATGCAAAAATTCTGTTCTTTAAAATATTTTAAATTGGTAGTTTCTGTTTTTATAATATAAAAATATATTCGAATAGAGAAAATGTTACATCTATTTCTTATTTTCTACGAGATAATTATGTAAAGATAAAATTTAAATTGAAAATAATTTACTCAATATTATTTTGTTGTTGTTGTATTTTGTCCATGTCTTTAGTCGATTATCAAATAAATAAAATGGTAAGATTGGTAAGAAAAGAAAAAATACTTTCGATTAAAATTATTTTTTTTCTTTCCGTTCTCTTTATTAGAAATCAAATAAAAACCTATACTGCTTCTCTATCAAATATATAAAACTATTAGAAATAATAATTCATAGGGACATAAAGTATAAATAGAATCAATTCAACATAAATAAATTATTCAGATTAGTTTAGGGACAATTTTTTTTTCGTTCTTTTCATCATCAAATAAAAATTGTGTACATATGCACATGTATGCTCTTGTCGATAGGCTATACTGAATACAATATAAAAATAGACTTCAAGTTGATTTAATGAATACGGATTGATTAGAATATGAATTAAAATTTTTTTTCTTGTTTGAAGTCATTATTAACAATTTCTTCAGGCAATAGTCAACAATTCAGTTTTGTTATAACAAAAACACAATTTTTGACCATTGCTAAAAATCACGCTGTCCTCGTAGGATAGCTTTAAAAACGTGTTGTCTCATTGAAATATTCTCATATAAGTGCTTTACACAGATGAATCATTTAAACTCATGATTTGTATGAAAAAGTAACTTTCTCATAAATTCTAAAAGAATATGTCAAAATATATGAGTTAATTCAAAAGAGAATATATCTATATTGTCCCTCCGATCCGCTACTCCCGATTGTTCATTTTTCTTTTGAATATCATCAAGGAACACTAAGTAAAACCATTCTATAATTCACGTACCTTCTTCTATTGATCAATAAGAAAAATTCATTTTAAAATTTTTGTGAAAACTGAGCATCCTATTCGATTTTCCCGACACCGAAAACTTTGATAAGAAATGAAATAATATAAAAAAAATTCTAGTCCATCCATTGAGAGACGAGAGAACAAGTTTATTTCTAGAAAGAAAAACAATCACGTATATATAACATTGATAAATAAAATGTATATTTTATACTATTCTATTAAACTAAACATGTATGCTTATCAGTCAATGATTCTTCTTCGTCTTTTAACGATTCCGGTTTTATCTTCTTAAATATTTGTGTACAGAAACGCCTAGATCTGGAAGAATAAATGATGAGAATAATAATCGGTCCAAGAAATGATATTCCACTAGCAAGAATAATTGGAATTGGTTTTGGAATATTATAAGCAATTTCAATTGTACTATAAGTCAGCCATAAATAAGTAATAAGTATAATAATAAATGATACAAGTCTTTGCCAAAATAAACTAATATGTAAACGTTCGTAGATTTTAAGCATAAGAAAAATGGTTAAGAAGATTGTTATAATTGTGATTAAAATGACCAAGAGCATTAAAAGACCGTTATTTGCTAAGATGACAGTATATTTTTTGATGCCAAATTCAAGATCATATTCCATCACATTTAGAAGTTCTTGTACAGCTTCTTTAGCTTTAGAAACGGCATCTGTAAGAGCCGATACAAGTGATTCACTAACAGAATTTAAACCAAATAGTTTCGAGAAGAAATTAACCATTATTCTTGTGTTGAATGTCTTTGTCTGTTATATTTTAACAAAAGAACACAATTTTCACCTTCAAAGTACCAATGTTGGAGAGAAAGGAAGCTTTACTTCTTAATCTTATAGACAGGTAGATAAGAGATAAGTATTGACGCAAGGTCATTGGAAACACATTAGATTTCTTTAAATAATGAAATATTAGATTTTTTCTACCACTCATATTTATCAAACATATTGCACGAAATAATCTATATGATAACTGAGAACAACTACATACGACTTTTTAAACAGAACGTATAAATTGAAATGAATAAAATACATGATGATATTATTAAACGTTAAGAATATTAGTATCAATAATGAATTATTTTAAAAACAACGGTTCGAAATTCATCAGTCAAAGATATTCATTATCATATAGAAAGTCATCCATAGTAACGAATGACTCAGACATGCTTGCATGTATTCTGACTATGGTGTATTATAGGTTATAAAATGTGATGAAAAATCATTGAGTAATACGCAAATTTAGAGACATCAATAAATATAATTATTTTTATATTGACAACTAAAAATAAACCTTAGAATTAAAAATTCCGTATGAGTTGAGAGAAAAGAATATAGAGCAAACGCTGTTTTATTACGGCGAATAATAAACTACACATCTTTTTTTTTTTCTTGAGTTTCTTGACAAAATAAGACATTAATTCGCTGTATTAATAGTATGCATCGTGAATAAGATATATTTAAAATTCTTTATTTATTCTATTGAATTGTCTTTTGTGGCAAGAATTACATGTATATGTTACAGGAAAATTTAAAATTCTCCTATTAGGGGAAATTAAAATCTTGAATTTTCTTACAAAAATCACAGGAAAAAAAGAATTTCAATTTCCCCTAGGAGAGTTTTAAATTCTCCTGTAAGATATATATCATAAAAGTGCAACATTGATAGGTTTATATTTTTCTTCTGAAGTATTGATGGATTGTAAATATCTAATTTATGAAGTGTAAAAATTTCGTTTTTACCTGGATAAATAATACTAAAATAATCTTGATATTCTACAAGACAAATATTTTTTTATTTAAATCTCTTGACTTAATACTCAAACATTTTGAAGAAAATCGAACGGTATATATTTTTTTTTAAATATTCAATACAAAACCATGAAAACTAAAAAAAAACCGTATAAAGGTTCTCATTTTTTACGATATTCTTCTTATATACACTTAAGAAGTTACAATTGCTTCTTGTAATTTTGACTTCGATAAATATATTTCGTTTTTTTATGACTGACTACTCATATACTATGGAAGTAATAAATACTTTCTATCAAGAATAAAGGTTACTAAAGTCATTTATCGATACGATGTGATTCAGCTAAATGGATAAATACTTCCGACTGAAATACATTTATATTTATCTAAAGAATGAAAGTACGTGTAAATGCGCTTATGCTCAGTGAAACGTAAAAAAACGCGTTTATCATAGCATACAAGTAGAACGCATTTAAACGTGACTAATTAATAAAAAATGCATCTGAAAAGTAGGTTTATGCGCATTTAAAAACACGTTTTCTCTGCATGTTTCATAGTTACATGGTAAGTAATTGGCTTCTCGTCAATTATAAATCGTTCTTCTCTTCCTCTATATTTAATTTCTTATCTATTATTTTATATATATATATATTTTATATTCTCTGTTCTGTTATTATGTTATTTTTTCTCGTCATTTACTCCAACATATATGTTAATCGTAAACATGTCTTTTATTTTTTTACTCATTCTTATACATCTACAAAATGTTCTTACTCTTTTTTGTATTAAAAATAGTTCACTTGAAATTCTACGAAATGATTTTCTATTAAATAATGGTTCATTTACATTGAGAAAACTTCGTAACAAAACAATTTATTCATATGAAAAAAATGCGATATGTCATGTTAAAATTTGTATTGACTATAGTGAAATAAATGGTAATATATCCATTGAATTTGGTGAAATTAATAATCATACAGGTAATTATATTGGTTTGGAAATATGGTTTCCATTAATTAAAAAATACAATTCAATTCTTAGTTGTATTGATTATATATGTTCAGCAGAGAATTTATGTGATCAAATTTTTGTCGAGAAATGGATCGTTTGGTTAGCTAATAGAAATCATGAAATTTTACAAAATAATCTTATTAATATTTTAACATTTGGAAATCAATCAGGTACATGTGATATTATAGGAAAACCTATAATATGTTCAAGTCGAGTATGTGTCGCAGAATATATTGAAAATTCTAATAATACTGTTTTTGGAAATGGTTGTTCAGAAGAATCTTCTCTCATGCATATTGAAGTATATATGAAAATACAAAGTATTGAACTTCGATCGATTCAATATAAAGAACTTTTATATTTTTGTACATCTCATAATTGTAATGATGAATTAACATTTAAACATGTTTGGAAGGAAACTTCAACTTTATTTAATCTTTTCAAACCTATTCTTAATTGGTTACGTCTTAGAAATAGAACTAACTTCTCATCCACTTCTACATCTACAAATCAACCAAAGAAAATAGAATCTCAATTAAATATTAATAAATATTCATCTAGAACTTTATTTTGGTTATTTTTTCTATTTTTTATGATTTTAATTGGAATTACCAGTGGTTTTTATTGTTTTTATTATGAAAAATGGCAAGGTTATATAGCAACACGAACAACTCTATAAATATCATTGATCATTGATCATTCCTTATCTCTTTCTCAATAGGGAATTTTTTTTAATAAAATTCTTGTCAAAAAAAAAAAGATGTATATATAATATTATTTTTCTTTGTTAAGTACACTTTACGTGCATGTTCCATATCAAATAATGATTTTCATCTCGAAGAATATCAACTCATTTTCAATCAGATTAATCTTGTACTTCACAGATGGTTTTATATTTATTGTTCTTTTTCTTTTTTTCTTTTTTACATAGAGGTCAATCTATTTATAAAATAAAAATTTTGTTTTTTTCTCCAGTCATATTTTATTAATAATAGAAAATATTTTTATACCCTCGATATTTTCTCAAAAAGTATTTAATAAAAATGTTTTTTGAACAATCAATTCTCGACGCTGCGAAAAGTAGTTTAGAGAATTTTCAAAATAAAACATGCAATAAATAAGAAGCATCACTTTTTGTAATGTTGAAATTTGATCATTCAGAATTGTTTTCGCTTTTCAAAATAAAAAAATCGAAATGTAACATAAGCTGTCTTATCTTGATTGTGGTATATTTTGTTTTTATAATAAAACATATTTAAAGATCAAAATATAAAATGCAAACTTCTCTTATTTATGATCGATGGTTGCATGGAAGATTTAAAAGTCTCAAACTTTGTCCATAACCCTAAATATATTTAAGCATTAGAAAAGAATACTTGAGCTCAAACTTAGGTTTTTAGAAGAATCGAGCGAAACAATTTTTGTAGTGTCTCATGTACAATGGATTTCGATCAGTCATGATGTTTATATAATCTTTGATAATACGAGAAAGATTTAAAGTGCATTTTTTTATATTACTCGATCAGATAGAATGAGTTATTGTTTTGTTATACATCTTATACTCTCAAGAAAATTTAAGTTAAAATTACCGATTACGTGTAATAATATATTAAATTTACATTTGTCATTATTCTTTTTTTAATTTTATAACCAAGCCAGGTCTTACAGCAAAATCGCTACAATCGACGCTAATTCCTGATTTTTTTCCTATTTCTTGTAGAGATACGCTGCGAGGCCTGTCAAGCTTATCTTTTAATGTATATGATATTTTTAAAAATTACCTTAATTCAAAATAAAGGTGTTCAAAGAGAAAAAAAAATACGTACACTAGCGTTCATCTGACATTATACGGTGTGCGATTGAACGTCAGAATAATTTGAGGGTGGGTATGGGTTGGTGTGAATGTTTGAAAAAGAAACATTCACAGCTATTGTTCAAATTCAATTTTTTTTATTACTCAATAAAATCCCAGCCGATTAATTTAATAAAATAAGAAAGAAAATATATTCGAAAGGTTAATTTTTTAGTAAATAAATCAATTGAAGTTTTTATATTTAAAGGATAATGTTAGTGATTTGTTTCTTTTAAAACTAAATTTAATAGTAGAAAGGAAATTGTTAAATAATTGATTGTTTTTCTGGTTGATGCTAAATTTGTTTCTAAATAAACGGAAACAATTTCATCATTTTCATATGAATATTTGTTTGTTTGATTATCTTGTGTAGTTATCGTAAATATAACTAAATCTGTTATTAATTTTTCTTTATAATCTTTTGATAATGTTATTAAATTCATTCCAGATGTTTGATTAATAAAAGTTAAATCTTTAATAATCCCATCATTACTAATTATTTTCAATGTATCAATAATTTGTAAACGTACAGTAACTCGATTAGATAGGGCACTTTTAATTGTATAATTCATTTGAATTGTTTCACCTTGTGATATAATATATGGTTGATCATTTAATTCAATTGTAAATATTGTTGGTGAAATAAGTTGTTTTTCAATACGTTGAATTTGTTCCCCATTAATTAATGTAATAATTGTTTGAATACGAAATTGTTGTTGAGGAATACGAATATTTGTTAATATTCCAAGTTGATCTGATTGAAAAGGTAAATAATTTCTTATAATATATCCAAATTGATCGATAAGAGAAATAGTAACATTACTATATTGAACATTTTCACATGTTGTTAATATTATTAAATTAGAATCAAGAAGTGGTTCTGTGGTTAATTGAGTATAACCATTACTATCTTTATCAGATTCGAATTGTTTTTGTAAAGTTGACGAACAAATTCTATTTGTTTTACTATGTATCTGAATATCATAATCAAATTCTTGAGATAAATTTCCTGTTATTAATGACCATACGCCAACATTTGGTTGTAAGATTTTCCACATATATAAATGTTTTGAATGAATAACATTATCTGTTAGTATATATAGAGAATTATCAGGTTTACGTAATTGAATTTGATTAATATTTTTAATTTCTCCTAAAAATAATTTTTTCTTTTATTTTTATTGAAAAATATTTTTTCTTTACCCATTGATGAAATATCTAAATAGAGTTCATTAATCGATGAATCAACATAAAATCTTGTTGATATTGATTTCGATTTCGATATAAATATAGTTTGTAATCTTGTCCATTCTAATCGACGAAGAATAAATTCAGAAATAACTATTCGATCATTAATATTAATAGGAAAAGTAAGACCACCACTGATTGATGCGAAATCAAAATCATTATTATTTTCATCTAATGGATCAATTTTATTAAATATACGTCTTTTTATTTGTTCACCCATAAATGAATAAACAACAGCTCGTTTATTTCTTAATAAAGCACGTACTTGATGTTTTAAATAAGCATCTTTAGCTATTGAATCAGTAAATGTATAAATAACTGATGCATATTCACATTGTTTTAATCCTTCAACAAGACTATGATAATATAATTCACCATCTGTTGAATTTTTTTTCTCACATGTTTTTAAATTTTGAATAGCAATTGTTAAATCATTTGGATTACGTGAATTTACCATAATCTCAGCTTTATCACTATTAAATGTTATTAATATATAATTATGTGGAGCATATTCTAATTGACCATACTGTTTAACTATATTAATTGATATCTCTTTAGCTAATTCAGTATAATCAGCCATTGAACATGCTGTATCAATTGATATAATAAGACTATTTAAATTTTTTTTTAATGTTAAGAATAAACCAAAAGCTTCATCACCAATGACTTGTCGAAATTCATTGAGAATTTTTCTGGTAGCTTTATAAGCCATTTCTGCTGCTTGATAATGTAAATGACCATGAACAGAATCTAATTTATCTTTATTAATACCACCAATTGGTTCATTTGTTGCAGAACCATCAAAAAATCCTCCATGTGAACATTTACCTTTAGGTTTTTTTCCTATAATAGTACCTAAACCTTTTGGGATGAAATAACCCGTAGTAAGTAATTTGTTTTTAAGAATATTGACATCTAAATTTGGTTTTGTTTGACAATCTACACCCTGACAACTAATACATGTTCTCATATCAACTGATGCATATTCTTCTTTTTGAAAAAGTCGTTGACCAAGAACATCACTTGGTGATGTATATTCAAGTTCAATATAATTTGAATGACTATAGAAATCCTTTAAATTTATGAAAATAAAAAGTGATAAAAAAGAAAACAAGATTAACTCACTTGTAATGTATGTAACATCTCTCCGAATGTTTTCCGTGCTTGATCATAATCATCTGCTTTTAAAACACTGTCTACTGTTGCTTCATATCTTTTCATAACTAATTTTGATCCACCAAGAAATGTTTCACTATCGAAATGACTCTCGGATTTAAATACTTCTTTTAAATCTGTTTTTGTATTTGATGAAGCAATTGTTCGAATTGTTGTAGCATATTGCCATGGATTAACACCAGTTTGTTGAGAATTTGTTAAAATACTAACGATATCATAAACAAGATTTTTATCACATTGACCATTTGTTACATTAAATTTTACTTCTAAATATTTTGTATCAATTTTATATACTGATTGCAAATAATCAATAGTTACACGACAAAGAGCACAAACAGTTATTTCATAATGTGTAGTATCTTCATCTTTTCGAACAGATGGTTTTAAATCAAGAAAACCAGCATCGAATGCATAACAACTATTCAAGATTAAAAAGAAGAAGAAGAAAACCGTTGACATCATAATTCAACAACAGAAATAACTGATTTTATTATGTCTTATATACCATATGCCTGTTGCCTGTTACTTGATAGGTTATCTTATGTAAATACTGACATTATTCATCATGTGCTTTGAAAGAAATGAAATATTTACTTGTTTTGAAATTGTAACATGATATACATGAATTTTATTAGCTTATATGTAACTTAATCTATTTGAATTAAAGCAAAGAACAACAAAATCTAATAAGAATTTTATATTATAGTAGAAGTTTAGAAAAAACGTATTTATTTGGATTTTTGTTCTATGAGATAATTCTATAAATGATTCAAACAAATCAATGAATAAAATATAACGTTTTGGAGAAAGTACGCAGAGTTCCAAGTACCCATCTATTATTCAGAAAGGTTCTGTAAGATAACCGATATGTATACTTTGTAAGTTTTCAGTAATTATACCACTGTTGAGTTCGAAAGTAGGTGATTTATAAATCATAAATTTTTCAACCGAAAATTTAAAATAGTTATAAAGATTTTTGGTATTTATAAATCTGTTTTTGACTTATAAATGCTTGAAAGATTTATAAATATCTACTCGATTTATAAATCTAACTCGATTATAAACGAATATTGGATAAATAAGTGCGAGTATATTGTATAAGCACCTGCCCAGTTTACGAATTTTGAACTGATTGATAAACAAAACTAATTAAATTATCTTTATCATTTTAACTTAAAATATGAGTATATAACATCCTCGTGGTGGAATATAATTTTACCAAATTTAAAAGCACTATTCTCACGAATTTCTAGTAGACATTTACACAGCTTCGAATTTCAAGACTTATCAATTTACCAATTTCGACCCTATTTATAAATCTCGACCACATTTATAAACATTTTAAATTTTTTCGATTTCTGATAAATTTAAATATTTGTCAAAATCATTTGAAACTCAACAGTGAATTATACGCATATCATTATACCGTATTGAGTATCCTATATTTGTCGTGTGTGAGTGAGATATATGAGAGACACACTCACATCCACACCCACGCAGAAACGGTAAAGAATGCTTTTTTTCCTCTCCTATTTCAATCGTCATCAGCACTTGCAACATATATTTTCAACAAGTCTACAAATGAATCATATTGTTCCTTCGATCTATAAAATCGAAACGATTCAAACGTTAGATGCCAGGAGTTTAAAGTCTGAGCAAGTTTTCAGATATAATTCTATAGGCAGCTCTTCACTCATATGCATTTTCAATATCTTCTACGAAAGAAGTATTTGTCCTACTATGTATATTTATTATTTATAAAATTTGATTAAACTTTTCTAATTCAATCAAGTTCTAATTACATGCTACACCTTGAAACAATAGCTATTGAATTGTTACAAATATGGAAATTAGTATAAAGTCTCTGTAGATCAATTTTCTTTTTATTGACAATATTTGTGTTTTATTCAGCTTTTGTAATTATTTGTAAATTAACACGTCAATATTGTTTATGATATATAGAAAAAAAAACGTGGGCAATAATGAAATGTTTAAGTTCTTTCGCACGGACAAACTCTCAACAAGGAAATAACGCGTTACTGAAACTCATCATTTTGTAATAGGAAATTATGTGGATCAATTTCCGATTTTTCATAACGCATGCTTGGAAGAAACACACAATTAGAAATTAAAAGAAATTATTTATACCAGTTTACTCTTTCCTATTCTATTTTTCCATTTAATATATTTTTTCATATCATTTTCTTATGCAGTTTTTAAAGATTTCTTATTCTATCTTATTGTATAAGTTGTATCACAGTTATAGTGTTTAAGACAAAATATATATTTATTTTTATTTTAAAACCATACCATCATTTCTTACAAATCTTACACTAACAAAGGTTTTATCTGTATAATAATATATATTTTGTTTTTAATATTATCGAGAAACTAAAGTACCTTCAACAAGATATTTATATTACTTTTTTGATGTACTGTAGATCATTTATCCTTCATCAAATCGACTTGATAGTATAAAGATGTTTCATATTTATCATGATTTATTTATTTTTATCAGTTGTATGTTGATATCTATTGAAACTCAACATATACCTACTGGTTGGCAATCATTCGTTGATTTCTCCAGTTCAGGAGTCGAGTTCTCTCCTAAAGATATCAATGCTATATTCTTACAGGAGATGAGTGTTGATTCTATATACAATTCACTAGTTACGGACAGCCTTGTTCACTTTGTCGAGATAGTCGATATCTTCAATGCATTAATTCAACATGTCAATGTCAGCCTAATACATATTTTGATGGATCAATTTGTCGAAGTCAAAAACTATTGGGAGATGTATGTATAAATGAAACAGATTGTCGCATTGATCGTAATTACACTTGTTTACCACGTCTACAATGTGCTCGTAAGTAATTTATATTATTCACTAAAGAAATCTTCCAGATAACTAAATCTATTGTTATTGTAATCGTTCATACCGGCGATTTCAACCAACATAGTCTTTCTATGCTAATTTGTTAGATTGAGTACATTCCTATTTATCGTTGATACTATGTACTCAGTTTTCGAATAATATTTTATTTCTGTTTTCTAGCATTATCTCTTCAGAACGGAACCACTGTTGGAGGCTACTCAGATGGCACAGCTGGTTCAGATAACAATGCTCTCTCTTACCCAGATGCATTAGCTGTAGGCATGGATAGTTCGATTTACGTTGCCGATCCTGGTAATAACCGCGTAATGCGACTGCGTGAAGGTTCTACAACGGGTACAATAGTCGCAGGTTCAGATTCTTGGGGTAATGACGCTAACCAATTAGATTATCCAAATGGTCTGTATGTCGATGCATTAGCAAATATATATGTAGGTGATAGCAAAAACTATCGTGTAATGATTTGGAGAAATGGATCATCTCGTGGTACTCAAGTGGCTGGAGCAGGTTATTACGGAGAGACATTAAGTGAAATAGCTGAAATCCTAGGACTTACGGTTGATTCTCATAGAAATATTTATATAGCCGAAAAATACACTCATCGAGTGACAAAATGGGCTCCAGGTGCTAGAAGCGGTATACTTGTGGCAGGTGGAAATGGTGAAGGCCCTAACAGTGATCAACTCAGTTATCCAGGTGGACTTTCTCTTGATGAGGCACACTCGTATCTTTATATTGCTGATAGTGGCAATAATCGTATTCAAAGAATAGTATTAGGTGGTTCAACAAATGCTATTACTGTAGCAGGCGGAAATGGCGCCGGATCAAACAATAACCAGTTCAACAGCCCATCAGATGTGTGTTTTTCAAAGAACATTGGTGCCATATACATAGCTGACCAATATAATAATCGAGTTACACGGTGGTATATTGGCGCAACAAGCGGAGTTACCATTGCCGGTATGGATGGTTACTCAGGGGCTTCTCCAGTGCTGCTTAATGGTCCATGCGGTTTGGCATTGAGTCTGAATGAAAGTTTTCTCTATGTTGCTGACAGTGGTAATAGTCGCGTTCAGCGTTTCATGATGATATAGTTGACACATATTTGTATTATATTTATCAGAAATATTTACAACAATTATATACAGTTATTTTCAATTTATATTGAACTTGCATTTCTTTTCGCATACAAATTGCTTACTTTGACACTGCTTCTGCTTATATATAAAAATATAAATATCTATTCTAGCAAAAAATAAACTATAAAAATCAATTTTTTTCAAAGAAAAAGGTTCATATCATTATCGTTATTTGTTGTTGAGGACATACACTTTTGACTATTGCTTATTATTATCTTAGCTGTTACACGATTTATCGCGTCACTTTAGAATACAGATGTTTGTAAAAAAAACTAAAAGAGAACTACAAAACAGTATAATTTCATATTCTTTTGATTGATTTACAAAAGAAAAACTTATACAAATATCTCGTTTTTTCGGTTGCATCAGAATTATTTGTCATCAATATTTCAATTTTTTTTGATTTTTTCGCCTAAAAAATGTAGGAATTCATCAATCTCCTTTTTGAATTTCTTCTCTAAATATTACACCCTTATACCGAATATATTGGCCAACAGCTTTGTTTTCTTTTCTATCAGGAACATGTAGTGAATCTGCTTGTTTTAACTTGTCAATATTGTAATAAATAATACTCAGTGGAATGTGTATTTCATGATGAATAAGAGAAACAGATCGTATGTCTCTGTTCCAAAAAGACAAAATTGAAATATGATGATCTTTCAAGTTACTGGTCGATGGCATAATTGAATGAATATATATTCAAGAGGAAAGGAATTACACTTCTATATATATACAACGTGTAGTATATCTGTCGAAAGCTTGTCCCTCAACAAATCATTTTTTTAGTCATTTATAATAGTATATACACAAACTCACACTCACACTCACACTCACATCCACACCCTCAACGAATAGAAAATATAGTGTTCAATAGATTTTGTGCATTATTTTATTGGTTAGTCTAAAATACATCTATACATAAAAATAAGGTGCATTTTTTTCTAACTAATTAATTAATATGACATGATCATATTGAATGTGATTTCTAGTTTAATATATAAGTTTTATTCTTAATTTAAACATCCATAAAGTCCAATATGTATTTGTCCTCTTGGTACAATAATTTTCCATATTTCTAAATTATTTTCTTGTGCAGTTTTTCCACTTTCTACAATCGCATCAGCTAATAGATATTTACTTGTATTACTTAAAAATCCTTCTGATGAACCTGTAACTTTATCCAAATGATATGTATGATGATTAATATTAATTTGTTCAAAAAATTTCGTAACTTGACAAATATGTTCCGAAGCAATTAATGATTTATTATCATATGTCCATTTTTCTGGTTCTATAATTGCACCTTTACGACATAGGAGTGCAAGACAAATAGTTGGATCAATAATTTGATGAATAACCGAATAAACTTTCGGATAATTTTTGACAACAGGTTCAAATGAAATAATATGTGTTACACGTTTTGATGCTAATAACCATATCATATCTTTTGGTTTACTTGAATGAAATGATAATTTCATATTTGATTCATTACCAAAATATTTTGAAAATTTATTTTCATCAATTATTTCTCCATTAACTTGAAAATTTCTATTTGTATGTCGAGTTATTTTAATCCCTAATTCTTCTTCGGCAAATCTATCAGTTTTTTCCGTATATTTCGATGTTGTTATTCCAATAATAATTTCTTTTGATATTTGTTCTGTTATATCTTGATTATTATTTTGTTTTTCTTTCCATCGACGTGAATTTAATTCATTAGAAATATCTTCAATTGTTATACCCATGCCATTTAAATACATAATAAGATGAACAAATAAATCACTACATTCAGATATTTGATTATCTTCATGACCTGCAACAACTTCCCAAAATTCTTCCATTATTTTTGCAAGTGCTAATTGTGGATTTCGTTGTATTTTTCCTGAATAACTATCAGAATCAATTTTCGATTTAATATGATCAGCTAATGTACCAAAATTAGCTTTAATACTTGTTTGTAAATTAAAACAACTATGATGACCTTAACAATAGAATAAATTAAAATATAAATAAGAAATAAAAGTTTCTTTACCAGTATGACAAAATGGATTTTTTGAATCAACTGTAATTAATATTGTATCACCATCACAATCTAGACTTATTTGAATAATATGTTGAATATCACCTGATGTTTCACCTTTCATTATTAATCTTTGTAATTTTCTTGAATAACGATATAATTTTCGTTCTTGACATGTTTCTTCAATTGATTCTCTATTCATATAACATAAACCTTTAACAATTCCATTTTTATCTTGAATAATAGCTGGTACAATTCCATTTTCATCAAAATGAATCATACTATTATATATATTTCCAATTGTTAATTTATTTTTCCATATTGCTGAACCAAGTAATGGAATAATACGTGGATATGACCATAGATATTCTAAATCTTCTAATGTACTTATTCCACCACCAATATAAATTTTTTCAATATTAGAAGGAATTTGTAAAATTAAATCATGTATTTGTTGACGAGGAATACCTGATAAATGTCCTTCAGTTTGAACAAATGTTATACTAATAACATTAACACCAATTTGAATTAATTGATTTATTCTTGTTATTATATTTATATGAGTATTTGTTCGACGTCCATGAATAAGTACTTCATTTTCTTCATTAATACTTACTTCAATAATTAAACGATTCTTTGCTATTTTTTCAATTAATTCATCATCAGCACTTGCTATAGCACATCGACGTATACCAGATTTTAACATATCATCAATATCATTTAATGATCTTAAACCACCACCTGTATGAACATAATGTTTTTGAGCTAATTTTTTAATAATTTCACGATTTTTTCTATTAAGTTCTCCAAAAGCACCATTTAAATCAACAACTAATATATCAGGAAATATCGATAGATATTTCATTGCTTGTTCATAATCTCCATTATTATGTATTTCACATACTCGGGAACTTTTAACTAATACTGGTTGTCCATTAAACATGTCCATAGTAACAATAACACGTCGAGGATTTTTTCCTTGTATATTTAACCATAATGATTTTAAATTGGATGGAATTTTAAGTTTTGTATTATTTAATAATTGTTGAATTTCTTGTTTATAAAAATAATAATTATTATTTAATAATTCTGTTTCATGAAATTTATTTTTCATAAAATATTCATAAAATATTTTATTAAAATCATTCCATTTATTTAATATTTGTTCACGTGAAGATGAACCACCTTTTCGCCATATATCTTTATCAAATTTATTTTGATTATTATCTATCATTGTTATTCTCATACAATCTTGATTAATTTCACTCCAAAATTCTTCACCACTTTTATTAAGCATAAAACAAACATCTTTAATTAATAAATTGACACGAGAAAAATATGATTGTATTATCATAAACATTTTTAATACAGATAATTTTGTTTGTTTTATATTAATTACATCATTCAATAAATCTTCAGTTATATTTTTATCTCCAACCTAAAAAAACAAAACAATATGAATATTTTTAATAATTTAATAAAATTTCTTTTACTGATATTGCATATTTTGGATTAGAAAGAATTTTCTTAAAAAATTCTTCTTTGCCAACAGCTTGTTCATATATATAATAATATATATTTTTCGTCAATGCTATTTTTGTTGTTGGTGATATATGATTTGGATTTCTCCAATCAAGTCTTACATACGGACCAGATAAATATTCCCCATTACCATTTGTTAAAACAATATTTTCATTATTTAATATATCATAAAATGAATTTTTATCAGTTCCTTCACAATATCGTTTAACAATAACTTCTATTGGAGTAATTTCATCAATAAAATCACTAATTATAATACCATTTGAATTAATTGAACGATAAGAATGTTTTAAATCATTACGCCACATCATTTCCAAAAATAATTGAGAACCACATGCTCGAACTGATCCTAAAATATATATTCAATTTAATTTATTAATTCTAATAAATAAAATATTTGTTACCTAAATTATTAATTTCTCCTGTAATTTGCATTGAATGTGAATAAATCGTCGATTTTAAAATAATAAAAGCTAAATCTTTTGTAAATGGATTTCCACTAATATCTTTATAAATTTTTTTTGATTCTCCCTCAGTAATGAGTTTAAGAATAGGTCCATTGATTGATAATTCATATTCTCCAATTCGTAAAAGATTTTCTTCTTGAATTATTTCATAATTATTTAAATACCATCTTATATATAATTTTTTTTTGTCAATATTATCAAATTCTTCTTCATATTCAGGTAAATCTTTTATTTGCTTAATATCATAAATATTTATTATTTTATAAAGTTGATTTTCAATATCACATTCTTGAATAATATTATAATTAAGTACTTGAGTACCTATTTGACGATAATATTGATAATAATTCGAATATATTTCAATAACATCGAGTACTTGAGTACAAACCTGTGGTATAGTTTGTTGTGTTGTATCAATAAATGGTATACCAAAATGAGCACTTAAATGACGAAAACGTTGTTGATAATAATTTAATGCTTTTTGTGTTTCCCATATACTTTTTTTCGATCGTGTTTGTATTCGTTTTAGAAGTGTATCAACTTGACAATCTAGAATAATCCAATAAATTTTTTGTCCATTTATTGTTTCATTTGGTAATTGAATTTTATCAAAATTTTCTTTATCAAATGTATATTCTAATATTAATTTATCAATAATAGTTGGATCAATTCCATAATCATTTGCTAATTCATTACCACGTTCAATAGCAATAATATTATTATTATGAATAACTGCTTTTTTTGAATTTATTAATTCACATATACTTGTTTTTCTACAACCATCATTTCCCAATAAACAAATTATATCATATTTTGCCATCTAACTTGTTTTTCACAAATATTCGTACACCTGGTTGTTGGACAAAATAATTTAATGAATAATATTGAAATGCTGCGTTTTTGACTATCTATTTCGTAATCAAAAAAAAATGTAAATTTATCATGTTTTTCAATCTTTTTTATAGCTAAAACATGGTCTTCACCGTTCGTTAATGTTTATGAATAGACGAAAACAAAAACGTGATAGTTTTTGCATAGCCATTTAGAAGCATGCGATGTGTATGCTCATAAAAAAGTATTGCGTCTTTTATTATCAATATGTATCAAAAGAAATCGTCATTCACCCTTAAAAGCCGATCGCTAAAACAGAGACTCTGGCCCTTCAGTATGATTATAGAAGTATGATCGGTAAAAAATTGCGAGATATCTTTTTCTGATAGATCGACAATATACCAAAGTTCACAGTCTATTTATGAATAGACAATTTTTTTTAAATAAAAAACTATTGTTTCGTCTAGCAGTCATTTGAGAATAATTTATTTCACTCTCTATGATCAATCCGATTCTCTTAGTTCGAAAAAGTACTGGATTCTATATATAGACTCTTATTACGTTTCTTATTGCAATTAATCATAGTGTACAATATAAGTCTAAATGTTGCATAAAAAAACTATTTTTATAGTGAATTTATTAAGAAGATAATAAAATAAAAAATGTTTTATTTCTCATTGATTTTTAATTGTAGATTCATCGATTAATGGTATTTGTTTACCATCACGATAGAATGCACCATTTATTAATTCATTTTGAGGAGCATTAACGACGTATAAAATAGAATCAGCACCAAATTCAGCAGGACGTGCTTCAGAAGCATGTTGAGTCATATCAGTAGAACAAAATCCTGGTGTTACACTAGCAATAACTAAATTTTTCGTAGTAGACCATTCTCGTGCTTCGATTTGTGTAAGAGCATTCAATGCCATTTTTGTAACACCATAGACTAACACCTCTGATTTTATATTATATCCAATATTTTCAAGAGTATTTGTTTCAATTGCTGAAATAAAATCTTCAACTAATTGATCAAGTTTTTCTTTTGTTAGTGTTGATGATATATATTTTTCTCGAAGTGTTGGAGTAATATCTTGTAATACATTAACACCAACACGACTTGATACATTAATTATTCGACCATTTTCTTGTATCATAGAAATTAAATGTTCATTTAAAATTTTAACACCATAGTAATTAGTATTGAATAATGCTCGAGCTGTATCTACTGTTATTTCTTGTGTTAAAATAGCAGCATTGTTAATGACAATATCTATTTGACCATCATATTTTTTTTTAATTTCATCAATAACACAATTAATACTATCTTGAGAAGATGTATCCAATTGTAGAACATGAACATTAGATGGAGAATTTAATTGTATGAATGCATCTTGACCACGTTTTAAATCACGACTACCCAGTAGAATAATATCATTGTTTGATGATGAGTTTTCTACAAGTTTTTTAACTATTAGAAAACCAATACCTCTATTTGCACCGGTAACAAGAATCACGCGTTGTTTTTCTGCCATTTACATACAATAGCAATAAAAAACAAATTGTTTGCACTTGACGAATGAAAGAATAATGATATTTCGTTAAGATATAAAATATATATACCTAAAAGAGAAATAGAATTAAAAGTATTTCGATATATTATATTTATTATTTCTATTGATCCTAATATGAAACTCTTAGATAATAAAAGAATGAAATAAGATGAAGTTCTGTATTTTAAAATAGTTATACTGGAGTTTTGTATTTCACGAGACAAATATGTATTATTTTATATATGAACAATATGACTCATTTTGTCTTTGAAATAAAAAGTAACCTATAAAATCATTCGAGTAAATATATATTGTTTACTTCTTTATTAAGATGCGTAGACACGCGTTGATTAAATATACTCTTTCGAAAGAAAAAAAACAAAGAAAGAATGAATAAATGTCAGTCAACTATTTCTATGTAGACGTTATAATAAAACAAAAAAGGAAATGAAACAAAAGTAGTGAAATGCGTCTATCATATAAAATGTACTTAACTGTATTTTTTCTTTCTTCTTATACAACCTTCTAAATATTCATTGAATTATAGACAACAACGATTCTCAATAATATACGTCATATTTTTCAATTACAAATTCTATTTATTCAATATAATCATATTAAAAATATAAACATCATGCATATATTGAATTTTAAATAAAATAAAGAAATTAATTCTAATCGAAAGAAATGTATTTCTTCAAATATGTTAAAAAACAGATTAATATTCTACAATAGAAATTTATTTGAAAAATAATGTCAAAAAAAAATAACACAGATTTATCTATTCTTTTACGCTTCTTTGATCACTGGAATGACCATTTATAGAAATATTGTCGACTGTATGAATTCTTGATTTTTTTTCTAACACTATTCTAAGGTGGAAAGAGCTTTGATGAATTTTGTCTCACAGCAAAACTTGAATAACAAAAAAAGACTTATCTAGCCGTTATATTTTTATCTTTTATTTTATGTAAAGAAAAGATAAAATATTTGGCTAACTTGTAACCATTAATTATAATATTCTTTTTTTTTGTACTTTTTATTCTTTCACATTGATCGAGAAGTACATTTTGAATATGTTACGATCATGTTCTTTTACTATCATATTAATTAATTTATTTTTTCCATCGACTTCTATGATGATAATCGATGAAAACAATTCAATAAATGAAACTCTTAATTGGGCTGAAGTAACAGCAACAAGATTAGTTGTTTGTTATTATAATGAAACATCAGGTATATGGTTAAATGAATTAGCATGGCAATCTGGTAATACATTAGAATCACTTGCTAATTTTCTATCTCATCTTGATTCACCTTTAAAATATGTCTTTAATAATACATTTATAAAAACTGGTATGTTTATTGGAGGTGATTGTTTTGATGATTATCAATGGTGGTTATTAGGTTGGTTACAAGCATATTCTGTTGATCAAAATATAAATTATTTACATCGTGCTGCAGATATCTATGATATAATTGTTGATAAAGCATGGAATGTAACACAATGTTCAGGTGGAATACAATGGTGTCCTACAAATGGATATAAAAATGCTATAACGAATGAATTATTTTTATCATGTAGTATGAGATTACATCCATATGCTACAATACTTGGTAAATCATCAACATATTATCTTAATTGGGCATTAAAAGAATGGCGATGGTTTGAAAATAGTGGTATAATTAATGCTGATTATTTAATTAATGATGGATTAAATTCTAATGATAATATATGTGTAAATAATAATCAAACAACATGGACATATAATCAAGGTGTTATTTTATCTGGTTTAGCTTTATTATATAATGCAACAAATAATAAAACATTATTAAATATTGCACAAAATATAGCTGATGCAACAATACAAAAATTAATTTATTCAAATGGAATATTAAAAGAACCTTGTGAACCTAATTGTGATAATGATCAAAAATTATTTAAAGGAATATTTGTTCGTCATTTAAGTTATCTTCTACCATATTTAATAGATCCAATTCATATACAAAAATATACTTTATTTTTACAACAAAATGCAATATCAGTTTCAATGACAAATCGATGTGAATTAGATGGATTATTTGGTTTATTTTGGAATAATACATCAATTAATAATTGTGATTCAACACGTGATACCGCTACAACTTCATCTGTATTAGATTTATTTCTATCGATTGTAAATACTCAACAACAAATAACAACATCAAATTGGATATTATTAGGTATGGGAAATTGTATGGATGATCAAAATTTTAGTATGTCAAATTTTTATAAAAATGATGTTACTGAAAATATTTGTCGTACAACGGCTGATAATGATATAGGTGCTATTGCATATGATTATGAATTAAAATGTAATGGAAATGGATTTTGTCGTATACGAACATTATCTGATCGAAGTTTAACACCCACAGGATGGACATATGAAGTTGGTAATGCAATTACTGTTACACGTACAAATAAAATCATACTTACAAATTGTTATTTAAGAACAAATTAGATTGAATTGTATTCATACATATTTAACTAGTATATTACATTTATAAGATTGAAATTGATTGTATTCTTCTGTATAATAAATTTTCATAGTATATAATACCGTCTTCGAAACAACGCTCGCATGGAGACTTGCTCAGCTCGTTCTCATAGACATAAGGACTTTTTTTAGAAAACTGCTCTTCATCTACAAAATGCTTCTCAATAAAAATCCTAAAAAACTAACGTCAGATTTGCGCTCCAATTATCCTTCGATCAACCTTTACTTATAAAAGAAATTTTTTTCTTAAAAGAGTGGTCTTTAGTATAAAAAAAGCGATCCTTAAAAAGTTTTAAAAAACTAGCATCAGGTTCGTATTCTTCGACCTCGACCACTCTTCGATCAAAGTTTATGAAAACCAATCGTTTTTGTTTTCAGATTAGTCTTCGATCAATGAGTGAAGTGCGGACATACAATCAAGCAGACAATTTATGTTTGCAAGACTCTTCTCTATGAAAAAGAGAATTATGAAGATGAACATTATGCCAGTATTATTTGTGCAGATTTTTTGTGGTATAGGAATGGATATTAAATTAAAAGAGAGAAATATGATTAAATTTTTGATATCAGAACGTCATTCAACCGTTGATGGTACATAGTATGGGAGGGTATGGGTGTTAATATCAATGTCTCTCCTTTATTCCATCATCCCACACCCACACCTTCAAGATGATCATCATTCATTAGTATTATTCTATGCTTTTTATTATTGTGTCATTGTAAAGCCTATAAATTTCTTCTTTTTTTGTATTCAAAATCATTATATTTTATAAATTAGTTCAATTAATACTGGAACTTTATTTATTTTTACATATTATTAAACGAAAATAAACAATACAAGAATAAGTGTCACAACATATTGATTTCACTGCGAACAATACTAACAACAATAACAATCAATAGAATAATTTCATACTCATAGATAAACAAGAATAATTTCACTTTACATAATGACATAAAAATAATTAAAATTGATTTTACTATGAAAATTGCACACAATGTAGAATTATTGAATAGCAGTAATTGTTCTCATTTGCATTGTGCCTTGCACAGTTCGATTGAAAGGCATCACTGTGCTTGGTTTTCGTAAGTTTCGAATAATATTTTTCAATTGTGGAATAGAAAAAAGTAATGCTACACTCAATCCCATTTGAGATAAGCTAATTCCAACATATGCAATTCGAGCAAGTAATGGATTCTCTTTACCTGTTATTATAAACATAAATGTAAGGACACCGGAAGGCATTCCAAGACTAAGTAATAAATTAACAATTATTAAAATACGTCGAATAATAATTAAATCTCGAGATTGTCTTTGTTTAATTATTAATGTTTGCATATTTCCTTGTTGACGAATAAATCTTGTTATATACATATAAATAAATAAGATACAACAAAGTGGACACATATAACCAACAAATGCTGCCCAAAGAACACCAGGAATATTTGTGAATGATGGACAACAAAAATAATCATTTGGTAAATATGTAACACCATTCAAAGGTATAAGAACACTTAGAAGAATAGGTATTAATATTATTATTTCTATCATTGGTAAAATTACATATAATTTTAAAGATCGAAACCATCTATGTTGAGAATAAACAATTCGAACAAGACGATAAAATGCCTAAAATTATTTCAAAAAAAAGAATATATAACTTTTTTAATTTCTATTCCTTCAAATTACCTGATTTAGAAAATTCCAGTATAACATACAAAACAATACGAGAGATAAATATCCTGAAAAAATACACCATGGTGAATCAAAAGATTGATTATACAAATCACCCAATATTGATCGAATATTCGTTGATATTAATATTGATGAATATATTAAAATTGTTAAATATATATTACTACAAAGAACAACAGTTATTTTGTCTTCACGTTTGACATGATTATAATAAAGATGATATAGAATAATAAGAAAAACTATGCACGATATCAAACATGCAAATGTATTAAAGCCAAGAGAAACCGAACTAAGGATAAAACCATTGATTTTTGTTTGATCATTAATCATAATAGAAGCAATGAATATAAAGGAGAAAATGTTTCTAAACAATAATTAAAATGGTTAAATAAATAATATAAATGTTCATAGAAGAAGCCGTATACGTAAAAATAAATTTAATTCTATTTAAAACATTATCAAATTGTATTAGTTGGATTATGTCTGGCTAATAAAAATTTGTTTTTATGACAGCTAAGATTAAAATTATGACATATCTCAAATCAGAGATCGGTAAGTCAAGTCAAATTTGATATGACTTGACTTGACTGATGAAAACGTCTTACTTGGCCATCTCTCCTTCAAATAAAAACAATTATTTGTTAAAAATTCCATTTAGTTTCAATGTTTTTCCTTTATCTATACTGTCGAAAGAATTTCTGTTGAAACTTTTGTGGATATTAAAATATATTTTATTTTAGTCAATCGTATATCTCAAGAAAATTTTACCTTTAGAATTAATATGAACTGAAAGTTCTATCAAACTCTATGGTGAAAGAGTATAAAGAGTTTATTTTTCTCAATAATAAATCATATGTTTGTATTATTTTAGAGCATCATTATGAAAAAAATATAGTCTATATAAAAGACTAATTAAGGTTATTATTCATTATTAGTGACATACAAAGTTGTTTAATTATGATTTGAAATAAAATATCTCATCAAAAATGTCTGAGATAAGACTAATGATGATATTCATGTTTTAACTGGAGAGTTTTCTAATATATTATTAGTCTATGTAAACTTCTTCCTCATTCAGACAATAATTGCCTGTCGTCTATTACAGCTTTAAGAAAATACTTATATTATTATTAGCAAAATTCAGCAATGATCTCTTGTATTAATATATATATATAGAGAGAGAGAGAGACAGATATTTATTTGACTTTGATATAATAGTAACAGAACAAAAAAGAATTTTTTCTTTTTCTTTTATTGAAATAGTTTTCTTTAAAAAACATTCATTTTCAAATTTATTCTTTGAAGAGAATTTTTATGATAAAATTCATAATAACAAAGATAAGATTATAAATGTCTTGTGGAAGATTAATGATTTATATTTATTAAAAATTATTAAATAAAAAAAGAATACATTCATTTGATTACAAAAACTAAATAAAACTTATAAAAAGATTTGTAGAATTTTCTATAATAATATAAATTGCACTTGCACTCAGTTATACAAATAGGAAAAGAATTAATGATTTGTTTGTTTAACTTGTCATACAGTAAAGTGCAAAAGTGTTTGCACTGTGCATAAATGAACTTTCTGTACAAACATCTGTGGAAGTTTTTTGAAAAGAGTTTTTGAGAACTTTCTACAAGGCAGGATGTGGATGTGATTATGGTGTATGTGCTACTTATACCCACACCCTCTTGTTAATTTTGATATCGATATGTTTATATAGCATAATACATCACGATCATTCACAATGGCTTTCGATAACAATATAACTGTCTTATATTAAATAATCAAGTTGCAAGATGTTACAATCTTTTAATATTTATATGTTGGAGATTTTTCTACATAGAATATTGAATGAACCATCGAAAACATTTGGTTAATTAAAAAAAAAGGATTAAGCGGTAAAGAAAACAGAGTTAAAGATTTCGAAGAATATTTGAATGTGTTTATTTTCAATAAAACTTATAGTTGATATAAAAACATCGTTATTAAATAGTTTAATATATTTAAATGAATATTGTTATATATACCCATCATATCGAGATCTAATTTTCATTGATTTATAAAATGCTGCAATCTGATTGGCTTGAACATTCTTTAAGCATTTTTATCGAGCTTATAACCCCTTCTTTCGGAAAAGGAAATAAATTCTTTATTAATAAAAAATAAAAATTAATCTTTTGTTGTATAACTTATTGTAACAAACAATGTCCTGAATGACCACATTGTATAATATCACTCTTTTCTATTCTTTGTAGTTGTACATCTGTAGACTGAGTATTTAAACATACTTTAATCACCGGTTTCTGATCACCAACAATCCAAAAATGTATCCAAGATTGAGAATCTAATTTAAAAGTAAAACTATTGTTTGTCGATAAGCGATGCGACATTTTTAAAAGCCATTGATGCATTCTTTCAGGTTCATTTAAATCTGTTTGACAATTGATAATATGAAATGAAGCATGTGATAAATATTTGAATTGATCGATTAGATATATCATTTGATCATAAGTATTTATTTTCGTTATCAAACGTTCGATATTTGGAAATAGAAAAGGCAAATCGATCTGTTTACTTTTTTTATTAGAGAACAAAAATTGTGATAAATCTAAAATCCGAATTTGTTCAAGAGGAACTATATCAAGAATTTTTGTCCAAGATAAATCACAATCAATATTGAGATGATAGACACATGGCATTGATTGTTTTATCATTCGAAATAAATTTTTTAACGACCATGATGCTGTTGTTCGAATACATAAATATTCTATACGTGAAACATCAATGACACTTTTATCGATATTTGGAATTAATAATGTCAATTTTTGTACATGTCTATATCGATAAGATGGTTTACAATCTGAACCGAGTTCTAATTCAATAACATTATCATAAAGAATTCTATGTTGATCAATAGGTAATGTTGTTGCATGAGATAAAATCGTATATGAACGATATTTAATTATTCGAGGAGCAAAATAAGGTACAGTATATAATATTGAATCATCAGGATTAAATGATACGTACCAACATCGATTTTTATGCAACCAAAATGGTGTACGAAAATGAGCGAGAATATTTTCTTTATTCTGATCAATATTTATTATTTTAAATTTAAAATTAAATATTCTAAGCGATGGTAAATGATTTAAAATAAATATTTCCCATTGATCACCATCGAGAAGATTCATACTTCCACCAGAAGAAACGTTAAGTTTAAGTTTTTCTAGATGTGGCATACGTGCAAGAAATCGTTCAAATAAAAGACGTGATATTGCTCGAGCTATAAAAAAAATATTTACTCAATTCTATTTGATTACAAAATTTTCTACTTACTAAATGTTTGAATCGATAAATTTAGATGCGTAAGCGCAAGAGACATTTCTTGACGTTGTTCTGCAAAATAATCAATACCACTACAATCTGATATTAATAATGAAATTGTCAATGAAGTAAGTTTTAATGCATCAGAAAGTATTTGACGTAATTGATGATATGAACAATAAGGTAAAATAAGAGATTGAATATGAGAAAATGATAAAGATGAAAGAAATGATTCATGGATATAATCATCTTCAATATATTTATTCACAACAAGTCGTTTCAATTGTGATCCAATGTAACGAAGATGAGACATTGTATCGATTTCAAATGAAACTAGACTTTTTATTTCACATAAATTATCGAAGAGAGATTGACTATTATTATCAATATCAATCAATGTAAGTGCACGAAGATGAATGAATTGATTAATTGGAAAAAGTGATAAATAGAGATGAGATTGATATGGAGTATCATTATTATCAGACAAAATCAGTGATATTATTTGATCAGGTCGAATACAGCGACAGATATGATCAAAATCTCGCTTGAGAATTGATTGAAAGTTAACATGATAATATTTATAACTTGAAATAATATTATGAACACAGGTACTGATATTATAAAATGAATAAAGAATATCGTCAGCCCAAAGATAATCAAAAATATTGTGTAGAATTTCCGCAGGTAATAAATCGAAAACAAATGTACGTTGACGGAGAGATAAACTCATTGAAAAATATCTCTATTTAAAATATTTTTCCATAGTAAATACAACCACATGTTTCCTTGATAGTCTCTGTCATGAAAGAAAATGTGGCTACATCGTTCTTTTTCTCTTCTTGACTTTGACGAGAGAAAAAAAAACATTTTTTTTCTGTTATGGAAGAAAATAACAGAACGGAGAATTTTTCTTATCTCTCGCTACTCTGTCTAACATCAGTCTGTGACAGAAAAGAACAAAAAAACCAGCATCTTCTCATGGCATTACTCTCTTAGCACAGAAAAATACTTAGAAAAAGCAGCACGTACGAGATTTATTCTTATGTACGATAGTCAGAATGTATCTACAAAATAATTGTTATATTCAATAATATTGACAAATGGTCTCTTTGTGTATATATTATTCAATTTTTAGAATTACATTGGAATCGATAGATGAAAAGATTGCATTTAATATTTTTCCAATTAAAATGAATGAACAAGCGAAAAAATTCATTCTGGTCATAAGAAGTACTTTCTTTAATATCTTATTCTAACTAAGATAATCATAAGAATTAAAACTCAAAAGTTAACAAAGATACATAGTCACCTAGAAACGACTCATTGTTAGAAAATAATATGTGTTTATTCCATATCAGTTTGCTTTATGAGACACGATTTTTCATTGCACTCACATCTGGTCATAGATAAGAATATAAATATACTTATTTTTTTTTCATTTAATAACAAATACAAAATGCTCGTTTTGCTAATTATTTTATTGTTGTCAATAGACGTTGCACATACTCTACAATGCATAACCAATTGTTCAATTGGAAACTTTCGTTTTGATGAACCAATTAGTATTCCTGATGGTCGATGTCAACAACGTAAATCAAAATCGGACTGTACTATGAGTTTAAAATTTCTGTATCATCAGCACACGTATAATGCAGAATTTGATACTATTGTACTACCATCGGATTTCATTTACATTTCCTCTGGATCCTATTTGTTTTATACCATCAGTTATGAATGTTCAAAACAAACTGATTGTGTGTTGACATATGCACAAAATAGAATTAATGAAATGACTCGTCGCACCTACAATGCAAATCGTATATATGGACAACTAGCACCTTTTATACAAAATTCTACAAGACAGGGATCGATTCAGTGTTACAATACCAGAAATCAGATTATTGAATGTTCACCTTCAGAAAGTTGCTCTCTAGATTATGATCAACGAGCAAAGAAGGTCAGATCTCGTGGTTGTTCATCTGATAAAGATCCTACTGTTTCTATGTACGATGGCAAATCATATTCATCTTTTGATGTTTCATGTAATCGCAATTTATGCAATGATGATGCAACATTTGAACAAATCAAAACTATTTTTGTTAATAATGGTTTAACCGATGATAATGGACGACGAATTGCTGCAGGAACAAAAGAGATGGCTTCGATTTTTTTAATTCTATTACCTTTCATTTCTATCATTGTTTCTTATTTTTAAAATAAAATCATATCGAAAATAAACAAGTGCCTAGAAGAACGCAAATGTTTTCATTGTTAACTTTTTTAAAAACATGGGAAAAATGATATAGAATGAGACAATGAATGTTTTTTATGATATATTCAATGGATCGGGAAAACTGCCTTAAGATATCACACGATGAGTTCTACATAAATCATCCTTAGTTACTGAAGCAGCTCTAGTACGATGAGTGAGACAAATATTTTTGATAATGAACAATGAAAACATCCATAGTATAGAAAAAGATTCTCGAGAATTTAAATGAGAATGATGTGGATTTGTCAAATTAAGTCTACTCATCTCAACTATGAAATAATTAGGTACTTAGATTGAAGCTATAAAAAAAACAATTCTAGGGAAATATTTTTGAAAAAATTGACACATACTCTTTGATAAAGAATTTTTTTCTCTTCCAATTATGATAGTTACAGATGATTTTTATTAAAAATATTTTCATTGTTGAAATAATCCTATTGATAATGTAAAATAGATGCATATTTTCGTTGTTTATTAGTCTATTGGATTATCTCTAATTTGATCGAGGAAAAATCTTTAGATTTATTTCATTGAAAAAATTAGCGATATAAAGTTTATAACTATATTTTATTTCCCCACGAGATACAATTTGCCATATTTAAAATTTGTTGAATAGATAAAATGTTCGATTAAATGAAAGTTAATTTAAAATAATTTCTCAATTATTTTTCTTTTTCATGCAATTTGATTGTTGAGAAAAAAATTGTTTTTTCTAGAAAACCTTTCAAATGATTATCTCAGAGAAAATAATGGAAGTTGACGAACTAATCATTATAATATTATTTTATATTTGTACTAAAATTAAGAAAAGATGTTCTTAATTAGTTATTAAATTATTTTTTTTGAAAATTAAAATCTAATTATTATAGAAGCCAAATGAATTTCTTCTCATCATTTCTTTTTATTATCATATGTCTTCTATTTTTTAATCTGATATCTCTAGAACGAATGGTGGTAATAAAAACAAAAAAGACGAAGGGGACAAATTCATTAAGTCCCCATAGTATAATGAAAGATAGATTACTCGATTCAGTCAAAACATTAACTTATCCATCTAATGTTATCTAAAATAAACAAAGAAGCTGATCGTGACAATAGAAAAAATATTCCGAAAATAACTTCATTAGTTAGATTATTTCCATTAAAATTCAATTTATAATATTGAGAGATAAGTGAAATATCCGTGTTGATTTAAGTCAATAAATAAGTTAATTTTATTCTCCATTTTAACAATCGTATTTCACAAAAAAGAAGAATTTTTTCAAATGACATATAAATAAATTTAAAAAAAATCTTTGTGATTAATAATTTTAAACCGTAATCCAATTTCGACCAAGCCAAAAAGCAGAAACTATGGATGAAATGAAAGTAAAAATACCTGCTATTGTCATTAAATAATAACTATAATTATTTGAGCTGTAGGGATTAATACACGAATAAGCGATAACAATGAAAATACCAGCAAGTGCAAGAATAATAACTGCAGACATTTTAATTCCACTTGAAAAACTTGTTATTAATCGTCGTGCAAAAAGAACTAATGCAATAATACCCAATATAATAAGAAATATTGCAATAAAACATAAAACTATTGTTGAAAGATGACGTTGAGAATTTTTTATTATATTAATTCCATTCCAACCTGGTGTAACAATACCAATAATTGCAAAAAGAAGTGCAAAACATGCTAAAATAACTGCCAATATCCATATTCGATCATCATGATATGTTCCACTTCGAACAACAGTAGTATGAGTAATTTTTGTTCTACCCATAATTAATATTAATTATCTAAATGATCAAGTAAAACGTTAATCTTCAGAGAGAGAGAGAGAGAGAGAGAGAAAAAACACTTTGATATAAACATTTTTTAATAAACCTAATAGATGTCCATAGAGAAAAAAAAGAACTTAAAAATATTATATATATATATATATATGGTATGTGATATGTGATATGCTTAAAATGAAGAATAAATCTAATTTGAAGTAAAATAAAAGAATTTCTTTCTTATCTATTACAAGTAAGGAATGTTGCTTATTTTTATTCGAGTAGTAACTCATATATTTTATCTTTTTTTCTATACCCATATGTCACGAAAATAAAATAAAAAAGAAAGAAAGACACTTGAGTTTTATGAAAAGAATAAAAAGAAATTCATTGTCATCGTATTCTTAATAATGTTGACAAGTCTTTTCACATCAATATCAATTAAAAAAATATATATATATATTCTTAAATATTCCTCTCGACTATTTTGTTTTTTGATAGAAGAATATGTCTCAGAATTTATATTGATCAATTTTATATGACTTATTAATCCTTTAACTTCCGACGATGTATATATATTTATTTGTTATAGATGCTTTTCCTATGTTCTTCAATTGAGTAGAAGATCTATTAAGTAATATTCCACATGTGTAATCCTTGTTTCTTTTCTTTCTGCTTGTCAGTATCATATATCGATTCTCTGTCTGCTTTCCATCGATCTGATTTTCGGCTTAGAATAATCAGAAGAATTTTTACAAAGAGCGACTACAATTACAATAGTTCGACATTTCCCTTCACTTATTCGATAAAAATCATAATCAACACCAGTCTCGAAGGAAATGTAGTGTTGTTTAAAGATCAGTTTATTATAAAAAAAAATCATCTTTTTTTTTTTTCAACAAAATACGATAAGTGCATTAATAAATTTGAATTTTGTTTTTCTTTCGGAATAACCTTATGTTCATTATTGAGAAAGAATGATTTAGTAGTTAATTTGAATTTTCTAGTAGATTGTTTGTACTTTTTTCTAAATATAAAAATGATTAATACTTTCATTAGAATTCTTAATTAGAAGCATTTGTTTTCTCTGAATATTCAATGTGTAGATCATGACTTGATTTATTGTCAGGCGAGATTAAAAATAATCCGGATATCATCGATCGAGAAAATATTCGAATCTGTATGAAATTAGAAATTGTTTTTTTTAAATTCTCATGATTAATATTTGACAAAAATATTTTTATTCTATTAAATTTTTCAATATAAAGTTTTGTGAGTTGAAAAAAACATATTTATGATTTTATTTTGATTCATTATGGTCAACTTTTATCAAAAATATTAGCGTCAAAAACAGCTTAGATTTCAGAAAGAAAATTGTGTTAATGTGTCATGCGAGATTCCAGTAAAGATAGTTCATAGATACAATACTGTGTCTATAGTTCAATGAAGAATTTTTTATGAACGACATGTAATATAAAGATGTATATATTCGAGGTTTGTAAAAATTTCATCTTTCTTTTAGTTTTTCGATAAATCAACAAAACTAAATCGTAATGAACTGATTTTTGTTATGACCTCTCGTCTATAACAGATCTATTTATAGTAGTAGTGAGAAAAATCTATTTTTTTTGTGTTCTTTATTAGAGTGTACCCAGACGCACTATTGATCAAGCATTTAAATCGATAAATCTTTTTTTTGCTTGTTTTTTTCCTCTCTAAACGCATCGAAACAAAAATATTTGTTCGACATATTGAATAATTATTTTTGCAGGACTATAGAGAATGAAAGATTAATTAGGATTTCTATATAAGTAAAAAAATGCTTTTTATTTTATTTATTAAAAATTAGTTTTGATTTGAAGAAAAAAAAATGTACATGTTTTTAGTTTATTTTAAGATGAGATTCGCTCTTTTTTATCAGTCAGTTTCTTAATGTTATTATTTATTGATAAATTGACGGAGAGGAAAAAAACAAGTTTTTAATAAGATATTCCTAGCAGAAGAATTGTTTGCAATCAAGATGAATAAGCATATATAAGAGGTAAGCAAGAGAACAAAGAGACAGAAAGTATCTATACATATGTCTATACACATGTACACGAGTAGAAAAAAAAAATATATATCATAAGACAGTATTTTTAGAAGATAACGTGGCTATGTAACAACATCGTTTATAGACATGATAGAGAAGATAAAAAGAAAAGAAAAAAATACATCAAACTGGTAGCATATTTTTCTATTTCTCTTTTCGTTTCTTTCAATTTATTCTGTAGTTTTCCTAATTATTCTATTCAATATGATATGTCCAATATTTATATAAATTTTTAATCTATTATATACATATATATATTTATCAATTTTTGTCTCAAACAATTTTTATAATGATTATTATGGATCAAGGGAAAAGTTTTAGACAAATTAATTCAGGTATTGTGCGTCTATTTTAGAAAATTCATATTATTCTTTTTTATTTTTCTATATATTTAAAAGTTTAGTAGTCTATCTAAGTATATATATATATCATTCCTTCCATTAGTCTTCTATAGAAAAAAAAGCTATTCTTTCTAAGATCTGTAGAGTTATATTAAGATTCATTTGAAGATGTTATTATTTCATATGCTTGGCAAGTTGATTGAAAGACTAGTTCATTAGACGTTCTTTTGGGAGAATATGTCACTCGTCATCAATAAGAATATACATAATCAATTGAATGTATTATATATGGATAGAATTTTTTTTCTTCTTATTAATGAAATAATCATTATTATTGATTGTAAACACTTGTATTGGTTTTTATAAAAATTTACTCGATTAAATTTATTATTTTAATTTATAATAAGAATATTAAGAAATGATATTTTATTGATTTTTTTTCCTCGGTTACATTCTATTCTACTTTTTAATTTATGAATAATAATATGTTACACATTCGACAAATTTAATTAAAAATCAGCAAATAACAAATTATTTGCAAGTATTTTCTTTACAGATTTCTAATTAGATTTCATATTGAGAATACATATATTATATGTCATTACTCATAGAAAGAATATCTTATCAGTTTTTGGATAAAAGAATTTACTTAGAAAATATACGAATATCTCGTGTAGCATTGTCAAATAAGTTTCTTATTATCAGATAGAAACCAATATATGTTTTCCCATTATCTTATTTATTTTTCTCTAATATTCTACTATACAAAAAGAATCCAATGAAATTTATCTTTAAATCTATAAAAATATTCTGATTTATAGTATATTAGAAACAATAATATTTTCTTTAATTATAGAAGTAACTAAATCAGGAAAAAAAGAGTCTTGCTGTTTTGTATATATGAATATAGTTTGTGATTCAACAATAAATGAGAATTAAATAATGCGAATATAATATTTATTATATTCATAAAAAAATTACATTTTTTTCTCTACTATTGATTATTTCTAAACTATTTAACTGTATTCAAGATGAAAGTCCGAATAATAAAAAAACAACGCAATTCTCACAATTATTCATTGAAAAACTTAAATACAAAATGAGTATAATGAAGGCATTTCTCATGTATCATAGAATGATCTCTTTTTGAAAAAGTAATTATAGAATGTAGTAGACCATGAAATTCTCTATTACTAGAAGTATTTATTTTTTTACATTCACAGAGTATAAAAAAATTAAAATACAATCAACACTACAACAATTGAATATATTACGTTTTTCCTTTTTTTCCAAAATATTATCGCTATGAAAATAAATTTCTAAGCTTGAAGTTGTCTTGTATTCATGTAGTACGATATATAGATACTAGATAGAGAATTTCAAGTTCTATTAGAATCTTTCTCATCAGAATAATAAATTGAAAAGTAACGAAAAACGTTAATTTTTTCACATTTGTCAGTTGATGACGTACACATTGTATTTCAATCTATGAACGGAAGAAAATGAGTAGTTAAAATAATAGAGAATTTTTACGCTCTACCAGAATCTATAATTAGTTTTTAAAAAAAAAAAGATTATTATATAATGATAAAAAATTGAAAAGAACTAGTTTTGATGACAAAGAAAACCTTTATATGCGCGTGTGAATTTGGGCATATGGTTGTTTTCATTCTACTCAGTTTTTGTCTGGTACTACGTGAGTGCGAATGATAGAAAACTTCAAGAATTTTTCGAATATATAATTTGTTTTATATATTAAATTCTATCTATAGTTATAAAATTATCATATTATGTTCATTCATTCATTCATATAGGCTAAATAGAAAATAATATATGTTAAGATAAAGGTTAAGGCTAATCAGTCGACAAATAGTTTGACCTTTTCTTACTTACACGAGTAATTTTTTGTCTAAACCGCATAAAATCGATGTTTTATATAAATAATCAATGAATTAATATTATATATTTTTATTTCTATTCCAGAATCCTCGAATTCATTCTTGAATATTATTTGAAAGAATGTCTTCATCATCTTCTTTGCTTACACAAAGATCAATTATTGAATCATGGTTTATTCCTATTGATATTGTTATGCTTGTATGTACAATTTTGGTGATTATACTTTCAACTATATTTTTATGTATTATTCTTCTTGATAAAACATGTCATACAGTTTCAATGATGTTAATTGGTAATTCATGTCTAACAGTACTTGTATTTGGATGTGTTTTACTTAGTATGTGTGCATTTACATTAGAAAATGATCTTAAACAAATTATTTATGAAGATTCTCTTTGTATTATTCGTGCTTATTTTGATTATGTTGCTGCTGGTGTTGTTAATTATTCATTTTTAATCCAAGCACTTTATCGTTATGTAACTGTAATTTATCCAAATCGTTTATTTTGGCAATCAGCAAGATTTCAATTTTTAATAATATGTTTAACATGGATGATTGCTTTTATATTTCCTACTGCATTTATATTTACTGGACAAGTTAAATATAATGGTGACAATCAAATATGTCAAGTACCTGTTCAACCATCATTCTATATTGTTTATCCAGCTTGTTGTATTTTTGTTATACCTGTCTCATTAATTATGTTGATTTATTTAAAATTATTTCGTTATGTACATAAAATGAATACTCGTATTACACCTGCGAATACATTATTTCGTGCACAACGAGAATTAAAAATGGCTCAACGTATAGTTATACTTGTAAGTGTATTATTAACAATTGGTTTTCCATATGCATTTTTTATTTTAATGTCATTTTTTACAACTCCACCAAAATATCATTATCGTATTGCTTTTTTATTTGTTGATATATCATTGGCATTAGTAATGATGGCTTTATTTCAGTTTACTGATCCAATAAAAGTATATATGATAGAAAAAATTAAACGAAGACCAAATCCAGTCATTCAAACAATATAATTGAAATAAAATAATATTACACAAAATTTATTTGATGTTGTATTGTATTTTTTTTGTTACAAATAAAAAATAAAAAAAGTATTGATCACTTTTCGCATAAAGACTCGCTCAGCTCTTTCTCGTAGAAATCACGTTACTAAACAACTTATTGATTTATATAATTAAACAGAAACAAAAGTCAGATTTGAATTCTTCGGTAAACCCTTATCAAAAAAAATTCCTTTTATATCTTTTCCTAATTTTTGGGTTAATCAGTGAAGTGTGGACAATTTATGGTTGCAAGACTCTTCTCTACGAGGAAGAGAACTATTTGAAATGTTAATACAAAATAATCTATTATTATGAATAAAAATAATATAATAGAATCGATATGTTAATATTTAAAACGTATCTTTGTCACAATGAATATCAATTGATTTCATAGGTCCTGAATAGAATTAAAAACTCTTTCGACTAATAATGGTTATTATCAATGAAGTGCTTAACAAGGCAATAGTTGATTTTGATGTGGAGACACCAGTATTGCATTTGTAGTCTCTACAACAACAAATCAATGTATTGACTTCGGCAATTATCCTCCATGTACATCCACTCGAAATACAGAGATTTAGCTCAGCAGCTCCTCTAGTAACAACGGCATTGACTGCATTTGAAAGACTTTTTTTCTATAAAGAGAATTTTTAAATGATATTGTGAAAAGAAACAAACACTTACAGCACACCAACCTGTAGCTGAATAGATTTCTGAAACATATGAACTGTGTTCATCGAATGGCAATGGACAAGTTGAACAAGAGTAACATGTATTACCGATAGGTCCTAGAGTAGTAGTTGGTTCACTTGCTCCATTACATAAATTTTGATTACAACAACAAACACGTGTATAAACTCCACTCATTGTTTTCCACGAACATCCATTTACAGTACAAACACCACCCGGAGGAATACCTCGTGTATAACTAGCATAAGTTGAATCGTCAGTTGTCATCATCTGAAAATGAATTTATTATTAAAAGTATTGTAACAGAAAATAATGAATAAATAAGTAAACTTACAGCACACCATCCTGTTTTTGAATATACTTCAGTTACAAATGCACTGGATGGATCAAATGGATTTGGACAATTTGAACAGAAATAACAGTAGTTAGCGGCGCGCTCATTAGATATATCTGATGTAATGTTATTACATTGAACAATACCTAGAATAAATATTCAAGTATAATCAATAATAATATTATAACTTCAATTTATTCTTTTTACTTGTATATAGGATAAATATAGACAAAATTACATAGAAGATATTCATTATTAAAATATTAGTGAAGAATCAAATGACGAATAGTTTCTTTTTATATTACAGTTTTATGACGTTTGTGTCTTGCACAATCAACGCACAATTTGTATCATACAACGCAGATAACAATGTTGCTAGTTACTATCAGTTGTATCATGAGTACATAATAGAATATTTGTTAAAGTATCATATGCCTTACAAATTCTTTAACAACACATTTTTATTAAATCCAAATGCAAAAAGAATGTTAACACATAAATAAATGAGAGTTTTTTGTTCGATAAAAATATTTTGTTTTCTATATTCTATAGTAATATGAAAAGGTTTATTATATTCACATTTTAATTATATAAATTTATTTCTAATGAAATTTTAAATTACCCTATAAGATATTTTAATAAAGGGATAAATAAATTCTTTTTTCTTTTACTATGTTATCACGTGGAAAAGTCAATGGGGTTTATGATTATATACAAGTGCATAACATTGTTTGCGATTTGATAAGAAAAATAAAAAATCGATTTCATAGCATTTTGTTGATTAATTGAAATTTTGGAATTAACAAAAATAAATCTGATCGACAACTTTTGAAATCTAAGGCAAGCGTACATATATCATCTAGTGAATAATCATTAATAGATGTATTTATTTCTGTCTATTAAATTAACATCTATATCAAAAACTTTTTCTCTTACGTTTTCAAACAAAATCTTTAAAAAATTAAATAAGTCAAAAAGAAAATCGTATATCTTCATTCTATTATAAGTATTTTATCGGATAATGGTCGGTGAGGTAAGTAGTTAAATGCATCCAATCAAAATATTCAATATTAAAATTTAAATCTAACATAAATCTTTGATTTATTCTAGAAGTTTTAAGATTTTATCAAATAGTCCTTCGGATGAAATTCTATCTCAAAGTATCATTTGGGAAATAAACATTTAGATATTGTACATGAAATTATAACGCCCAGAAGGTATGATGTTTATTAAAAATAATAATATATTGAATTTTATCCAAGGGGGTAATAGCTGGCACCCAGCACCGAAAAACACCTAACAGGTGCTGAGGTGCTGTACGGGTGCTCAGGTGCTGAAAAGGTGCTGAGGTGTTGAACAGGTGCCGAATAGGTGCTGAGGTGCTGAGCAAGTGCTGAAATGCTGAGTAGGTGCTGGATAGGTGCTGGATAGGTGCTGAAGTGCTGAGATATTAATTGATTTTGTAATATAATATATAAAACAAACGACTGTATCGTGACTGATTAAGAGCGTTCTCTATCGGACTCATTAATATACGTTAATAATAAAGAAATTTTTATAAGTACTCAATCAGAAAAATACCCATTTTATAATATTTTCCCGTTTAATTTAATCCTTTTTACACTACTTTCTGATATTAAAAACGAAGTTTCGTCAAATATCGTTTCTTTCAGATAATTAGTTTAGCTAATGTCGTCATCAACATTTGCTACAGAAAATAATAATTATGGTTTACCAAATGATATTTTTCATTATAATAATGATCAATTTTATAACTACAAGTAACGTTCATCGAAACTCGATTCATTTGGCCCTAGACTGCCGCGGTCTACATGCTGATATAACTATATTTAGATACGAATGAGTGTTAATCAAAATTAGTTCTGACTTTCGGCAGAAAATCAAATTGAATTTCTGGCTTATATAAAATCAAGCTTTTTCTAAAATTTTCATACTTGTAGAATGCAGAATAAAGTTTAAAAATGCTTTAGCTTTATTAAATTCAATTTTATAAAAAGTAGGATTTCAACAAAATACTACAGTGCAGATTTCTTTATCATTATATATCAAAATTGATTTGGAACTCTTTTATCTATATGCACTATAGCAAAACTATTAAACTGACAAGCTTATTAAAAATGTTTTGCAATAATGCAACAACTAAACTTAAAACTATCAAACTATAATGCGTATGTTTTTTAGCTTCTAATCCTAGATCTTATTTTATTGAGTTGTCGTACAGGAAGTTTCGACGCATCATTGTTTTTTTCAAACATGCATTAGAAATATTTATCAATGATAATGAACGAGATGCTATATAAAAATAGGCGAACATTTTCTTCAAAGCTTTATAATACTCTGTGTATAAGAACATTTTGTTTTTTTGTTATTAATATTATTTTCATCTTTATCCATATTCAAAGTAAAATTAGCATTGCCCCATTATTTTAATTTGTTCAGTATAATAATGATCTATATATAATTAAGAAGTATTTTAAATATTTAAGCCCGCGCCTTTTTTAACAAATAAATTAAATATTTTACATTAAATATTTTGCTATTCAAATATTTGAGTTAGCGCTCTTTTTAACGAATAAATTAAACATTTAAGTTCGCGCTCTTTCTATCAAATAAACTAAATATTATACTATTCAAATAAAACGATAATAGCAAAGAAAAATTATATTATAAAAAATATGCCTTAGGTACATGGTTATTTGCGCTCAAAAAATGGTCATTTGTGCCAAAAAAATGGGTGTGGGTGTGGGTGTGGGTGGGTGCTGAATAAGGAAGAATACAACACCCACACCCTCACCCTCAAGATATGTGAGAATACTTTTCGAATTGCACGTTCATTATCAGGTTCATCTTCGTCAAATACAAATTTTAGTGTAAAATCATTTTTAAAAAGATGCGAAAAAATATCAATAGTCAATTCAATTAAAAATCGTGGTGGGCACATAGGAAATTATCAGCTTTATTTTGCACAACATCATAAAAATCATAAAGATATAATTAATTATTCAATAGGACATGTTAATGAATTGAATTTGAGTGAAAATGATATTGAAATTATCATCAAAAATGCATTTGAAGCAGTTCAAAAGTATGTTGCAATGGTTAATAAGACTCAATTTTTGGAAAAAAAATATCTATACATTATCAGGTTTAAATACATTTACAAAAACAATTTTAAATAAATCATTATCAAAGATTATCGACTATACAGTTGATAATAATAGTTCCGATGAAGATTCTGATGAAGAAAATTGTTTTGATGAAAATGATGTTTTCAATGTATTGAATAATGAAGAATAATTATCACCAAACAATACCGATGATGAAGAGGAAGGAAATACAATAGCAACTGATGTTCCTGATACAGCACAAAAAAAGTTCAATGGTTGTCGTATATACGACAAAATCAATCCACAACAATCAAAGAAATATTTTCGTATACGTATGGGTTCATCATATAAATTTATACACAAACAAACGGCTTGTTGGTTACTTACAACAGATAAACAACGATCTTCAAGTGATCGATTACTACGTGTTCAGCAATAAGGAGTAAAATAACATAAGACCTATTTGCAGTTGTCTACGTTTGATTTTTGATATTTTTGTTGATGCAGCCTTTCGTGTTGTTGTTTTTCATATAATTTTTGATATTTTTCTTCATATAGTTGTTTATGTTACGAAGTATTTTTGATATTCACTTTTGTGAAGTTTTTATATTTTTTTATGGTACTTGTATGAGATGGAAACTTTCTTCGGTATCATTGAGATTAAATAGGCTTTTTATGAATTATTTACATATTACTGAACTTAGTTTCAAGTCAAAACAATGTTGAAATAATATTGTTAAAGTGATATAATGTTGAGCAGTATTTTTCTGCAGTAGAAGATGAACTTGTAATAGTATAACTCTAGTTCTAAGCATTACTTCAATTAATATTCATCCTACAGCTTTCTAAGCTTCACAGCACCGGCAGGTGCTGAAAAGGTGCTCAATAGGTGCTGAGGTGCTCAATAGGTGCCCAGGTGCTGAAAAGGTGCTGAGCAGGTGTTGAGGTGCTGAGTGCTGGGTGCCAGCCCTTACCCCCTTGATTTTATCTAACTTCAATAAAGTAATCATTTCTTTTTAATTAGAAACAGTTTTATAAGGTTCAAATGTTCTATTCAATAAATATAGTATAAAATTATTTTCGATAAGACTTGAATAATAGATATATCGATATTTTTATTGGAATTTTTTAATACTTATTATTCTAAGAATTATGCTGATTTTATGTAAAAAATAATCGACTTTTGAACAGAATGGAATGCTAAATATAAATTTGTATCTAATGTCGTCCTACTTTTAACTATTCTCTAAACATGATAATTCTAATCAGACATTCTATGTTGATAAATATAAAAATAATTATATGTTAGAATTCTATAATATTCATGATAAATTTTCATAAAGGATGCCTAGCATGAAAGCTCAACATGACATTTTATGAATAATTAAGAAAAGATGATTTTTATTAGGCGTTTTCTGAAATAATATAATAGATATTAAGTAAACATAATTATTCAAATTGAATTTTATGAAAATATCAGGAATATAATAATATTCTCCTTACAACTTGAATAAAACATTTAATTATTCTGTTTGTCTACTTCGAAATCAAATTTAGATTATTCTATAATTAAAGCTAGCGAATATTAGAAGACCCTCTTCTAATGGTTGATTTTCCAGTTTTTCTATTCGATATGTGATTACTTACGTACTTCCCCTAAATATTAAGATATATCTTGAAATATCCTAACATACAAAATGTGGAATATAAGCATCCGCTATTTCACGTGCGAAGGGCGTCAGTTAAGTATGAGGGACATGTGAAAAAAGTAAACTTTTTTCCATTTTGATTTGTTTTATCCTGTGAAAAAGACTCCCATGTTTTATATGAGTTTTTACATTTAATAATTAAAATGCTAGTTTTATGAAATTTTCTTTTATTATAGTATCGATTTTACTTGGCTGTAATACTGTCAAAAACTTCAATAATCCTTTAGAAAACAATATAAAAAACGTTAAAAACTACGTAGTTAAGAGTAGAAATAAAATATTCTTTTTTGAATGACATAATAGAAGATTCCTATTTTAATTTGTGAACGATAAAACACATTAGAAGACCCCGAGTCTTCTAATATGTCCCCGGCGTTCATAATCTTATATAAATTTAGCTTCATGAAAAACAAGAATATATTTGTTCTGCAAGTATTCTAATAAATAGAATGTAATTAGAATAGAATTTCTTTTTTTCATAAACTTTGAAAGCAGCCATCTGTAAGTAATATATTCTATCATGTATATTTATAATTTCTGACGTACGTAACGTATTATTAAAATGCATCAAAACATGTTGAGAACATACCGCCTGCTTTTGAAGTTTAAAACATGTAGATTTAATTTGCAACATTATCAGTATTCTTGTAATCATTCTGTAAGCGATTATTAAACATGTCAGTCGATAGCAATGAAACTGTCGATTATGAAGATGATAGTTATCCTTCATTGGAAAGTTCGTTTAGTCGATCAATTAAATTTAATATTTTGATTAGTTGTCAAATTCTTTCGATTCTTTGTAACTTAATTTTATTTTATTATTTTATTCGTTTACGAGAATTACAAGCAAAACGACATCATCATGTGTAAGTATTTTTCTTATTTTCTAAATAATATAATAAATCAGCTATTTCAATTAATTACAAAAGATTTTTTAGATAATATATTTTTGATATTTAATTTACAACAGAGAATTGATAATCTAATAGATATGTCCAGATTTATTCATGATAAACAAAGCTAGAGGAGAATATTATAATAAATATAGTTTAAGTACATTTTTTTTGTTAAAGAAAATTAAAAATAACTAAGATCTGTTTTTAACATATGTCAACTAGTAGAAATGATTCATTTACTTTTAGTGTAATATGTTTATTAATCTGTCATTTCCTTATCATAACAATGGAATTACCTGTTACTCTTGCATATCTTCATTTTGGTGAAGTTATTCCATCATCTTATTCTCTTTGTCTTTATTGGATTTATATGAATTATCTTCTTTTTCCATCGAGTGCATGGATAATGGCAATAGCATCAATTCAAAGATATATTTTCATCTTTCATAGAAATTTTCTGAATTCTTATGTCAAACATTATCTTCCCATATTTTTACCACCTATTTTATTATCTATTTGGTACTTTGTACTTATTTTCTTTTATCCATGTCAACAACAATTTGATTATACTCAAATATGGTGTTATAGTGCATGTTATCTATATAATGTAGTGATTAGTACAATTGATTGGATAGTTAGTTCATTCATACCGGTTGTATTAACTGTTATTTTCAATATTATTCTTCTTCTACGAGTTATTTATCGAAAATATAAAATGAAACGTGGTAATACTTGGCGTACTACTCGTAAACTTTCTATTCAACTTTTTTCGATTTCTTTTCTTTTTCTAAGTATTTATTTACCATTAATCATCTTTGGATTAATTCGAACTTGGATTGATCCATACTTTCTATATGTCTTTACAATGACTTATTTGGCTTATGTAGCATATTTTGTATCATTATTAATGCCATTTATTTGCTTAATTAGTCTCCCTGAAATTATAACAAAGATCAAAAGATTATGCTGTCTTAGTAGTAGAGTAGAACCAATGCAACAACAACAAATTGCAATGACATTAATTACAAGACGAAACATTCAACAAACACAAACAGTTTTTAAACTGAACTAATTTAAAAAAAATTTTTTTCATTTTAAATAATTCAAAATAAAATATACTAATTATTTATTTAATTTCTTCGATAAGAATTGTATATAATATATCAGTAGTTTTGTATATCTAGTTACCTTTGATTATATAAGAATTTGTTCTGTACGAAGTACTATTATTCACATGAAATAGCGTAGGCGGTGAAAACCTCAATATATAAATTCAGATATTTTTAATCAAGAGTATCTGTTTATGATAGCAGCGTAGTTGTGAGGAAGAAGCAACGAGGAAAACGCTCAGAACAGACGTTTTCAAGTTTTTGCATAAAAAACCTAGAATCTCACATTTTTATTCTTATAAAAACCAATATTTCTAATTAATTTGATTGAAAACTGAACAAAAATTCAGGTTTTTCCTTTACGGTACAATAATCAATTCCGTCAATTTACTGAAAATATTCTTCTAATCAAGAAAAGATTGTTTAATTTATTCGTTTGTTACCCTTATTCATTGCATGTCCTTTTAGAATGGTGGGCTTGTTTAACCTGAATCCTTATTTAAGAATTTATTTTCCTTTGATTTATATTGAAATTATATAAATAGTGATCCAGATTGATTGAGGGAATTGGATGTGCTTCGAATAAACTTTTATAGCTTTGCTTTTATTAGAGAGTTGCATTGAATGTCATTGGATAATTGAATTAGAAGAAATTTTATAAGTGTTGTCTCGTAGGAAGAGAAAACGAATATAAGTAAAAAAACAAAGACAAAACAATTATTTTCTCTCTTGCTTTCGTAACAGTCATAGGAACTAGAAATGATTTCAGACGATCGACAGTGGAGTGACTGGTCAACAAATTCAAGTACTATCTCTTTATATCATTTATCTTTGAGTAAAACCTTTTCTAATGATGTTCATCCAACGAATACTTATTTTGTATATGACAAACAACGTGAAGAAGAAGACTAGGAAAACAGAAGGTGAACAAATTTTCTGATGTAAACAATTCTCTGATTTCAATAAGATGTTTTTGTTTGGCTAGACGAAGACGATTCTGTGCATATTGGCAATGCTGTTCAGGCTTATCACCACTTGTGAACGGTCTCATCTTAGGTGCTCTCTTCGGTGGCCTAATATTAGCGATTATCATTACACTGTGGTTGACATCAGCCAGCAAGATATCATCAACGACCATCATGAATATATCAACGGCAACATCCATTAGTAAGAACTTGTCTTTTATAAAATTGCTTCTTATCACACACCAGATATTAACGAATTTGTATTGTTTGGGCTATGTTTCTACCGACATACTGTGTTGCAAAGGCATAGATGGGTTGAATCTGATAAAGATTTTTCTTGAATGTTTCATACATGTTCACATATCGTCCAAATTTGTCCCTACTTTATCGAAAATCTGTTTCGTTGACAACAGTGTATTTCCTATCTAAAAACTAACATATATATTATATTCTATGGTGAGCAAGATTTTATCATTAATTATACTTATAACATTTATAGTGCCAACAACTACTACAATTACTACAACAACCACTACTAATACAATGACAACAACAACAACAACAACAACAACAACATCGACAAGCAGTACAACTGTAACAAGTATGTATTCAACACATACAAAGCCATTCTGAACGATACATATGACTTCAAATGGTCATGGGCGTAGTTTTTCAACACTGCTCACGATTAATTCTTATTTGAAAGTCTAATAGCTTTTTTTTCACTATGTAGTATCCACAGCCAATTGGTTGATCAACGGAGATGCAGAGACGGGACCATGTGAAACAGGTAGTGGTGTTACACATCCGACCGGTTGGAACTATAATGGAACAGTCACACAAGTACATTATAACGATACCTACGCTGATATTTCATATACTGATCATGGTCCTAGGTAAAAGTGACATTTATCAATATTTTAACATGAAATTTCTTTTCTAGTGATCGCGGAAATTGTTATTTTTATGGTCAAGCAGATAGTACTTCGATGTGGCAAACTGTAAACATGACAAGTTCAATCGATCCACTTCTTATTGATAGTCAGACAGTGGGATTTAATTTCTCGGCATGGCTTGGAGGTTACAGCAGCCAAGATGATAATGCTGAAGCTACATTAACTTTTTATGATCAAAGCAATCATAAGACGGGTAATATCAGTACGTTGGGACCGGTGTTGGTAGCAGATAGAGGATCCCAAACTTTATTACTCTTTCGACAAACACAAGGATTGGTACCAATCGGTGCGCGTTCTTTCACAGTTACTGTCATATTTACTCATGTAGTCGGCCTCCTTACTGATGCTGATGTCGATAATATCGCCGTTCACTTATACTAGTGTATACATACTTTGACTGATGCCAATAACATTTGTATTACTTAACTAATAACTATATATTATATGAGTTAAACATACAAACCATTGATTAACTGCCATGTACTTTCACTAAAGCTGAAATGGGTGAATGTAAATGTCGATACTGCGATGATCATACACATAGATCCAACTTCACCTTTAATAACATTTCCTTAAAATGCAAAAAAATAGTCTGAATATATTTTAATCATGAGATTTGATTCGATATCTAATAAATAAATGAAATGTAGGGATAGAAATTTATATTTATTTTTTTTATTAAATACTAAAATTTTCGATCATCTTCAACCTATAAATGATATTTTAACAACAAAAACGGTTCTTTTCTCCAACATCTTGAGGATGTGGGTTGACAGATTATCTGAATTTCACACACACACACACACCCTCGTTTACCTGTAGCACCAGTCAAAACAGCTCCAAGAAGTAAATTTGATAATAAGCAGTGCCATGCATAAAATAGAAAAATTACAAATCCAATCATTCTTCAAAGCGATTTCATAACAAGAAAACATCATCTTCTTTGATGCATTAGTTCTTTGATAGTTGGTAAAAGAAAATTAATAAAATATTTGAAATAAACATTAGTAAAAATACAAGCTAAATGTGTTCATTCATAAAAATTTATATTAACACTCATGTGTACTTTCAAGATAATTCAAGTAAGAGATTATTATTTTTAGAATCTATTGTTCAACAAGTTGTTTAAGGCGAAGAAGTATTCGTTGAATGCGACCATCTTCGATCGCACGAGCATGGTTATAGTCCGATAGTCTTTCTGCTCGTGAGACGCTTGACAACATTTGTTTAATTTCTGTCGAATTAGCCGTTGCAATCTTGTTGGTATCGTACGTCATTTTAAATGTTTTCAACAAATCATATTCATAGTCCGTTGCATAGGTACTAACCATACCAAAGAACATCGTTACTTCTTCTTTGTAAGTAGGATACCGATTTCGATCCGCATGGGTAACAGTATTGATGGATACACCATTAGGATATAGTATATCGAGATACTTCAGCAGGTTTTGAGCAGCATCTTTGCTCGGCGTATTATTTTCTAAAGAACTCATCGAAAAATCTAGAATAAATAGAAAAAGACATTAAATCAGCTTATGCTATACGGAGCATGTAAATATAACAAATTCACACTCTTAAGACGTCACCTATGCACAACTGGAAAAAGCCAAGAAGTTGTCGAGCCAATCAAGAATAATAAAGTAGAAGAAAAGAAAAAGCATGCGTTTTTTCGTCAATACTGATAGGTGTAAAGTATTTGAAAGCACATTAATGAAGAAAAAACCAACTATCGTTTAAACAACAGGTATGTTTGAGTGTAAGTAGAATAATATTCTTTCACATTCACATTTCAAAAATATTTTGATCATTGAAGAAATAAAACAAAAACAAAATTATCCAGAATATTCTCTAAATTGAAAAGATAGAGCCAAGACATATAAAGAGAAAATAAACTCATGTCATAGATAAAGATAACTACACTTTTAAATGATAAAATTTATTAGTTTATTAAAAAAATCTTTTCAACATTTGTATTGTTCAAAAAAATTCAATTGCACTTCAATTTTTGTTGTCAAGTTTTCATAAAATAGTTGTTTTTTTTCAATCATTGAGCAGTACTCAAACTTTATCAAATATAAAATCTTCTTTTCAAAGAGCTTTTAATTCAGTTCAATTCAAATTCAAATTTTTTTTTCTTTTCTTCTGACAATTTAACAAAATACGAAAAATTTAACATTGATTTATTCGAATTTTTTTTTCAAAATCAAAATTTTATTCACAAAATTATTTCAAATTTTTCAATTCGATGATTTAAAAAATCAACAACATAAAGATTTCCTTCATCATCAAAAGATAAACCATAGGGACAACTCAATTGATTTCCACCAATAACAATTTCACCTTCTTCTTTTCCTTCACACCAACGCATTACTCGATGGTTGTTCATGTCTGCCACATAGATTTGACCCATATCATCAACAATTACACCTGCAGGTTCAGACAATTGATTAAGATTTCCTCCTTCACCATTTCCTCCAGCCACAACTGTTCCTTCTTTCGCATCTTTTCTCCATTTCATCACACGTTCATTGCCCCAATCTGATACATAAACCGATTGATCTTCATCAACAAAGATAAAACTAGGCTCGTTAAGTTGATTGAGTTGATCTCCTTGTCCATTTCCACCTGCCACTATAATTCCTTCGTTATTATATTCTCCCATTTTCCATCGTCTCACTTCATTCTTCTCTTGATCAGAAACATACAAAAATCCATTTTTATCCACTGCCAAACCCCAACAGTCAATATCCTCAATAAGAATTTGTTGATTTTGATTACACCATCGGATCACTCGTCTGTTCAAAGAATCAGCAATAATAATCGAATGATCTTGCTGATCAACAACCACAACTTCTGGACCATTCAATTGATCCATTCGATTTCCTTCACCATTTCCACCTGCAATGATTTGTCCTTCTTTTGCATTATATTTCCATTCAACAATACGATGATTGAAATAATCAGCAATACAAATATTCTTCTTTTCATCAATAAAGATTCCGTGAGGGGAAGTGAGTTGATTTAATTCTTTCCCTAGTCCATTTCCACCAGCCACAGTGATGGCATTTTGTTTCCATTTATTGAATTTTGATTCTAGAAAATGATAAAAAGAATAGTAAAAGACGATTAATAAAAGAAATTTAAATAAATCGAAATGAAAGAGAAGAAAGAAAGATTTCTAAAATAATCGGATGAATCTCGATAAATTAAAATCAGATATAGTTTATCCATTATTTCTCATGAAATGCTAAGGTATAATTCTATTTATGAATTATTATTATTTTTTTCTAATAGAAAAAGAAAAACAAAAGGGACTTTCTATTTAATTATCACATAGATATTCAACTATTACAATTCGTAGAATTTATACACACTATGTTAAAGGATAAAATATCGGTAATTTCGAAAGAAAATGTGAAAAAATTCGATCTTTTGAAATTATTTCATTTCATATTGTATGGTACTTTTTCTTGCATACAAATAAATTCAATTTTCTATTTCTGTTAGTACTATTATTATTGATTAAATAAATAAACAAATAACGCTCGTCTAAGGACTCGCTTAGCTCTTTCTCGTAGAAATGGTGTTCTACAATGCTACGGGACCTCTTGCTTATATAACTTGCAAACACCAATATCAGATCCGAAGTCCATGCATCGAAATACCTCTAGAAATGTCTTTTTCGAAAAATCGATTTTCGATGTTTTTTTTGACCCTGCGGACAGACAAGCAAGCAAACAATTTATTCTTACTGGACTCTTCTCTACGAGAAAGAGAATATTCTCGATTGTTTTATCTACTTCAACAAAATTTTATAGAAAGTGAGAATTATTTTTTGAAAAAACTTACTTTTTGATAAAATAATTGAAATTTCATTAATAAATGATTCATGTGAATCTCGTTGAATAGAAATCTTTGACGCATTATTTAATTCTTGTGTAATTTCTATTAATTGATCTTTTAAATAATTTAAATTAATTTCATTAAATTCATTTTCTTTATGAATTTCTTTTATTTGTTCAGATAAATCATAAAATTTCTTTTCAATATCATTAATACATCTTTGTGAATAATGAATAAGAATTTTTCTACAATTTTCTGCTTTTTTTTGAATTATTTCAATTGAATCTTTTTCCCATTGATTTATTTGTTTTATTAATGAATGATTTTGTTTTTGTTCATTAATTCTTTGCTTAAATCGATCATAATCATTAATAATATGATTTAATTCTTCATTTAATATTTGTTTATGTTCTGCTAAATCCATAAAACAAAATCTTTTTGAACATCCTTCACAAGAATAAGTTATTTTGTCTTTGTTACATTTAAAACATCGTGTTTTGTTGTTTGCCATTGCCATCTTGTTCAATATAAATTTATAGAATAAATCTAAAATGAATTTTGTTGTGACAGAATCTCATTGGGACTTACGCAAAACATAGAGATGAATACCAAAGCTCCGAATCAGTTATACTAGTATACCTTTTTATTAATATTATCATTTAACTTTCGTAGTGTTTGTCATTCTATTTCTGAATTATCTAATCTATACGATACTTATTTGAATTTGTCGTTGTTGATTGACTCATGGTGGATAAAAACATCGGGAATATCTTATAAATAAGAAATGAAATAATAACACTCTTTTCTTCAATGTTTTTGAAAACATATCATCGAAAATAACGTTTGGTAAATATCCACTAAACACATCTAAATACGAAGGAAAGAAAAAACAGATATAAATATGATATTTTTTCGTTTCTTGTTTTTTTCCGCTTGAAAATTAACTTCACAAGCCATGCTTTTTTATTTTGCCATCGTTTGTATAATGTAAAGTGACTTTATATGATGTATCTGGTTTCTCTCTATTCACGACGAAGAAACAGGAAGAAAGAAAAAGAATGTTTATCGTTTTGAAATTAACGTTTGTAATATGAATTAAAAAAATAGTTAATTAAATTCGAATATCCCATATGAAAATGAATCAAAAGAAAAATCAACAGATGATTAAGTCCTGTAACAGAAAGCATTATCAATTAGATGAGAAATAAAGAAGAATAAAATCACATCAACAACGTTATTGTGTACTCAAAAAGTGAGTACACTACTAGAATCGATCAGTGTGTCCGTTCGACCGTTTACACGATAACTCCTGAAAGGCTAAGTCGATTGTCATAAAATTTTGTGCATAGTTTAATCTCATCAAGATCTCGGTCGGGTTCGAAGTTGAGCCTAATTGGACGAGCTATTCACGAGTTATTGAACAAATACTGATATTTCCCTATGATTTCCATATGCACTTTTTGCAGTACACATAACTCTCGGATAAAATCTGAAGTTTCCACATTTATTTTATAATCATATTTTATTGTATTTAAGATAAATATTTCGATATATATTGATTAAATGAAAAATAGAGAACAAAATCAATATGAATATTATAATTGATAATAGTATCTTTTAATTTATTAGATTTGAGTTCGATCCCAGTATATATCATCATTTCTATGTGGAAGATCAGATGATATATAAGGAATTGAATAGACAATATCTTTCTCTTGTTTTTGTTTTTGTTTTTGTTGACGTCGTTGTTTCTTTTGATTATAATGACGAAGTTCGATACTAAATAATGCTAATGATGAATGACGTTTCTTTGTGTCACGTATGTTTTTTTGTTTCCACAACGAAGAAATAAATGAATGAGTGGTTTACCAATAAGTTTAAATAATAGAAATGCCATAGCAAATAATTCAATAATAAGTGTACAAAATAAAAGAGTATGAAAAGCAAGTTCAGATGTTCGAACAATAGGTTGTTGATTATTTTGAAGAAAAAATGGTTGTTCACTTATAGTTATTGTAAATGTTGTACGTTCACTAGCGTATCGAAGATATTCACCATCTTGTTCATAGACTAAACTATCTGAAATTGAAATTTCACCAATTGTTGGTGCCCAACGACCACTGTAGACAGTTGTACCACCTATTTGAAGAGGACTTGTTTGATTAATTACTTTGATAAGTGAAATGGATACAGTAGATGTACGAGCTAATGTTTCATTTGTAGTAAATAATAATGTGCATGTATCAAGTGTTTGAAGTGTATTGGAACCATTGACAATACCAGGACCACGAAGACATAAACGAATTCCACCAATAAAATAAATTCCTGATACATTTAATTGTACTTCTAATTGATGTGCTGGTAGAGGAAATGTAACAGTAAGTGTTACATCATCTGGTTGAATGAGACATGATAAATTTGATAGAGTTAAATACTTTACACCAGGTTTATTCTGTTGAATACTAATATTTTCACAATCTGCACCTGTATTTATTAAATCTAAACTCATTGTAAATGGTTGTGCATCAAGTATATCAAAAATAGGCCATCGACTTCCATCAGGATTCGATAAAGGTAATTGAAGAGCATTATCAAAATTAGCATTACGCATAGTAGTATCACATGAAGCATGCATGGGACCTGATGTTTCAATTGGATAAAGTTGATGATAATCAGCAGCAAACCAAAAAGTAAATCCAAAAAGTACAGCAATAGCAAATGAAGATAATCCACCAATCCATCGTTCACCTTCTCCTACAATATCAGTATTTTTTAAAATTTTTTTTGCATTATCTCGATGACGAACTATTGTCTGACAATTAAATACTTTTCCCATAGTCATAATAAACCAAATAATAAAACATAATGCTATAGCAAGTGATGTCCAAAATAAAGGTGCAATAATAAGACATCGAACTGACTGACCAATAGTAAAAACATTTTGTACAATAATATCATCATAACTATTCATATCTGGTGAATTTGGATAAGCGAATGTTTGTATATATGATGTATAATTAATAAGTATAACATCATCAATAGAACCAAGTGGACAAAATGAATTGGATAAACATGAACTACATTCTATGGATGGTTCATTACCTGAATTTTTTGTTTGAGGAGGACATATTGTACAAACTCCATATCCAGTTTCATTTTTATATGTACCAGATGGACATGGTGCTGACTGAAAAATAGTACTATAAAAATCTTCATCATTGTGCCATATAGATTGGTAACCAGGTGCTTGTGATGGTACTAGTATAACAAAATTATAAATAACTAGTAAATATAAGTTATTAGACCATAAAACCATTTGGAAAAAGGTAACTGAAAACTCAAAATCTAGTATTTGTTGATTATCAGGAAAAACAGAGAGAGGATTTTGTAATGGTATATCAACAGCAAATGTCCATACTTCCGATTGAGACCAAGAACGAGCATTGATTGAATAAAGAAGTATTGCAACTGTTTTATCATCAATCCAAGCAACGGATTGACCAAAGCCACTGTTTGGAGGTCCATAATCAGTACGCATTATATTTATATTTCATTGAGATGTATTTGTACTAGTCGTATTAATATTTAATAATAAGACTACATTGAGCAATGGAAAACCAAATACGACCATTTGTCGCTCATTATTTACAGCTATTGACATTTGATTAGCAATATTATAGGTTGTAGCTAACGCAGCAGTCTGTGCGAATGAGTTCATGTCAATAATCGTGGTATAATTAATAGATCTGAATGGTTGAAGTTCACAAATAAATGCGATAATTACAGCAATGTTTGGATTAATATATGAGATTGCATATCCAACTCCAATAACATATGTATCTGTAACATCAATTGCATGTGGTATGATTGGATAAGGATATGAATAGAATGTATAGGAATCTTTTAATTCAATTATTTCATTATTAACAATATCGAACATGAGAGCAAATCTATCAGTAAATACACAAGTATATTTTTGAGAAGGAACAACTTTGAGTAACATATATTCTTGATGTGTACCATTCAAAATGAGTGTATCACGAATGGTTGCAGTACTCATATTGCCATTTACTAAAAATTTAAAAAAAAATATTTCATATAATATTATTCTCTTACTACAATCACAAAACAAAAATATATTAATCTTTCTCTAATAACTAAAAATTGACTAAGAAGTATTATGATAATAGATCTAGTAGATATGATTAAATAGGACATACTGCAAAGTGATCTATTGACAGTAATAATACTAAAATAAATGTTTTGTGTTGACATTTGTTCAGATATTTGTACAAATGTAAATAATTGATCAGATGTATTATTATCATTATTCAATACGACATCTAAACTGTATACATAAAAATCACGACTTTGATTCACATAAACACAATCTGTTAAAGGTACAAATGGTGCAAAATTTATGTCAAAACCCATAGCAAGATTCATTCCATAAACAACGAACTGATCATTCCCAGCAATACGTACACCATGTGCATTATCATCAGTAATATCGTAGATAATAACACATACAATTGGTTTCAATATTAATAATAAAATAAATATACCAATAAACATTTAATATTTTATTCTCAATCGATCTAAATATATAATAAGAGATTATAAAATACCTTTTGTTCATTAAATACGTTAACAAGTAGCTGAATTCGAAAATACAAAACTTATTTTTCATTGAATTGATCGATATTTGCTTCACTTGTCAATGATATCCAAAAAATATTATGATATTGCGCATATACTTCTAATCGATTAATTTATTTTTATTTCTATTTATTTGATTTAGTTATTCATACATTTACTTGAATAAGTATTTAATAGAACATTTATGCAAAAATAAAATCAAATAGAATGGATAAGAATATCTATGGCTTCAAAGTACTTTAGTACTCAACAGAAGAAATAAATAATATATTTTATTATTCTTTTATCTGTATAAAAATCAATTACTGTCCAATAAAAACTATTTTCTGAAAGAAAGGGTTATAGGCTCGTTAAACAGGGTCGTTAAAATGCTTAAAGTTTTGTTTGTCCAACAAGCCAATCAGATTGTAGTATTTTATAAGTCAATGAAAACTTATAGGTGGTCATCACATAATGATTGACCAAAGGTAATCGGAGTCGAGGAATCCGAATCTGGTGTTAGATTTTTAAAGTTTTTTTCGGATCAATTTTTTTATAGAAGGGACCACTTTTTTTTGAAGAAAAGTTTCTATATAAGGGTTCATCGAAGGATAATTGGAGTGAACGACTTCAAATCTGACTTCTGTTTTGTTTATTTAGTAACGCGATTTTCACGAGAAAGATCTGAGACAGTCTTTAGACGAGCGGTACTTATTATTTTATTTGAATGTTTTTTACTAATACATTTTTAAACTATAAAATAAGAACTTGATTCAAACTCATTAGTTGTGTAATGTTAGAATAAAAAGCGAATTTTAATTTTCATCAATAATATATCGATGGAAAAGATTTTATTGATAATATATGTAATTAGAATAAATAGACAATCTAAATAAGTAAAGAGAAATTACTAAGGAATGTCATAGACTTTGAAAAAGAAACATAAATAGATAAGAAAAATTGAATGTCTTCATTATGACTTGCACAAATAGACTGAATCCTTTATTGCTGATAGTAGTATACGAGTTCAATTTTCATATTCCATATCTGATAAAGGGAACACTTTTTTCAACTGAAATTTTCAGATCATTCAAATAATACTTACTTATCATCAGAAGATAAAGTTTGTTTCCTCATAAGATAATTTTCATGTCTAAACAGACTATGATGACTCATAACGATAGTATTCATCAGTTAATTATGAGAGAATAGTTCTTTTTTTCAAGAAAATCTTGAGTAAATTAATATTCGTATAAAAAAAACTATAAATTCTTAATTTCTTGATGAATCATTGTTGTCTTCGAACTCGAGATAGATATTGATGAGATAATTCTATGTGAAAAAATTCAACACATAGTCTGTTTCTATTTTGAGTACATAAAAAAGATAAAATAAAATAGTTGACTTTTCCTTCTTATCTTTTATTTATATTTGTTAAATTGTCACTCTTATCTATTTACATCGACACTCCTCATTTTCTATAAGATTTTATTTTAGTAAAATAATGAAAATGAATAAAAAGAAAAGAAAATCTAGTTTAAAATATTTTAAGATATGGTGGTGATGGAAGATTTGGATCTGTTAAACTATAAACAGGTGCAAGTTTAAATTCACAAGGAGTTTCACGCCATAAATAACGAACACCATAAATTGTTTTTGATTGACATGTAGTTGGTATTGATACTGTAACTGTTAAAGTATTTTTTAATGAAACTGGTGATGCTACCCATAAATTATCATTTGAACATTGTGCACCTTGACAACAGACCTAGATTTATTAATAGATGAAAATCAAATATTTTATTTCGAAAAAAAAACAACTATACTTCAAATCCATTTGGGCTTCTTAAATCAATTCCTGTTACTTTTGAATAAGTTATATCAATTGTTGAAGTTGCACTATCAAGAGTAACAGTTGATACAATAGGACCTAGATATTCTACTTGTTGTCCGTATGCAACAGCTAAACCAGCCTGTGCTAAACGATAACCAACATCATGTTTTGTACGAGGATGGATACTTTAATAGATAGAAAAATTTGTTTTGTTTTTATCTTTAATAAAATAAATGATAAATATTTTACTTTGCTGGATCATCTCTTAAATCCATAGCAACAGCCATAAATACATTTGGTACAACATCATTAGGTACATAACCAACACCAAATGTTTGATACCATCGAATCCATGGAAAACCTCCAATACCAATTGTGTCATTACGATTAGTTGATAACTTTTTGACAAAAAAAAAAAGAAAAACTCAAAATATATTTAATAATAATGAAAAATCTATTTACTTGAACAAAACCAAATGGAAAATTAATATCTGTAATTCCATTTGTACGTGTATTCCAAACTTGTCTCCAATATGTAATCATTTTTGAAAATGTACAAATATATTTATCTCGATTATATCCTGCGTTGGATTCACCTTGATACCAAAGAGCACCTGCGACAACCATTCGTGTAAATGGATAAATCATTCCATTATATAATTCAGTATTTACTGCTGACACTCTCTCACCATCATCATATTCATTTGGTTCATGTGGATTTGTTTCATTTCTAAAAAATATTTTTCTATTAAAAGAATAAAATAATGTTTGTGAAAATTTCTACTTTGTAATTCCACAATCAGTTAAAGCTTGTCTTGGCATCCATAATTCAATAGCAGTTCCACCCCATGATGTATTAATAAGACCCATAGGTCTTCCATTTAATGCAACATGAACCATTCGTCCATAAAGCCAACAAACAGCTGATGCATATCCATTTCCAACAATTGCTGATGATGCAACGGACCATCGTAAACCAATACCAGGTAATTCTTCAACAGGTGAACTTGCACCAATTCTTGATACACCAAATAATCGAATTTTAGGATAATTTCCTGCATTTGCAATTTCAACTGATCCATTAAATATTTGACTAACAGCCCACTGCATATTTGATTGTCCTGAACATATATAAACATCACCATATAAAACATTTTTTAATGTTATTGAAACAAGTGAACCATTAGCAATTGGTTGACTTACAACGATTTCAAATGGACCTTCATCAATTTCAGCATCAAGTGTTACTGACCAGATACTTTCACCCAAATTATTTATTTTATCTTCACTCATTGCTTCATAGATTTTATTATTTATTGATAATGTTGTTAAAACATTTGTGTCACCAAATCCCCAAACAACAGCACGTTGAGGAGCACGTTGTAATACCATATTATCTTGATAATAATTAGCAAAACGAAGTTCTCCATTTGTTTGAATTATATAGAAACTTAATAGAAATAATACACGATACAACATTTGAGAACCCATCTCAAAAAATCTTATTTTTAAAATGTATCTTTCTTCTGTCTACTATTTATATATATACTATTAAATTTAAATAAAGATAAGACATTAACATTCTTTTTGTATTTTATCGTTACACACATACCAACTTCTTTTTGATAAAAAAAAAACAAAGGAAAACTTTATTTTATGAAATTTAAGATAAGAGAAAAACAAACTGTTGTATTATTTTTCTTATATACTATTAAAAATTAAATACACTCGTGATATAAATAAATAGTTTTTATTCAAACATTTTTAAGAAAGAAAAGTGGCTCTTTTAAATATGGATTAATTTATCGTCCATGAAAAAAATAGTTTTTTTTCTTTGATTGCAGTTTACATTCTCTGAATTGTAGAGCTTCCCATGCTGCATTTAGTGACATATTTTTATTTATTTTTCATGAGAAATTCTCTTTCAAACATCATTTATTAATCGATATAAACAAAAAAAAAATTATACTATTGATTTATATAGAAGAAAGAATTTTTAAAATTGTTTTTTTTCTTCTTATTCATATTTTAACATAAGATGATTGCACAATTATATGCCAATTATATTAATATGAATTAAATAATTTTTTTATCATGAAAATTTATTTATTCTGTATTAATTCCGCATAACTATCAGAGGGCGTGTCCTTGGCATCAACAATATCGTAATATACATTATTAAAAATACACATACATTTTATGATAAAATTACTCTTCAATGAGGCAAGATTAATACTGGTAAATTGAGGATTTCAGCATAGTTGTATTCGCTTTTATGAAAACTGTTGCGCAATCTTCTTACAAATTACGTCATCAAATAAACGTACGTATTTTTTCGTTCTTTCTTTTCTGTTTCAACTGTAAGTTGGAATTTGCGTGAATAATATTAACGTCATATAATCGTAAATAATACAAACGGTAAGTTTGATCAATAGAATTTTATGCGTTTAGTATTACGAAACTGTTCTATTATAGATTCATATTTTAAATAAATGAAAATAAATGTAGAGAAAATATAACGGAAATTTTCAATCATTCTTTCGATCATTATCAACCAAAACACACAACCAAAAAGTACAAATATATAATGAAGTTACAGATACATTTATTTAAAATTACATGAAAATCTCATGCCTTCATTATTATTATTAAGTAAATATTCATACATGAGTTGTTTCGTAAGTATATCGGTATATGGAATAAATTACTGGTTTAATATTAAGATCGAACTGAATTACATTAAATTAGTATTTATTAATGATGACAATTAATACCATTGCCAGTTGTTCATGTTGTCATTGGTATTGTTGTTAAAGTATATGCTTTCATATAATTATAATTGTAGTTATAATATTATTTTCTTGTACTGTTGTAACTTCATTATTTTTCTATTGTTTTGCGTGTGGTTTGGTTGATAATGATCGAAAGAATGATCCAAAATTTCCGTTATTGTTAAAAATATAAGATTTTCATTACATATTCCACATTTATTTTCATTTATTTAAAATTACATGAAAATCTTATGTCTTTATTATTATTTTTCATACATTATAGATTCATATGATATATCAAGGAAGCTACGGATTTCATATAATGATAATACAAATATTTCTACTCTGTTCGATGTTTAATTATTATGCTACTAGTTTACAAGCTAGTGATTTCTATGTTCAAAATTTACCTCTTCTACCAGAAACTGAATCTACGATTCGTATGCATGCTGGATATTTACCAGTTTGTTCAAAAAATGATGGTGAATTATTTTTCTGGCATTTTGCTAACAAATTCACAGGTGATAAACCAAGAACAATCATTTGGTTAAATGGAGGTCCTGGTCAAAGTAGTCTCATCGGAGCTTGGACAGAAATTGGTCCTTTTCGCTTTTTAGATCAAAATACCATAGTTACAAATAATGGTTCATGGCATTTCTATGCTAATCTTTTATTCATTGATCAACCTATTGGTACTGGGTTTTCTTATGTTGATAGATGGATGTTTATTGAAGAACTCGATGTAATGGCAGAACATTTTCTCAATTTTCTCGATCGATATGTTGAGATATTTCCAGAATTACTTGAAGAAGATATTTATTTAGCTGGTGAATCTTTTGGTGGTCAATATATTCCTTATATTGCAAAAGCAATTCTTGAAAAACGATCATTACTGAAACTACGTGGTCTTCTCATTGGAGATGGATGGATTGATCCGATTTCTCTTTATAATTCATATTTACCATATGCAATTGCAAACAATTTAGTAGAGAATAATTCAATACTTTATACTAACATTATTCGTCGAGTTGCAATATGTCAAGACATATTATCGAAACATGTACATATTTTTATTAGTGAATGTTATTCTATTCTTGATCTGATAATGAATAGTGGTACAATTAGAGAACAAGATGTAGAAAATACAGAAGATTCATGTATCAATGCTTATGACATACGATTAAGTGCAAAAGAACCGATGTGTGGAATGGCTGGACCATCTGAACTTGAATATGTTTCCGCTTATTTAAATCGACCAGATGTTATGTCTAGTATTCATATAGATGGAAAGAAATCTCAATGGAAAGATTTTACAGAATTGGTTTATAACTCATTTCAAGCATTTAATTCTAAACCATCTATTCACTTGTTACCTAATTTACTTTCAAAAATTCCAATTGTATTTTATAATGGTGAATATGATTTTATTTGTAATCATTTGGCAGCAGAGAATATGTTAGATAATATGACATGGAACGGTGCATCTGGATTCGATTTAGGAAATGGAAAGGTCGCTCCGATCTATGCATGGGTTGTTGATGGTGAATCTGTAGGTTCTATACGCTATGCACGTAATTTAACTTATATTCTTTTCTTTAATGCTGGTCATATGGTACCTTATAATCAGGCACGTCGATCACAAGCTATGCTACATCAATTTATACAACTGAATTTAACTTATCCTAACAATCAAACAATAGATAATAATCATAAAAAAGTTAATGAGAATACGCACCGTGGTTTGAAGTATATTATATCAATTGTATGCATTATTATTGTAGTTGTTATTAGTATCATTTGGTTTCTTGCTCCCAAACGACGACAACCACGACAACGACAATTAGTGCAATATATAAGAGATAATGATAATAATGACGAATCTGGTGACCCGTTGATAAAACCTGGAGAATAATATAGACTGAATATGACGAAGTTATATTTATTTGATATGTTTTAGTCACGATTGCTTTAGTAATAAAAGACTGATAAACATTGTTTTTCTTATTATTTTTCTAAATGCATAAATTTAATGCTCATTCGGCTAATAAGACATTTCATACAGCCAAAAATGTGCAAACTAAGTGTTCAGTAACTATGAGAAGGTAGCAACGTTTTTCAAGAACTTCTGCTAAAAAATACCATTCGTTGAATGAGTAAAAGAAAGTACCATCTTGAGGGTGGGTGTGGGTATCATAGACGCAATACACACACAACAACACTCACACCCGCATCCACATCCACCCTCATCCACACCCTCACATACGTAGTCTTCTGATTATTTCCGATAAGTACCAGTAACTGATTCCTGTTGTATCAATGCTATTCAACACGATAAATCCGATCAATGAAACGCCCGTATTCTTCTGTAATCCGGCAAGTTCCGTTATCAGTTATCGATCGGTTTCATCTTGAAATCTGACGTCATATGAAATCAGAAATTCCAACCATTTCGTAACCCCAGATTATCCTGAATTTACATACAAACTCTCAAGATATACTTTATATTCTTATAAACTTTTTCTATTTGAGAAAATTTAGCTTGACTATTTCGAAGAAGTTCATGTGTAAACCTTGCATATCTGATTAGAATTTACGAAATAATACAATAGAAATATAGATTTCACATAGAAAAAAAATACTCAATGTGCAAAATTTATCATAAAACATAACAATTCATGTTGAGGATGTGGGTGTTATATTCTTCCTCTGTCAACACCCACACCAACACCCTCAAAGTCAGTTACCGTTGTACTGGATTTTTACAAAAGATGCGGAAAAAAAGTCGATATTTACAAAAACAGTTTTCTATTTTAACAAATCTTTTTCAAATTACACTCGTTTCATTCAGGAACATTTGTTTACCGTGTGCTGCTTTAAGATATACTTTCTACAAAACATGGAGATTTTGAATGTGTTTCCGTAATAATAAGACCAAAATTTTTATTACTATACTGAATAGTTTGTTTTCTTTTTCAGTTATTTTAGATAGATATATGAATAAAATAATAAAAAACAAATAATATAACGAAAACATAACTCCAGTACAAAATTCATTTACTGATTGAATAATATCCTCGGAACATTCATTATATTAGTTCACAGATATTTGAAAAAATCTCAACAATATTTCTTTCTAAGGAAAATACTTTTTGTTCCTTGAGACTTCTAAAATCAATCAATTTTCTAACCATTAAAAGGAAAACATCTCGTGCAAATCTTCTTTTCTTTAAAAAGATAAAAAAGATTTATTCATGTGAATTATTTTATCACAATATTCACGCTATAATAGAGAATTTCTATCTCAACTAAATTCTAAACTGATATGCGACCTACACAAGTCTTTTTTTAAATTTTTTTAACTACACTTAACAACCTTTTTAATCTACATCTCCATACTAGAGATGATCGTAAGGAATTCATTGGGTGGTTCTAGGAATGATTCTGTTATATATATATTGTGCTGTTATAGGATTAAATCGAGTTAAAAAAGAAGAAACCTTCTAAAATCTGAGTAAAACAAGTAACGCTCATCCGAGAACTCGCTTAGCTCTTTCTCGTAGAAATGCACTTTCTTCACATTTACTGGAAAAACAAATAAAAACCGTAAAAAATTGATCTTCGATGTTTTTTTGACCCTGCGGACAGACAAACAGTTTATGTTTACTGGACTCTTCACTACGAGAAAGAGAATAATTGTAAAAATCTTGATGAAGTCTTTGAATATCTCGAGAAATGGTGAATAATAGTTGGGGAGAAATTTTCATTTTATCCGTTTACGATCGATACAAATCCAATAAATTTTCAACGGTATTAGATCGGAACCTTATATTGTTAGATGTTTTCCTATGATCGGATTTTGATGATTACAGCAATATCTGACGAGTCGATGCAATATGCATCGATCGGATAGTTTTCCATACGGTTTACAGGTCGAATTGAAAGACTTGGGTATATACAAAATTTTCTCTATGAAAAAAGAAACATTACCATACTAGTAATTAAAGACTTTTAATTATCTATCGTGACAGTAATTTCTGCTAAGATGCTTCATAAAACATAAATGACAAACAAAAGATTCCTAATTTTTTTATATTAAATTTTAGATTTTCAAAGAAAAGAAGAAAAACATATAATAAAAAGCATATCATTTTGAATAAAGTATCATGTCATCGTCGTCCGTATCTGATGGAATTCTCAAATTTGCTGCACAATACTCTATTTATACTGGTTTTATTACATTTAGTTTTGGATTTATTGGTAATGTGTTGAATCTTCTTGTTTTTACTCAATTGAAACAATTTCGAACTAATCGATGTGCCCTCTACATAACTATTGAATCAATTTCCAACTTCATTTACCAGTTTTTATCTATTAGTTTAACTATTTTAACATCAATATATGGAGATGATGCTACAGGACGTTCTTTCATTTGGTGTAAATTAAGATATATATTGGGACAAACATGTGCGGTCACTACTCTTTATATGATATGTTTCACTGCTGTTGATCAATTCTTTTCAACAAATCATCGTTTGAATTTAAGACAAATGTGTACATTGAAATTAGGTCGTTATTTTGCGTTTATATTCATTTGTTTTGCGATCATTCATGGCATTGTAAATGGCTCTTCTTATGATATTCAACCAACACTGGGATGTGTTCCATCGACTTATGTAGCAGTTCAGTATTCAACATTTTTCTTTTATCCAATTTTAGTTGGGTTTCTACCTATTATAATTGCATCATCATTTAGTATCTTAGCTTATCATAATGTTCGTCATATAGTTCGACGACAATTACCAATTGTCCGTCGTAAGTTAGACAAACAAATTACAGCAATGGTTCTTATGCGTGTAATAATCTTTGTTTGTTTGGTATTGCCTTATGTTACTTATCGTATCTATACTGTTAATTTTCCTACATCACGAAATATGCCTATGGCTTATGCAATTAGTCGATTGATTCAAGCAATTATTACTTCTATCTACATTATAAATTTTGCCGTAAATAAATTCTCTTTGCTAATTCATATTTGTAAGATTTTGGTTTATTTTAGATCAACTTTTATATTTTTATAATGTTCTCACCACGTTTTTGTCGTCAAGTAAAACTTGTTCTAGTAAAAAAATGTTGGCAACGATGGAAATATTGGTGTTGTTCCATAAATAATCGAATTGACCCTGGCAACAATATCGAACCATGCAATTCACAGACAGAATTAGAAGAAAACATCTAACTATTCATTTAATAAATATATATCAATTCTCATGTGTCTATTTTTTCTAAAGGGTGGATGTGGGTATGAATACTGTATTCACCTAGCACCATCTTGAGGGTGGATGTGGATTTGGATACTATGTAATTGTGTAATATACACATTCACCCTCAAGATTTGCCTTGATTCGATCATTTAATTGAAATTTATTTTTGCTTTATTTATGATAATACTTAAATGCAATCTATTTGATTAACTGAATACAACAATGAATTTATTTTTATGACAAATACTAGCAATACAATTATGTCTTATGAATACCATTTTTCAGTTGAAGTGTTCCATTATTCTTTGTGGTTTTCATAAATGTATCATAAGGAATAATAACACGTCTTCGTCGTTGATAACAACATCGAAATATTTTTTTTATTCGACTTAGAACTGTAGATAACGTACCAAGGCATGTCAATGGCAATAAAAATATAATAAATTTTTCAAAAAATTCTGCATATAGATTATAACCAGATCCCACATAAGATGAAACTCCAAGTAGCTTAGCAGTTGATAAAATGATTGGGGGTAAATACAGAATATAGAAAATAGATGTAATAACTAATAGTTGAATTGTCATTTTACGATGTTTTTTTCCATTAGACTTGTTGATTAAAACGACGTTTCTGATAAATGGTACGTAAGACAAGAAAAAAACTACCAAATTCAATAATCAAAGATGGTGTAAAAGCACTAGTAAAAGATTCAAAACGCATAAATGATACACTATTATACACACAACTAGAATAATCACAAAATGGTTTTATATAAGAGAATTTTCTATTACAATCATTCATTGGAGTTATTATTACATAACAATTAGTAATAATGGAATATAATGAAAAAAGAGACGTTTCTTTTTTGTTGATACCCATTTATTATGAAATATAATAATATGTCGTTCAATTGAAGCCCATGCTACCAATTTGTCTATTGATGAATAAATACATGAATCTGGAGAGTGGGGTGAGGGTGTGGGTGGGTAAGACATAAAACACTCACCGATACACCGACATTCACACCCACACACCCGACCTATATAACTAATAGCTATATCAGGTTTACTTAATTCTATTGCCGTAATGCTTGAATTTGCAGTTGATGATGACATTTTATTCGATAAAAATTTTGAAAATGATTTCTATATTAAAAAAAGATGGTTTATTAAATATAAAAGTGATGTTAGAATAACGTAAATATCATGAAAAAAATAGATAGAAAATGTTGTTCAAAAGCACCGAATAATAAATTAATGAGAAAAGCTTAAAATAGTTCACATTTATGTTAAGCAACAATGAAAATGTTTTATCTAATTTAATAATAACTATTTATATATATTATCATATAGTTCAAAAAAAGATCTTTGATGTTACTCAGAAAATGAAATACGACTTATATTATCGAATATACAGAATTTTCATAATTAATATAAAACACAAGAATATATTCAATCTATTCAAACAAGGAACGTTCATCAAAACTCGATTCACTTGACCTTAGACTATCGCGATCTGCATGCGAATATGATTATATTTAGATGTGAATGAGAGTTGATCAATATTAGTTCTTTCAGCACGAAACTGGTAAGTTTATTTAAAATATTTACAATAATCCAACTAGTAAAACTATAAAATAATCGGATTATAATGCATAGTTTTTGAAGCTTCTCATCCTGGGCTTTACTTTTCTGATTTGTGATACATCATCGTTCGTTGTATGCATGCATAAAAAATATTTACTGATGATGATGAATTGGTTTTTTTCAAAAGCATTGCAATATTCTATGTATACGAACGTTCCGTTTTTTGTTATTAATATTATGTTCATCGTCCTCATTATTTTAATTTATTCAATAAAATAATGATCTATATATGAATAACAAATATTTAAACTCGTGCCCTTTTTAACAAATAAACTAAATATTGTGCCATGTTACTAACAAAAAGAATACATGTAAATAGATCAATTCCCGTCTCTAGACCCTTTTCTTACAGTCTAGGGAATATAGAGAAAAATATACTTGAGTTTATTCACGTATTTATACACATACTCTATAATGTCTAAAAATGTGCTCACTTTTCCAATTTATATAATACAGTTTTTACATTTACTTAAAAAGACATCTCGATATAATTCTTTTAAGTAAGGTTAATTTATTAATACTAAAAATATAATCTCTGAACTTTCAGAATGTCTAGAAAATATCATGAATAATAATGAATGTATATATGTGTTTACAGATCCTCGAGCATTGTTTCGACTATTTCAGATCATTGAAATGCATATCAATAACGTACTGATTAATTTTCAATATTTGTTATAAATGAATATGTTTGTTCTGTTTTCTACATCTTCCATCTAAGTAAAAGTGTTGAAAAAAAGTAAACAACTAAACAAATCAAATAAATTCAAAAAATATAATCCTCATAAAATTTGTTTTCTTTCTTTATAACAATTTTCATAGGATTACTTAGATTCTATCTGGTCTCAAATTTTTAATATTCACTTGTATTTATATGAGAAATATGAAAAACCCACACCCTCACATCTATAACATTGAAAAAAAAAGTTTATTTCTAAAATTTATTTTCGATCAATATAAAGATTAATTATAATTAAGTAATTTCATAAAAAGCTATATTTAAGTTTATGAAGATAAAAGACATATTTCAGATGCATTGATTTCACGACTGTAAATACGTAATTCATCGACACCTCCAGCATATGGCATATTGTTAATATTTCCGGAAATGCAACTTGTAGTGCCAGATAACTGATTGGCAATAGTTATATAAAATGGTAAATTTGGACCATCTCGAGTTATACTACTATTACTTGATCCATTTAATGTTCCATTAATATATAAATTAATACCATTTGTAACACTAAATGTATAAATAATGTGTGTCCAGATATTTAATGACAGTATAGGTCCGTAAACATCTATATTTAGAATTCGAGCAATTATATTACCCGACATACTAAAACCTAATATGGGCATACATGTACCAGTACCATTTGATAGTGTAGATAGATGAATTAAAGTACCACTAACATTCAATGGTTTTATCCAAAGAGAAATTGAAAATGACTGATTAATCATACCTAATGCTGTAAAACCAGGTGCTTGAAAATAAGAAGTTAATGAATTGAATTGTATTGCATCTTTGTTTCGACCTGTAATGAATGTTTGTCCAGTAGCAGAGCCATGTAATAAATTTGGTCCACTATCAAGTATTGATCCACAATCAAATGAATAATAAGCAACAAGAGTTGCATCATCTAATATTTCATTTGCTGTTTTTGCTCGATAATTAATTGAAACATGATCAATATATCCAATATATTCTCCAGTAAATGGTAATACTTTACCTAATGTTGTATCACCTGATTGTCCAAGATAAAGATGAGGAGCATCTGAATATGATACATATAAGCTCTCAGCAAGACCATTCACATAAATAAGTCGTTCTCGACGATCATAATCATAAACAAAGGCAACATGATACCATTGATTAGTAACAAATATTGTTGTCACAGCATCAGTATCATCGTTCCAAAATCCGAAATGCAATGTTGAGTAAATATTCATCCCAATATGAAGACAATAATCCGTGTCGAAACTTGGACATTGTCCAAATATCGATGCATCATAAGTCGTATTTTTCATATATATCCAAAGTTCAATTGTAAAACTTCGTTGATAAAAATTAATATAAGGTAATTGGACATAACTATCAGCAGAAAATACTAGACTTTGACCAACATATCCATTGGTAAAAGATGATGTTCCTATCATTGTTCCATTATAGTTATTCATTGAATCAGATACATCACCACTGAATAACCACAATGCGGTTAAACTTGAATCAGTCGGTAACAAACTTGGACATGTTGAGGTAACTAAATCAACAAAAAAAGATTTTAATCCTTCTAAAATCTATTTAAAAAACTTACCACATGATGTGCTATTCCAAATAGCTGTTGAATTACATAAACATTTATTACATGTTGATGAACATGTTAGACCAATATCTTCTCGACACATTTCATTTGTATTACATAAACTTTCATAATAGATCTGATTGAGACACATTGCACCATTCCAATACGTACCCGAGGGGCAAGTCCATAATTGATTAATACAAACTAAATAACGATCGAATGCTGGTACAGTAGGATTACATACTTGATTGTATGACTGATAATATACGGTATCATAATAAAGACTGAAAACTCTTGATGTTGATGATAATGAATTAATCATAGAACCTGTATTGATTGAACCTTGATAAAGACGACAGATGAAAGGATAAGTACTATCACTAACAGATGTTCGACAAAGTGGATTCATATTACATTTTATATAACATAACATCATTGTTGATATATCTGTATAACTTTCAATAAGTTCAATTGGATTTGCTGGAATAAAATCCGTGCCCGATTCTTCAGATGTCATAATCGATTGAAATGTTTGACTTTGAACAAAATTGATAGTTATCAATAATCGTAATAAAGAAAAACTCCATTTACTCATTTTGTACGTTGAAGTTGTTTGAGTAGAAATATTAAAATGGAAAGTAATTTTCTTTCTTTTTTATATTTAACAGGCAAAGAATCAATTTAAAACTATGACGTCCGAAAAATAAATTTTGTTAATTATAAAGAAGAAAATTACATTTCCGTTAGTAAAAGTGAAAATCTAATGACGTACTTATTTTTTTCATGTAAATATATGTTTAGTTGATTATCGAGGCAAATAAAATACTTATATTCATTCTAGTATCTTCTTCCTCTCTATGATTATTATTTGATATTTAATTTATTTACTGAATAATATCTTTTTTTTTGCTTGAGAAAACAAATACTTCATCAAAATTTTCTTTTCTGATAAAGCACAAATTCTAGTAACGATAAGTGTGAATATTTACTAATAGTTTTTTCTTTCATTACTATAGAATATCCACCTACCACATTTAATTTTCTTCATTCGCACTTTAAATTAGTTTTTTTTACAGTAAATAAATGTATAATGAGAAGTGACGTGTTGATTGTAAATATTAAAAAAGTTGCTGAAAACCACACAAATCCATTTTAATTTTTTGACGGAAAAGGACTTTTTCAAATTGGAATAAAAATAGATTTTTTTGATGTTATGTTGAAAGAAATGGAAGTAGATCAATGTGAATTCAATTAGAAAATTATATTGTTTTCTCGGCTGTAGGGAGGTTCATATGAAATAAATCGCACTTGCTTGCAACGGGGTTAAAAAAGCATCCAAGAAAAAAAATACACAATACGTCATAAAACTCGAATTTCAGGTCTGTTTGATCAGACAACCCAAGGAAATGGATAAAATCAGATTTTTTGGACTCAGATCCGGATCGTTAAGAGTTTTATTTATTTTCAGTATCGTATCGAAATTGAAAAATCAGATTTTTTTACGTTTGGAACCGGTAATAAGTGTTTTTAGAATCACATCGGGAGTCGTGAAAATCAATTTTAAGGATCGACATCGGAATCACCTATGTAAAAGTTCTCTAAATTTTGAGGGTGTGGGTGTGGATCAATGATGCCAACTGTCATAGTCAGAAAACCGGAATTCTAATGTGAAAATCCGGAAAATTCCGGAAACGTTTTTTTTGTTAAATCCGGAAAGGTTGTTAACAGTTAGTTTCTATCGGCTAAAATCAGTTTCTCTAAATCTTGTTCTCAATTATACCGCTTATTATTTCAAAAAACACATGTTTCAATATATCAAAAGAAAATCAACATCAAAATTCAGAATATAATAAACTGAAAATATGAGAAGTATAAGCCACTGAGCCGTTGTCAAATAAAAAAATTTTTTTGAGTATTAACATATAAATATAATTTAGTTCAATAGAAATAGTCTAAAATCCAGAAAAATCCGGAATTTTTCTGGAAAAACCGGAGGAGTTGGCAACACCGATGCCAACGTAGTCTTCATCCCTAAAAATATTATTTATAAATTGAAAATGATTAGACGAAATGTCGAACTAACGATAAAATAGAATTGAAACCTGTTTAACATTTTCAAATTAGTGTCTGAGATAGTTTTGAAAAATGATAAATATCTCAACAAAAAAATGGTGAAAAACTGTCAAAAAAAATTCTTAATAATGCAAAACTGATGGAAAAATGTTTTTTGGCGACTTGAAGGTGGGTGTGGGAAAGGGGAGCGTACACTAACATAACAACTGTCGCAGTCACATCCAAACCCGTACTCACGCCCTCAAGATTGAGCAATATAGATTTTAAATTATCTTTCCTCTATAATAATGAAACATCAGCAAAATACATCAATTCTATGTCTAAGAAAAAGAATGAATGTATCTTTTTGCAGATTTCGAGGAAGAAAATCAATTATTATTATTAGATCATTTATTTAGTTCGACATCTCTAAGAAACGATGATAGTAAAAATTAGATTCCAAATTTCTTTTCTTTTTCTTACGCTAATTTTTTATTGTAATGCAGAATTCTTATTAGTGTTTAAAATAATGAATAATTAACACGAAACGAACTTTGTATTTGGTTATTTTAATAGTAAATATCAAAAATATTGTTATTCTTCGCCTTATGATCGATTATTTGTACAAATATATATTAATTTTCTCTACTTCTCACGAAAGGGTAAGACCAAGTATTATGTACAAGAAATAGAACGACACTTTTTCTACATTTTTATTATTAATCAAGGCTTTCATCATACACTGAAAAAAGTATTGAATTGGTAAAATGGTCCGACAAGATATTGAAGACAGAACAGAAAAACATTTGGTGTCATCATTAATAACGTATCTCCAGTCTAATGTATATTTCAACAAATCTATATCAGATAATTTATACTTGGTCTTATTTTTCGATGACAGTAAATAAAAGAAAAACGTTGTTGATAAATGAAATTTCTTCAGACAGAAAATATTTTCATCGCATATCAAGATAATCTGTATATATATATATATATAGAATAATATTATGTCAAGACTTGTATTATTCATTTGATATAATTTTTTTGAAGAAGTATTTCCACATGAATATACTTGGAATACAAACGAAGCTCCTGCTTTGTTGTGTAATACTGTTACTAGAAGTATCATTTTTTAGTCAAGTGAATGGACGAGCATTCGATGAATATGGTAAGTTGTACTATTGATCATTATAGGATGAGTCAAAATTTCTCTTTCTCTCTTCTTACAAATCTTAAGATGCTTGTTATCGAATATATAGTTCCTTCTAATGTAATAATATCATCTCGAACTGTCGAGGAGATTTTTTCTAACAATAAAGTCTCTAGAATGATTAACTTTCTCATCAATATAATAACAAATCATATAAAAATTATATATTATTATATTTTATTTCACTGATGGTATACGTTTTTTTGTTCATTTAAAATTGTAACTATTTTGTAATTGATCAGCAATATTCCTGATAATTATCTTTTATGAAAATCATGACAAGATATAAATACTGGTCATACATTTCACATAGTTTATTTAACAATCGGTACTTCGTTCTTTACAGTAAAATCAGAGCGTATCTACCGGTAATTTTGCATTTATAACTTAGAGTTACTTTCAAATCTATAGGGAAAAATAGAATTTAGAAGCAGAGATGGTGGCTTCAGTGTGTAAGTCAGAGATCAGTAGAATACATACAACGACACCCTCAAACCCTATTGAACATTTGTAGTTGATTATCGATAAGAAATTGAAATATCAGTGGAATAGTTGACAATTAGACCTGAATTATGTGAAAACCGTGTATTTTCGATATCACGGAGAATATGTGAATGTATTATAGCTAAAGCAGGATGTAAAGACCGTTGCATTTTATTGATAGCTTTTTATACATGTCTCAGAACTTTTTTCCATTGGAGATATTTTCTTTTTTTTTTATTGAGTCTGTACTTCATTCATAAACTTCAGAATATAAGATATAAAGTTCTTGCTCACCATTTTCTATCTATGATTTTGATTTCTTTAAGAGGAAACCAACAGTTCCAGCATATATCAGTTTGCCAACGACACAGTCTACCGAGATGGTGTCAGCGATGATAACAATTCGTCTGTAGTTGTGTTCACTGACCATGATGGACAAAAATACATCGACAATCGAACATACACAGCCTCCTCGGTTGATAGTACACGACAGGCTTCAGGCGTCTTCGTTTTCTCGGATGGTCGAACCTACCAGGGTGATTGGATCAATGATAAAAGATCGGGTCGAGGTAACTACACTTGGCAAGACGGTACATTTTACGAAGGTGATTGGGTGAACGGGAAGAGGCACGGGTTAGGCACAGCTCTATATACCGATGGCAGCAATTACATCGGTGATTGGATTGATGACAAAAGATCGGGTTTGGGCATATTATCTTCTTTTGACGGTGATAAATACAGTGGCAATTGGGTCGATGACAAGAGAAATGGGTCAGGCACATTACAATATGCTGACGGTAATATATATACGGGTGGTTGGATGAATGACAGAAAAAATGATCGTGGCATAATGATCTGGTCGAATCGTGATAATTATGTTGGTAATTGGATTGACAGCAAGATGCATGGATTAGGTACAATGCAGTATGCGGATCACAGAATATATACTGGTGGTTGGTTGAATGGCAGAAAATCGGGTCCGGGTATCATGAATTGGTCCCATGGTGAAAGATGTCATGCTGATTGGATTGATGATAAAGCAGTTTGTGATGGTATGTTGTGTTTTGTGAACAGTCATATATTCCATCTTGAGGGTGTGGATGTAGCTAAAGCGCAATCCCTTTCATCTACCTGCACTCATCATATTTTAACCTTTTCACTTTAATAGTGAGATCTTTAATTTGACATCAATAGGCTGAATAGTTTTGAGTTACTGCACATCTCTATTACTAGAGAAATATCAATAATTATATCGACGACGTACTTCACATCCCTTCATCTTCTCTATTATCTATAATATTATCTTATTTTTATTCGTGATATTTCTCTACCGTCGCTGTTTGATCCATAAATCATTTTGATTTTGCCTAAATAAATTTTAAATCTGACTGAATTCTAGTTTTGACTACAACACGTCGAAACACTTATGTAAACTGATGTTCACCTTTAGAGCCTTTCCTTCGCTTCCAATATAATAAATGTAAAAAACAAGGACTTTCTAGTTCTTTATTTCCTAATATGTTCTTTCGAGCACAAAATTGAATGTATTAAGTGAGACTGAACAGCGAAAAATACACTGCTCGACGACTTATATTGGACGCTTGTTTGGTGCTTAACTCTGTTAAATATAATAGTAACGAGAGGAAAATTTACTATAGCATTTACACTACAGCACAAATATATACTTCATAGCCCAGATAATGTAAATGTGCCTCATGAGAAAACGCTTATTGAGAGAAGAAGACGCTCTAACGCAACAGATTTTCTACTTCTTTTCATTCTTCCTATCCTCGTACAAAATTCTTCTAACACACATCTCTACAGATTCACTTTTAATCGGCTAGTCTGTTCTCAGCTTCATTCCCTTCAAAATCACTGGTGCCGAAATCTATCTCAGTTTTCATTTTATGATTAAAAGAAATGATGATGGTTTCGTTTCTATTTCATCTTTTAGCCGTTTGTTTTCCACAATGTTCGAATGGTGGAAAATGCACTGGACCAAACTTTTGTACCGTAAGTCGGGGAATTCAGCTATGTTTGAGAGATAACTCATTCATTCCATGTTTGTTTAGTGTACTTCATCATGGACTGGATCTCGATGTGAAACACGTATGTATACATTCTTTGTTCACTTTGCTGTAAATAGGTGTGGGTGTGAACTAAGAGTATAGATAATCATATACACACCCACACCCACACTCAAAAATAGAACTTTCAGATAGTTTTTTCTTTTTATCTTCGATTAAAAACAAATTCTCTTCTTCTTCTTTTTATAAAAATATTTTGTCTTCATCCTTTTCTAGAACCGAAATTTAACAAATGGAAACAAAATGGCATTACTGTGGCAGGTGGTAATAGACAAGGAGAAGAATTAAATCAACTTAGTTTCCCCAAAGGAATCTTTATTGACAAAAACAAAAATGTTTTCATTGCTGATTCTATGAATCATCGTATTGTTGAATGGAAATATAATGCAAAACAAGGACAAATCGTTGCAGGTGGAAATGGCAGTGGAAATCGAATAGATCAACTGAGTTATCCATTTGATGTGATTGTTGATCAACAAAATCATTCGATCATCATTGCTGATTTTGTGAACAGACGAGTGATTCAATGGATGAATCAAAAGCAACAAATTCTTATTGATAATATTGACTGTAATGCCTTGGCAATGGATAAAAATGGATTTCTTTATGTTTCTGATCAAGAGAAGAATGAAGTTAGACGATGGAAAATGGGAGAATATAACAATGAAGGAATTGTAGTGGCGGGTGGAAATGGACAAGGAAATCAGCTTAATCAGTTCAATAAGCCTACTTGTATCTTTGTTGATGAAGATCAATCAGTTTATATATCAGATCACGACAATAGTCGTGTGATGAAATGGAGAAAAGATGCAAAAGAAGGAAAAATTGTGGCTGGAGGAAATGGTTACGGAAGAAATCTCAATCAATTGTCTTATCTTGCGGGAGTAATTGTTGATCATCTTGGGCAGATCTACGTGGCAGATCTGGGGAATGATCGAGTAATGCGTTGGTGTGAAGGAAAAGAAGAAGGTGAAATTGTTGTTGGTGGAAATGGGAGAGGAAATCAATCAAATCAATTTCATGCTCCTGCAGGTTTATCTTTTGATGACGAAGGAAATATTTATGTTGCTGAGATTTGGAATAATCGAATTCAAAAATTTGAAATAATTTTGTGAATGAAATTTTGATTTTGAAAAAAGAAAAGAAATTTTTTGTTGAATAAAAGAACGGAGAAAAGTCTTTTGCGATTTTTTTCTTGAAAATTTAACTAGATTAGATAATTTTGTTTAAAAAATTCCAACAAATAAATATTAAACTCTCTTCATCTTTTGTAGAATTTTGTGGAAGATAAGAGAAGAAAATGAAGAGAAAAGGAATCTTCTACGAAACCTGAAAATAAAAATCGAATTCGAATTCAAATTTGATTTTAAATTTCAGAAAGTTTTATGAACGAATTTTTTTCTTATTTGATTTCTTTTAATAAAACTTTAAAAACGATTTGTTATATTTTTCGTAGAAATTGAAACAAATATTTAATAATTGTTTTATCATATTTGACTCAATTCCTTCAAATTAAAGAATTCAGTATTTTGTTTGTTTTGATTTTGTTCTTTTTATTGAAATTTGATGAAAATAAAAAACGTTAAAAGGTGTTTTTATTACTTCTTAATTCATATTGATAATTCAAAATAGAATTTCGTAAAAAAAACATCTCATTAGAATAAATAATTTGAAATATTTTTATCAATTAGAAAAATGATTAAGTTCCATGATGAAATCAATTTCAAAATCTATTTTATAAATATTTTCAGATTCGCTTCTCAATAGTAAGTTTTTGAGAGTGTGGGTGTATTTTATTTCAAACATTCACACACCCATCAATATTGAAAATTCTCAGACACTTCGCTTCATGACATTTTCATTTAATTAGTTCATATAATTAATGGTAAGCTGAAGCAAACACTGCTGATAATGAAGATAATGTATAACGACATATATTTCAGGACAAGTTGTACCAATAATAAACAATGCTAGAATTTTTGTGGAAAAAGCACATCCAGCACCTAATCCAAAAATAATGCCACCCACACCCACCCACACCCTCACACACCCACTCTCACCACACCCACCCAATATAGTAATGGTCCTTTATGTGAGTGTGAGAACAATTGTTTCTAATTTTAAGCACGTTTTTTTTTATTGCTTAATGATAATTATAATTGTTTGTCTAAATGGAATAAATCAAGAATTTGAAAGTTTGTCGTACATACTGTTTTTGAATAAGCCTAAATCATTGAGGGTGTGGGTAAATGTCAATCTCCTACCTACACCCACACTCACCCACACCCTATCTAATAATCTCTATTGACAAGAGTTTTCATTTCATTCGAGTATTCTTTCTACTAAACTATTAAATCTTGACAATACAAATTGTGAAATAATAATTCTAAGACATACTATACTTATGATAAGAAGAAAAACTTGTTTGCATACAATATTTAACGTGCTCCTGTAGCATAAGCGGTAAATGCATCCGGCTGTTAACCGGAAGACAGGTGGTTCGAATCCACTCGGGAGCTTCATTCCTTTTTTTCTCTCATAATTCTATTTGATATTATGTTGAAAATAATTGGACTATTGCGAAAGCTTTCGTCATTTATAACCAAGAACACACCAAATACCTGTATGACTCATAATTTTTCTTTCTTTACTTCTGTACTGTACTCAAAATTTCGTAATTTAACGAACATAAAACATGTATGTTACTGTCGTTAGAAATGTTTATTGTACCATGTTGAGGGTGCAGGTGTTTTCGCACAGTACACCCACACCGCTCTGGAACGCATTACAGACGAATCGCTGCTGAAAATACTCGAATCGGCTGCTTACTTCACTTAAGTGAGTAGGAGTTCGAAAAAAAACAAGAAATACTTATTATTATCCAAATTTCTTATTCATTCGTGACAAAACGTCACTATTTAATGTATATAATGTTATGAACTATTCAGAACCAGGATTATCAAAGAAATATCATGACAGTTCAAAGTATTTGAGAAACAATCGCGAAAAAAAAATTTAGAGATTTTCTACAGTCAGTCACTCAATAAAAGAACAGATCAAAAACTCGATAGAAAAGTAGTTAACTATTTAAATTATTTAATAGCTATGTTAATGTTTAAATAGAGCTATACAGTTTAATTAAAAAGTATCTTTTTTGAGAAGCTATGCTTTTCATAGATTTGAAGCAACGAATCTAATAGATCTGGCAATGCAAAAAATTTCGCTCCAACATTTCTAATAACACCTATAATAGACTTGCACAATTAAGTTCCGGCTTTTTAACCAAAGCTGCGTCTTATAAAATATTTATAAAAGAAAGGAATCTATGAGGAGCTATGAACAAAAAAATTTTTACTTTATTTTTGCTTTGTGCGCATTTTAATATGTTTATGGATGAGCAACAAGTGAAAAAAAAACGTCACATTGTAAAATGATAAAATGTGGTTACAACAATGCGTCGATGGTTTATTCGTTCGATAACGCACATGCGTCGTAATAATGATTTTTCGTTACAATTTGGTAGTTTTACTATTCTCTCTCTTACTTCTGCTTCTTCTATTATACACAGTCCTCATTCATTCATTCATTCATTCATGATGCATTGATAGATAAAGGATAGAGATGATTATTTTATATTTTACTCTCAGGCTTTATAACGATGTAACTGACAAAGTAAGTTTTTGCACTCCGTTTCTTTTCTTTCATTCAATTTAACGACTGATCTTGTTGTTTAAAGTTCATTTCTCGTTTCATGCTCAAGCCTTCTTTCTCGTTAAAATTTTCGATTTGTTTCATCTTTAAATGTATATGATAAAAGACAACTCTTCGACAGTCATTTTTTGATTACTGTGTCAATAGGCTATATCCTTGCATTTATGGTTAGTAGACGACAATAGTCTATCGAATAGATGAAAATGGGGGAGTAAAGAGAAAAAGAGAGAAAGAGGAGATGTGGATATAATAAAAGGAGAAGTAGAAGAGTTAGAAGATAGCATAGTTTTGTTGTAATCATGATTGACGATCGATTCATTTTCTCTTGCTCATTCATTTATAGATTTTTAATCATCATTGACGATCAGAATGATGAAGGAGACAGTTCTACTGCTAGTACATTAACAACATCAAAGTCGTTGAGCAAAATATCTAAGAGAAAATCGACTGCTGTTACAACAACAACAACCAATGTCCCTGATGGAAATAGTATACATGGCGAGAACAACAGTGTGAATAGAAAAGGATCTTTTATGTTAAAAGTAAGCTATAAAGATTTCTCTTTTTAGCAAAAACTTACAGAGAAATCAATGCGAAATTTAATGAAACAAACGACACTTATCGAACAAGCTGCTGTTCATAATAATAATGAAAATACACCGAAATATGACGAAAAGTCAGCATCAAAACAAGAATGGAAATTTTGGCAAACACAACCTGTACCGACAATTGGTACAAAAATTGATACAATCAATATTGGACCTATTGAATCAAATAAATCAGTAGATGAAATACGACAAGAACCATATGAATTACCTAATGGTTTTTTCTGGGATGATATTGATATTCATGTTGACGAACAAGTATATTGAGAATCTTTGTTACGGTTTAATAAATGACATGCCATTTTTTTTCTAGTTACAGGAATTGTGTACGTTCTTAGACGAACACTATATTGAAGATGATGGTAATAATTTTCGATTGAAGTCTTCCATGCCATTTTTACGCTGGTAATTTATATACAATAAAGAAATTGTTTTTTTTTAAATGTATTCAGATCTTTTCAGGGCTTTATGTGTGCCAGATTGGCTTAAAAAATTCCATGTAGGAGTTCGTGTAACGAAAAGTAGTAAACTGGTTGGTTTTATCAGTGCTGTGCCAATTCGAATAAGAGTCTATGATAAGTAATCAAGATTAATTCGTCTCGTTTTTTTTTTATTCATTTTGTTAAAAATAATTAATAGGGAATTATCAATGGTAGATATAAACTTTTTATGTGTTCATAAAAAATTACGACTTAAACGCTTATCACCCGTACTTATTAAAGAGATAACACGTCGTGGGCATTTAGAAAAATATTTTCAAGCAGTATACACAGCCGCTCCTTTCCTTCCTGGTCTTGCCTGCAAAGCTAGGTATGAATTGTTTTCCATTATTTTTTCAAAAGATGAAAATACTTTCTATACCTCTTTGAATTCAGATATTGGCATCGATTGCTCAATGTCAAAAAATTGTTGGCCATTAAATTTGCCTTTTTAGGACGAAATATGACAATGCAACGAATGCAAAAACTCTATCGGTTACCTGAGGTCTGTAGAAAATATTTTTCATCTTTTCTTTCATGTACATGTTGAGAAATTAGAGTTCATTAATATTTTCTTCAAATAGACGACACAAGTGGCAGGCTTTCGTGAAATGCGCGATGCTGATATCCCTCAAGCTTCGAAAATACTCACTCAAGTATGTTGTTTTTCTCTTACGTTGTTATTTTTGCCCTGTGTCATTCTTGAATTAGTATCTGACAAAATTCGATCTGGCGCCGGTATTTTCCCTTGATGAATTTGAATATTTATGTAAAAATCGGTCAAGCATTGTCAGCGCATTTGTTGTTGAAGTGAGAAAAAACCTTCATCATTATCTTTTCACTATTTGACTGATTTTTTTCTCTCAATAGAATGATCAAGGCGAAATAACCGATTTTATATCGTACTATCATTTACCATCAACAATTATAAACCATCCAGAATACAAGACATTGAATGCATGCTACATGTATTATTATGCTGCCAGTCGAACACCATTGACTGATCTCGTCAATGATTGTCTTATACAAGCACATAATGTAAGGAGTAAAACGAACATTTTTTTCTCAAACTAATAAGGTTTTTTTTGAAGAGTAGTTTCGATGTATTCAATGCACTCGATATAATGAATAATAAGGAGTTTTTAAAAAAACTTAAATTTGGTGATGGTGATGGTAATCTACAATATTATGTGTACAATTGGAAATGCCCATTGATGCCGCCCGAAAACGTTTGTTGTATTTTTTTAATATTCATATATTGATTTATGTTTTTTTGTTTAGATTGCAGTGATACTTCAATAATAGAATCACATACCACCATAGGACATCTCTACTCACGTCAATGACTGTTCTTATTGCATTTTTTTCTTCTTCATCTCTCGTTGTTTTTTTTTAAATTTACTTTTCATATTTAAAAAGCCACAAATATAGGAAAATTGGAAATCAACAGAGGTACAAAATAAAGATTAACCACCAGAAATATACCTACAATAACAATAAGAATATTTTGTGAGGGTGGGAGCGGGTGGGTGTAGTTGAGAGTGTGTGGGTGGGGTGTATGTATCGATGAGAAATTCATTCGGTGAATATCTTTCGGAGAAATTTATTATTGGAAAAAAGTTTTCGGCAAAAGTGAAATTTGTTAAAATTCTAAGTATTTTGCTACAGATATATATTGACAAATATATTCTACTAAAAGACATTGCTGTTCTGAAATATCATTGAAAATATTTAAATCTACTCAACATTGGAATACTGCTTGGTATCATGCATCAGCATATTGTGCAATACAAATAACATTCAATCAATCTCATCTTGATCAAATAACAAAATTAATAACTGATTTTAATTTAAATTGATTATCACAATCAACATTACAAAAAAATAAAACAAATTAATATTAGAATAATCTACATTGAATTTTTGTACAATAAATAAAGACATTTTCTATCATTCACATTCATTTTTTTTTGAAGAACTCATTTATTAATTCTTTGTTTGTTTAGCAATAGTCACTGATAATAGCGTGAACCTTATCTCTACGATCTTATCTATAGGAATAAATCTTACATGAACAATACAAAAACATTTTATGTAATGATTTTGTCACAAAACTCAATTTTATTTTAATAATCGTACCTGCAGTCAGTTCATTAAAGTCATGAATAATCATTTAGATTTTGCTTCGTTAGGAAACCCAGCTAACTTTGGATATTATATTTGAATATGAGGACAAGGAATGAATTTAGCAGTCAGCATTAACATTCTAACTTAGTTTTTTCTCTTCTATCTCCATCTTGAAACAATTATTCGTTATGTATTTTCTTGTTTCTGTCGTTTCAGTGCATCATTTGAATCTATTGTTAAACTCGAAAAATTCCTATTCAAAATAATTCTATATTGATCTCTATCATTTTCACGAAAGTATTTTCTCATTTGACTATCTCTTTATAATAAAAAATTTTAACTGTAGGATAATTGAATCAAATTTTCTTCTCCATGTCTATCTTGAATAGTTTGTTTCTCAATAGGACTATATTTCCAATTAGCGATATTAATTATTTAATTATTTTCCATTGACAGTAAATCGATTTTTGTATTATTTGAATAATATTCATTAAAAGAATAAATTAGACAATGAAAATAAAGAAGATTTGATAGTGAACGTTGTTTTCAGTTAATCTCCATGCTAAAGCAATTAATTGAAATAGATTCAATGAATAAATCAGCGAACAATCAATTCAGATAAGAAATAATCGAAAACTATCTTGTTGGATGTAGGAACGAGTATAAGTAATTATCATAATATGCATTCACATCAACACCATCTTATGAATCATGTACAGAAATTTTGTATTTCGTAAGCAAGTTACTTACACGTATTTAATGATGCGCAATATTCGTGACCCCCTCTTCTGTTTCTATAAATGTTCCGCTGTTATTAACTATTAACGTTAATTTTTTATTCTTTCATTTATATTTTTTTGCCATATTAAAATGTCTTGTAACATCGCTTTTTCATTCCTTTGGGTCTCTCTCTCTCTACATATATGACGTTTGATTTGACTATTTGTGTTAATTTTTTGTTTGTTTCGATTTCTTGTTCTCTTACTCTATTAAATACTGCTTTACTTTTTTTAATGATTCGCGAATATATATGTAATCGTCTCATTATCAATATCTTAAAATGTGTTTTATTTAGATGTCATTTTTTAAAAAGAAATCAGCAACTAATGAAGATATTGCAAGTGGTGGTGGTGATTCTTCAATGTTTGGTTTAACACGTGATCAAACAAAAGAATTGATGGAATTACGTGGAGAAGAATCAATTGAAAAATTAAATATTAGAAAAACTAAAAGTTGATAAAACTAAAGAACTTGATTCGAATAATCAACAAGATCTTCAACAACGTCATATAGCTTATGGAAAAAATCACATACCACGAAAACCAATATCATATTTACCATTTACTAGGTATATAAATCATCGAAAGATAAAAGCAAAAGAGTAAAGATGAATGTTACAATGATTTTTTCTTCATGAATCCCTTTGTTAAACGAATACGACAACATTCTCGGGAAAAGTCTTCAATGTTTTACGAATGTATCAATTATTAATATCATAGTTGTAATTATATTTAGTGAATGGAAAACAGAACATGAGTTTCGTCATCCATTGTTGTTAGGTGATGTTTTATCAGCTGATGATTTAATTGTTGAAGTAAATGATCTTGCAGTTGATGCATCTTCTATAACAAATTTAACATTTTCTGTATAGGAGAAACAAATTCAATAAAAATAAAGATGTTATACTTTTTTCAGGTACACAAATTATGGAAGGTAGTGGTCGAATGGTTGTTACTCGTGTTGGTCTTAATACCGAAGCAGGAATCATCATCTGATTAAAAATAACTCATTAAAAAACCCATATTATCGACTTAATCCTATTCATTATAATATTTTTTATTTCATTTTCTATATGTTCAATAAAATAAAAATATATAATGAAAATACTGGAATTTCTGATGATAAAGGATACAAGTCTAAATATTATTAACTGGATAGATCGAAAGGCCTTGCGTCATTGAAATATATTTCTGTGAAATTCATTTAAGTTGTATTTTTCTTCTCTCCTCATACAAGTCTTTATGATATTTCTTTTTTTCTTAATTTATTTTCAAACATTATTCGTGTTGACTTGTCTTATTAAAAAAAATGTATATATCGTGTCGAAGTTATTTTATATCAACTAAACATCAAATAATCATAGTTCGTTTTTTTTAAACAAAAAAAAACAGTGATACTTACAAATGAGACATTAATTTCTATGAAAATTGTGTTTGATTATAGATTTATTTAGTCAATTCTAAGTTTGTAGGGTCATAGATAGATCTTTATACGTATCAAAGTCGAACTTACATTTAATGTACCTAAGTTTTTTATATTTTTCATGTTGAAATGTGACTGATTTACCAAGTTTTTTTTAAACATTGATTCTGTCTTTGTTTTGACTATTATAATATATTTAATATTCTAGAAATTTCTTCATTACCCTACAAACTTAGGATTGACTGAATAAATCTATAGTCATATATCATTTTAATAAAAATTGTGGTAAATTATTTTTATATCCACGTGTTTGTACATCATAGGTTACTAAAGAGCGTTGTCGTTCTTCTTACATGCACAGTCATGCTTCGTTAGTTTTTCTTTTTTTTCTCTTGTCGTATTGATATACAATACATTTAATATAAAAAAACGTTATCTTATTACAGTATCATACCGTCTGATGTATAAAATGAAAGAAATACATTAAAATTTCGAGTATCGTGGTCAATTATGAGTAACATATCACATCCATGGCGAATTTGCCTATTTAATTTAAATGTCGTAAGTAAAAGATTTATTTATATTTAAGCTACATTATTAGAATTCATTTTTTCAAAACTGAGAAAAATTAACTAAGATTTTACAATATATTATTAACACCTATGAATATCATCTCCACTCTTCTATAAATCATATTCGACAGCGAACCACATAAGATAACGCAAAATATTTTAGTTGTTTGTTTTTTAAATCAATTCAATAGCTGTATTTGCAACAAGATTGAAAAAGCTTATTTTCTAATATTTCTTGGTTTCGTGGAGAAATAAGAATGTAAAACGAAAAAAAGTTGATCGAAAGTACTTAGGAGACAAACCATTCCGATGTTATTGTCTGTAATTGTTGTATGAATAGAATAAAAAAACTGAACTATTTTGAAAGTAAGAAAGATAGTGTTGAGAGTGTGAGTGAAGGCATATTAGGCTTATTGCACTACAACACTCACTGACTCATCCACAGTCATCTATAAGCTTAAGATTCTTACAGTACAAGATAAAACTTTTCTGTCAGATAGACATTGATTGTTCTTGTCACGTTCTGTCTATATTATGGAGAAGTTATATCGAATAGTGATCGTATTATTTCCAATATTAATGATTTTCCTTACCTTATTTTTACGTCACGAACTATCAAACGCCATAAAATCACAATATACACGGCTTCTACATTCTAACATTAACTTTGCTATAGATCGTGACGAACACGAAAAACAAAGATGTCACTGGTCTTTTGTCAATTACACACCTAACAGTTGGGAAAACATGTGATATAATAACATTGAAACCTTTCAAAATAATGTTTGCGAAAGACTATCCGACACTGAAAATCTGAATAAAACAATCTCAATAATGCAGCTGCTAAGTGTGTTGCAAAAATCAGGCAGATATAATACTAGCGTAACACAACCACAAATCGATGATATTCTCTCAACAATGTATTATCGATATGAATGTATGAATATTGATACGTTTGTGACATCCGAAATAGTTGAAGTATCGCATTCGATAGAACCTTTAATAGGCTTATCACGAGATCCCTTTAGCATTTGTCCTCATTTGAATACATCCGTAGTGCCTCCATCACTTTACGATGGGGCAGACTTACAATCAAAACGATTTATTCTATTGTCAGTTTCAGCGCCATTTTACACACATACAGTGCTACAAGGTTCTAGACTTTTAAATGAAATATCTATTATTTCTGATAATAATAATAAAAACGTGTTGCCATGGATGTATCAACGTCTAGCACATACTGATATTGAAATGGAAATTAACATCGGAAATCGAAAAATTATTCTTTTCGATTTGGGAAGCTCTTGTTTTGGTGGTTGGGAGAAAGATGATACAGCTGCTGCAGGAAAGTGGTTCTACGAGTATTATAAACGTTTCAATGTTAAATTTGATCGAATTATTGCTTTTGAATTTTCTTTATTGAATCAGCATGATGCATGGGAACAATTACCCAGTGACGTTTTCCCTATATATACTCTTATCAATGTTGGAGTCACTGAAAGTGGAAAGTTTAATCCTTGGGTAATGCTACAAACAATTGCTCAAACATCTGATCATGTTGTTGTCAAATTAGATATCGATACATCTGCCTTAGAAAATACGTTGATAAAACAAATATTAACTGATCCAAGCATTCATATTCTAATCGACGAACTTTTATTTGAGCATCACGTCACAGTTAATGAAATGATACCTTACTGGGGAGATATGTGGGATTCATTGAATGATTCATTGAAGGATTCATATATATTATTTAAAAAGTTACGACAACTCGGAATAAGAGCTCATTCATGGCCGTGAGTAAGTGTGTGTCTTGAAATATTACGCGAAACCATTACTTTCAATCACTAAATCTTTCTATTTTTCATGTATCAGAATTATATCACATTACATCAAATAAAAAAGTTCATTAGTCTAACGATATAGAATATCTATATCTATAAAAACAGATACGCGAGTAATCATATGGGTGAGTTTGGGTGTAGTTGTGGATTGATATCAGGTTCACTCAACATCGATATCCACTATCTCACTCACACCCACACCCATCCGAATCTTCATTATTATTATCATCAGCGCGTCGCTTCATGAATCGTTGCATCATTCGTTGATGCCAATTATTTTTATCGAAATCTTGATAACTATATGCAATGGCATCATTCACATTACTGCGACGAAGAATCCAAATTAATCGGTAACGAAAAATTTCACATATAACGACAAGTTCATAAAATAATCTCGTGAGATTTTCGGTTGTCTGCTTCATCAATGTTGGAATCTCACCAACGACAACCCTGTACAGAAAGAAATATTATCAATCGTTCAAAAATTAGCTACGAGTTGTGTCTTACCAATAAGGAGATTTGTTACGAATACTGTTATAATGAGAAGAAACAGAATGTAAATCAAAAATGCCACCTTATAATAGGCTTTCGTGTCTGCATCAAACATACGTTCATCAAAGCCTAATTCTCCAGATATCATCAGTGCTAAATAGACAATTAGAAATCAATGTAAGTTGATGAAGACTATTTCAACGTACGTGTTTTGATGTAAGGGTAACTTTTATTTTGGAATGGTTCAAAGTTTTGAAAAATCATATAAAATGTGGATGCAAATCCACTAATAAGGATGAGAAGTATAATGGAAAATCTCATAAATTTCTTGATAATTACAAAAAGCATTGTAACGTACAGGCCTAACATTGGTATAAACTGAATGTAGACGAGTAAAGTTAACCAACTAAGAAGTAAAGCAAATACTCCAAATTCCCATTGAAGTGGACAGCGTAAAGTGAGATTCATCTGATAGTTTCGATCATGCACGAAGATAAAACTCATTAAAACTGCAAGAGTTTCTAACCAATATCTTAATGTTTTGAAGAAATCAATTTGTACAATTTCAACAATAGTAAACATATTTTTGAAGACAAGTGACCAAATAACGATGTACATTACATACTTCAAAAAATAGTCCATCGTTGTTTTCATACCGCCATGAGTAGATGATGTTAGAAGTACTTGCGAAACATTATAACACAAAGAATCTTCGAAATCAATATTTGTAAGATTATAATAAGTTGCTGGATGATGCGTACGTAGTACAATTGTTGTAAATAATCCGAGATAAGTAATATATAATGAGAGAATCATAATATACAGAAAAATACCGAATTTTTGAAATTTTAACTTCACAAGATAATTACTGAGTGGATGTGACATAAGATCATGGGCTTCATACTGAGCCATTAAAAATAATGGATGTTTCATAACGAGATCCACCGTATTGGAAGTATACAATGTACCATGTTTTTCATCTTCTGATGAATCTGAATAGTAATTATTATTTCAAACATTGATAAAAAGATAAAAATGATTTACCTCTATTCCACTTGTTAACAGTGAATTGATCATCGAGAAATTCATATACAAAAATGTTTTTATGTACAGCCATTCCTTTCGTATGCACTATCATTGAACATTTATCCAGCACGAGTAAAGCCATTGAAGGCATTTTACGAATCAATTTTCGCATCGGTGTATCTACTTCACAATGGCGAGGAAGAAGAGAACAGTAGGCATGTTTTCTTTCTTGAATTTGTGAATTACGCATTAAATCGAAACAATTGTCATTTTCAATCAAATATCGAACAACTTCTTCGTTGTTTGCCTCAACTGCTACTTCGAGACAATTGTGACCATCAACATTCGTTGCAAATAGATCACAATCGAATTCAATCAACTGTTTAACAAGTTTGCTCGATCCATATTCACATGCAATATGTAATGGTGTCTCTCGTCGAATAGTTAAAGCATTGATATTGATTATACCACGTGTAATGAGACTGGTAATACATTGAGGTCGTTCTTTGTTGTCTTCATCATTTTGACTACATCGTGTTACATGATGTAATGGTGTCCATTCATTTATGTCGGAAACATATGAATCAGCTCGATGATCAAGAAGTATATCGACAATACCAACATGACCTATATAACAAATTAGAGTTGAAGAAAAACGTCATTTACTTACCTTTTGCAGCAGCCATATGCAAACTTGTACGTTGTTGGTCATCACACATGTTAATCACCGATGCATTCGAATATCTGAGCATTTCATTGATGACATCCAACTGTCCAGCTTGAGTAGCCACATGTAGAGGTGTTAGTTTTTCTTTATTCTTTTTTGTCAACAATACATGAGCATGACGAATTGTTGATTCTGGCTGCATTCGCTTATCAACATTATGGTTGCTCATTTTAAAAAACTTTGGTGAATATGAAGACGAATTATGACCGGTAATATAGCCTAATAGTACTTGAGTCATGTATATATTACCAACTTGAGCACAAGTATGTAGAGGTGTATTACCCAACACATCGGCAGTAATTGCTAATGTATTGGACATGAAACGAGAATTAAATAGTGCTTTAGTGATCTCTTTATGATAAACTTTTGTACAAACATGTAATACTGTACAAAATGAGACATCACTCGCTAAATCAAATGCTTCTTGTGTAAAATATTTGTTGTTCAGAAGCTCATTGACACATTTGAGTTGGCGATACTGAACAGCAACCATTAATGGACTCAAACCTGTCTGTTTGTCGCAGTGCACGATACTATGCGGATTGATCAGATGAGAAATTGTTTTAAGACCATGCAATTGGCGGCAAGCAAAAGAGAGTCTGTTGTGATGGTAATTGATTGCTTCGTCGTATTGCTGTTTCAGCATGGACAAGACTTTATTTTCTGGTCTGAGGTCAAAAAAATGTTTAATAACATCGGGATCATTATACTCGATCATAATGTCAATAGGCTTCTTCTTATCATGTGTTTCACGATTAAATAATTGTGAATAATTCAAGAACAAATCAATCACATTATTGTTGTCGAGGCATCGACAAGCATAATGAAGCGGAATGGCACCATAAATATCGGGAATCTAAAAGAAAACATTTAAAATAGAAAGCGATCTTGATAAGAAAATTTACATCAAGATTGGCGCCATATTCTATCAGATACTTGGCATTTCTTATACAGTTGTAAATGACAACAAAATGTAACCGTGTTCTTCCATGGCTGTCTTGAATATTTATCATGATTTTCGGATAATTTAGTAAATATTCCATAATTGAAGACTAATTTAACAACAATAAGAAAATTTTAAAATAAACGTTGTAGTCATCATTACTTACAGGATGTTCAGGATGCTTGGAATTCATCGAGCGAGCTGCGATATGAAGTACTGTTTGACCGTCCAAACTGACCAAATTGATATCTTGAAGAAAATGAAATGAAATTAAGAATACTAACATTATTATCGTGTGAAACTAGAGAAAAGCGGAACCTGGATTAACTATCAAAAATATCCGTGAAGAAAAATAACGACACCCACACCCTCAATAGAAAGAAAGAATCTTACTGCAGCCGAAGTCATTGATTAAACATCTACAGAAAGCAACATTATTGAAAAGAGCACCGTAGTGTAATATCGTAAAATGATCTGGTACGTTAAGTGTTTCTAACATCTTCGTAATTTGTGATTTGTTGTAGGAATGATGTTTTTCTATAAAATTAATGAGACACTTTATCCCATTTTCACTATAGCCACGAGATGCTTCCAATTGTTGTATAATTTCGTCGAGATCTTCTCTACAATAGTCACTGGCCACTCCACTTTTTCTCAGTCTGTCGATGAACTCTTTCCTATTGTAAGTAGTTTTGTGAAGATCGTTGAACATATCGATAATTTGAGATGAAACATGTGGAACTGGATTACATGCGACCTAAATATTGATAGATGCATGCAGAAAATTCTACAAGAATGATAGCTTACTTCTTTGAGCACAGTAACAAAATTATGGTGAGTTGTTTTCTTCATTTGTTCTTCAAGCTCGAGTACTTGTCCGACGAACTCAGTCATTGGCAGAATGGTACTATCACCTTTTGATGCTTTGACACCCAAGTGCATTCCTGTTGGTAGTGAATCTAGTTTGTTATAGAAAATAAAACTCTTTCATTTATCCAGACTTAATAAACGACATATTTCAAACGTTGAATAAAAGAATGATTAGTTTTTATTTCTTTTTCGTGATCTTGCTACCGCCTACATAAGATACGAGTGAGGAAGTCTCAAGTTCGATAATAAAATTGAACACTTTTTCTGATCATATATATACAGCCTACTATGATCTTTCGAATTTATGCGAGATACTAAAGTTGAAAAGAAGTATGTTCTCCGATTGACTTCTAGTAAGATTTACGGATTTTGCGCAAGCTCTCTTACACGAGTAAAAATAATTCTTTGTAGATACATAATGGCATATGCTAAGGGTATTTATTTGGTAAGATCATCTTTCAAATCAATATAGATTGATGATAAGAAAGACGCATTAGAATTGCAAATGAGCATTTATATTCGTTACAGCCACATAATACGTTTTAGTTATCAATATTTTGTGGATTTCGATTTCATTATAAGCCAACTCTTCATCCCTGCTGATCCGATTTCATAAACTTTTTATTTCATGAATCACATAATTTACTTGAGATTTGTCCAAAGAATGTGAGGGCGTGGGTGAATAATTAAAGAACAAGCACAACCATACACATGTAGCCGAATAATTAGAAATAATGCAAAAAAGAGTAATTATTTTCCATTATGTCAAGAAAAACTATTTTTGACAGCTTTAATTCATTATTTAGAACAATAAAAAAATATCTCTTCATTCTTTTGGTTTTAATGAACTCAAATGGTATCGTAAGTGAGTGGGAGTATTCTTTTCATTCCACACCTACACTCACATCAATCAATTTTAGATTGATAATTGAAAAGAAATATCTGGAGGAGAAAAGTTTCTATCCTATTCAAACTTCTGAACAAATGTATAATGCTTTATTAGCAGGGATTATTGATGTTAGGTTTGTAGATACAAGCGAATGTGAATGTGAGCGTGACTATTCTAGCGATCCACATCCACAAAAACTATTTGCAAATACAAGAATAACCAGATGAAACGATTAGAATGAGAGCAAGATACTAAAAGATACAACTGGGTGATGTATGCGAATGAGTATTGAATACATAATGATCCAGACAATATCGAGAGTTTGTATGTGGGTGTGTATTGATTCAAAAAAAAAATAATTTCTATGCATACACAACCTAAATGATGAAGTATTTTCTCGAAATTGTCTTCTTTTTTCAGCGTTGATGCTCGATTCTCATGAATTAATAAATAATTATCATCAAATATCAAAGAAAAAACGTTACGGCATAAGGCATTTGTTAAGACAGACATCATATCTGATATTTTATTTCTCAAAAAAACTTGTTTTTTCCTCCCGTTTTATTTAGCATATATGAAAACATTGTTAGTTCCTTTTAACTACTAATATCGTTAAAAAAATAAAACGCAAAAAAATGAACAGGTGGATAAAAAAAGGTTTATTAGACATTATTAATACACGACATATGTTCACTTTGTTTTAGCTTGAGAAAACTATAAAAAATCATTTTCTCCGAACTAAAATAAAAGAAATATACATTTGCAGAAAGCCAGTTGTCTCAAATACTTTACTTGATCAAAATCTTTGAATTGTTAGTTATGAATACAGAAGAAAATCAGGAATTAAATTCTGAAATATTAAGAAGGTATGTACTTCTTTGACTTTTCGTGTAAGATAAAAATAAAGTTTTACTGCTTTTACAAAACAGATTTCTTGGAAAGGAACGGTTAGTGTGGCTTATTGTTGGCATCGTAGCTATTGTAACAGTTGCAATAGTTGTTATTTCAACAACTCTTATTTTGACAAAAAAGAAAATTACAACAATAGAAATCAAATCAACAACAATATCAACAACAAGATCGACAGCAACATCAACAGCTACATCAACAACATCATCAACAACAATATCAACAGCAATATCAGCAAAAACATCAACAACAATATCGACAGCAACATCAACAGCTACATCAACAACAATATCAACAATAATAACAACAAAAACATCGACAGTATCATCAACAGCTACATCAACAACAATATCAACAACAATATCAACAGCAATATCAACAAAAACATCAACAACAATATCAACTACAACATCAGTACATCGCCCTTTTTACAAAAGTGAGTAACGACTATTTATAAGGCAGGGTGTGAGTGTGAATATTCTTTTCGTTTCACACACATAGTCTCACCCGTAGCTATACCCGTATTTACACATCCATTCACCCACACCCGAAACTATACCCACCCAGCTCATTTTCACCCACACTCACACCCAATTATTCACACGTAGATGTGCTTATGACTTTGCATCTTTGACTTGCCACAAACCCACAGACACATATACAAACTATTTTTTTCATATGACCCCCTCCCCCCTTCAGTCGACGGAATAATTATTAAATAGATGTTGCTTTTTTCGTACTATAGGACTGAAAAGATTAAATATGATTTATATACATTTCTTACTTAACCTTATTTTTTTGTCTGTTGTGTATAAGATTCAAGAGAGAAAAAGTGATCTATGATTTTGTGATTTTAGCTATTCTAAATTAGTTTTTCTCCCTTGATCATATTTCTAGAGTTTATTCACAGAAACTTTAGTTTTAAATCATATCGGATATGCTAATATCATAAAGTACGTTTCACTAAAAACAAAAGAACTCATATTTCAGTTTGTACTAAATCATTTTGCTGAATGAAATGATTGAAATTCGAAATTTCTTTTAACCAAGTCAGCAATTCTGAATCGCCATGTTAGTTATCAAAGAGATTTCTCATCCAAAGAAAATAGTTTCAACCACTAATCTATGTCTATCAATAGTCAGTGGTGTACCGAGATTATTTAAATATATTTGTAATTTCTTTTAGATTGGTTTCGAACAAGTAGTATGAAAGATCCACGAATAGTTCATACAGCAACTGTATTAAAGAACGGAAAAGTTTTAGTTGCTGGTGGTTTTTTTGAAATTACTGACGATGGTATGAGCAGTGCAGAATTATACGATTTATCAACAGCAACATGGACACGTATCAAACCTATGAATAATGGGCGATGTCGGCACTCAGCAACTCTATTACCTGATGGAAAAGTGTTAGTTGCCGGTGGATTGACTGATTTTAAAACACCTATGAATACTGCAGAATTATATGATCCACCACATGAAATATGGATCAAAACTGGTAGTATGAATATTGACAGGCACCAGCATACCGCATCTATACTACAAGATGGAATGGTATTAGTTGCTGGTGGATTAAATAGCAGTGGGTAATTTCATTGAGATGTCATCATAGATTAAAAAATGTTTCTCTTTTCGATTTTGTTGTTTCAACTAAACTAGGGATGTACCGAGCCCGAGCGCAAGAGGCTCAGACTCAGTCAGGCTCGGGGCTAGGGTGTCAGAATTGATGTGGGTGTGGGTGAATGCAGGTACTATCCTTTGCACTCTCACTGACACCCACACCCACACCCACACCCTCAAATCCCCTTTAGGATTTTTACGATCTCAATATACTTAACTAAATGAGATATGAATGAATGAAAACGGGAGGTATCACCTCAGAAGGTTCCCTCGTAAGCGACAACTTAAAATCAAAAAGAAATTCTTTTCACATAATCTTTCCAAACTTAATAGGTTTTGTATTTTCAGTATTGCAGTTAATAGTGCTGAGTTATATAATCCATCGACTGGAAAATGGACACCAATTGATAATATGAAACAGGCACGAAGATTACACCATGCATCTACATTAAAAAACGGAAAAATATTAGTAACTGGTGGGATTATCAATAAAAATATATTAGATGTTGCTGAATTATACGATCCATTGACAAAATCATGGACAATTACTGGAACTATGCATTATGCACGACTCGAGCACACAGCATCCGTCTTAGCCAATGGAAAGGTATTAGTTGCTGGTGGACAGTCAAATGATCCTCATAATCAGATATTACGTAGTGCGGAGTTGTATGATTTAGAAACAGGAAATTGGACAATTCTTTAAATATTGGAAGAACGACTCATGCAGCATCTGTTTTAGACAATGGAAGTGTATTAGTATCTGGTGGAATGGTAGGAGTATCCAAATATGATAATAGTTCAGAAGTCTATGATCCATTAACAGAGAAATGGTATATAAGCGGTGATATGAACTGCGTGAGGCATCGACATCTATTATCTATTTTATCAAATGGAACAGTATTAGTTACTGGTGCAGCAGCATTAATTACTGGTATATCAGATAATAGATATAAATGCCCTGCAGAACTATATTAAATGCTTGGAAACCGGCGACAAATATATATATATATACGCCCAGTTTCAAATTAATTCATAGTTGACTTTCGCGTATCTTTTATGATGTTGTTGTGATCTGTGCTTGCACACAAACTGTTAATTTGCTACACTGCTATTCGTATTATGAACTCATTACTCATTTCTTTTTGCATTTGTATCCATCACGCTTAATCTCGTTTTTTACATCATCTTTCACTAATGATTTATTTCGCACTTACCTTCGCATACATTCTCGTTTCGTCGTTCTTGCGCATTTATATATACACGGTGTTACATAATCATTATATATCCTCTCTCTTTTACAGCCTAATAAATAAATAACCTTATTTAACATTTTATACCAGATTAAAGTCCATGAAAAACTGTATCTATGATTAGAATTAGAACAAGCATTGTCTAAAAGATTCTTAAAATACTTTACATTACATATGAAAATGTCATAGGTTATAGAACCTATCCTATTAGGGTGTGGGTGTGGGTTTGGATACTATGTAAATGGGTAATATCCATACCTACAACCACATCCACACACACCCACACCCTCAAGATTTGGGGATAGGACATATTCAAGTCAGAATGTAGCTTGTGAAATTCTGTGGGTGTTTGTCAAGAGTATCTGAAGTGGTTAGTCGGGCTGTAAGAGAGATTTTGGGTGTTTGTGCTAGAGGGGGTATTTTTTTCACATTTGTTGGCGGTTCATTTTTTTTATAACATAGGCAAAGTGGGTGTTTGCGAACTTACCTCGTTGAGTTGTGGGTGTTTGTCAATATGACTTATATGCGGCTTTACAAAGTTGGGTGTTTGTGCTGTTTGCATAAATTAGTAATACCCCTAATGTTCGATTTAAACTGCTAGCTAAGTACGAAAACACCAACACCAAAGCTTTTAAATAGCCTTTTAGCTTTCTTTAAATAGTGCAATATTTAATTAAAAAGCATCTCTTTTGAGAAGCTACGGTCCTGAATGCGTATGATTTTCTCTTTAGTCGACTTTGGAATAGATACTTCGCCTTGATACGTGATAAAATGAATTCTATGATTGACAGTTTTATCTATATGAACAAATAATGATTGTTCTTCTCAAGCAAAGTTTGATTTAATCACGGCAAAAAATTAATAAAATTGAGTATTTATTTGTCTACATATTCTGATCATGGAACATCTGTTAGATGATTTAAATCCATATCGTTATCATTTTTCATGACATTTAATCTTTTATTTCATTCTAAGGATATGTGCATTATCTACACATGCTTTTTTGTTTCATTTAAGAGTGACTATATCTTATTCATCTCTTGTCATACTACAAAAAGCATTTTGGACGTGAATCAGCATGTGTTATACAGATTTGTGTAAATTTTAGTATTATCACCATACTATATCTATATATAAGGCTTTTTTCAAGAAGATTGGAAAGAAATAAGTCGTATATATGGCAAATAACAATACTGTTTCAAATAATATTACTACTGAAGACTACTCCACATCTATTTCACCAGTATGGACAGTCCCAATAGATTCTACTTCAGCTTCGGATAAATCTGTGTTACCATTTAACACAAATCTAGAACTGCAAACTTACGATACATTTATCAGTCAATCTGCATCTGACATCGATGATCTCCCACCAAACTATTTTGATGTATCAATTGTGCCTAATGGAGCTGTTTTATTTCATAATGATGTTACTCCATATACAGAAGCATCCAAAGCAGAAATAGAACGTAATCGAAAAGGTGTACTTTCATTTGATCAACTTATTGATAAAAATCCTGATCAATTATGGCTTTATTTCATGACTTATCTCAATGAGAAACCGAAATTAGATGTCAATATTCATGGTTATTATATAGAGGTATTTCTACTTTCAACAAATGCGTCAGAATAAATATTTTGCTTAATCGAGATAACTTTCTTTATAACTTCTGTCATGTGTGTCTTTTCTGTTTGTAGTATTATACAGAGAGGGAAAGTTATCAAGACTCTAGAGGTAACCGGCAAACTCGTACTGAAAGAAAGTCTCGTAATGTAACTGAGTTCAATATTTCCATTGATTTATCACCTTACATTTGTGAACATTGGTGGCGTGTTGCTGTTATTCCATCGGCAAAGGCACAAATGGCTGGTGAAGCCGTTACATTGAGGGATGCTCTTGAACAATATACACTTTCGAATAAGAAAATCAAAGAAATAGTGTTGCAAAAGCAGCTACATGGCTGGAATCAAGAAGAATTGAAAAATAAACTTTTTGCATTAGTTCGTTCAACTGGTTATCAGAATAATATTTCTGTCGTAAGTATAACAGTAATACTAACCGTTTGAGATTCAAATTACTAGGATAATACAGAGAATTTTCCAAGGGATTACTTACTAATTTAGATAAGTTTTGTTACTATGGAACTGAAAGGGTTAAATCGTAATGAAACTTATTTTTCATTTATTTTCTAGACTTATCATGCATTGAATTATCAAATTGTCGCTCGTTCATCTTCAAAACTTAGTCGTTTTGCTAATTCAACTGTGGCTCGTGTCTTGTGTTGTATTTCCTGCTTATGTCTTATTTTTGGCCCTATTTATTATTGCTTACGTAGCATAGGTTCAACACGAGATAATATTATCGCCGAATATATGACTATGAAACCAGTTGATACTTTTCTTCGACTTAATGCTGAAATGATTATTGATGCAGTGATTCAGCGTTCACATAAATATTATATAGCACGTTTTGCATAACTATGGTATCATTGTCTTTATTATTTTGATGATTTGAGTGAAAAAAAATGTTTTCAAAAAAAGTTATATTTAAAAAGATAAATAAAGAAATCTATTTCCTATGTAATTCGTTTGACTTTATCCAAGTTTTTCTGAAAATAAATGGTATAATTCATACTAATCAAGGTAAAATAAAGAAAGATCAGATATTGTGTAATAAACAATGGCTTATGTTGAGAATATAGGGTGTGGGTGTAAATAAGAATAGTGCTAGCAATAACCAGATACAGACCCATCCACATCCTCAAGATGGTTTGAAATAGTGCACTTAAAATCAGACAGCAATAAAAAAATTTCAAGACGGAAGAATTATCTTTATGCATCGATTAAACGTAAACAAAAATCTATGAAGTAGATATTATACTATTTGTATGATCAATTAGGAGTAAAAATGGAATAAATTCAAGAATTCCTTCAGGATAATCTTTACCTTGTTGATTTTTAATACAAATATCTTCGTTATCTAATGCTTCCATTGGAGTTTTTGTTCGACTTAAAATTTGTTTCCAAATATTTTCTGTTTTAATTTCAATAATTAAATTAGGTAACATCTTATCATTCCGATAATCTTGCATATCAACAATTTTTGATTGAAGATTTAAAAACCTTTTCAATCGTTTGTTCTTCCGATGATTTTATTTGAATTAATTCTAAAGCCCATTGTTATTTTTCTTCTTTCAAAATCAATTGTGCTTTTTCAAAAACTTGTTTTGTTCTATCACCAAGTTGAATTAAGTTTTCGGCGAATCCAAATTTAGAGTCGATGTTTTCCCACTAAACCAATCTAAATACTGCATGTATACTCCTATAAATACATAAAATTCTTGTAAATATGGATTTTGTTTAAGTCTGGGTGGTAATTGAATTAGTTTATTACCAATAATTTCATCTGGTGTTAATCCTTTATTAATAAATCGAATTGTTTGATAAATTTCATTTTTTCCAACTATTGATTTTGTATATAATGGAATTAAATATTCAACATGAAAACTTCTCATCAAATCTAATGAAGATATCCATTGTAAAGGATCTCGTGTTGTTGTATCACGTATTGCACAAATATTATCAGCAGCCAAAAGAACATTATAACAATATGATCATCTGTTTCACCTGATGCATAATATAAAACATATTTTGATTATAATTTAAAAATGAATCAATTCAACAATTAATATGACCTGTTTGTTTATTTAAATATGTTCCAAATTGTCTTGCTGCTCGTTGAAATGTGATTGGTTGAACTAAATTCATTGTTTTATCAAGAATTTTAAATGTTTTTGAATGTATTTTCATTTGCAAAAACTTCAGTACTTTCACGTGATTCTAATGTATCAATTATAATATTTCCTTCAATTAATATTGAACTAGCTAAACCGTATCCAATTGCACAATGAATACCAGGTAAAACAGAATTCGTTTTGTTTTATAAAATGGAAATAAAGATAAACGTTTTTTTTGTTCTATATTTATGAAAGAATGCAAAGTTCGTAAATAGTCTTATCTTTTTTTATCATTTAAAAAGAAATGAAGACATGATTGAAGTTTAATATCAAATCGATTTTAATAAGTTTTTCAACGAGCAGATGCCTTAGTTTCAATTGAAAAACGAACGAAGTAAAGTTGTATAGAGTAAAAAATCAATCGAGCTGTACCGCATCTTGGCTAAACTTAAAATATTTTGATGATTTTAAAGATATTCAGTCATATAATGATGTTATTGTGAACCAGCGAACAAGTTAAAACGCCCGTTTTTTTACGATCATGACTGATTGAGTATTTTATTTGTTTTATTCATAATGACTGATATTTCGCGTGTGTTTTCATTAAATAACAGCAAGAAAAAGGGCGTTGGCCATTATACTCTCACTCACAATCATAATAATACAAAGAACGACGAAAAGCATGAGCTTACATTTTTCCTACTCATATACAAGACGGATACCTACAAAATAGAAACGCATGACTGAGCACATTATATGTATAACAACGATTATTAAGTAACATATTTTCATAAAGAAAAAAACATCATTTGATTTAACATCATGAGTTATACTGGATGGAATTCTACAAATACTTTTGTCAACAACACAAATGAATATCTTTCAAGAAATAATGATAATCCTCATGAAGGTTTGTGTTAATCCATTTTTAGTTGATTAGTAAATTTTTCAAAATTTTTTAGGTTATGTGAAAAGATGGATTGAAATAGGTCTTCAAAGATGGGCTGACTCTGCTGAACGTTATGTCTATGAAAGAACGAATCCACCGTATATCTATAATTATAATGAAGGTTATCGTTCTTGGCGATACAAATAATAGAAGAAAAAAGACACGTTTATTTTTACTTCTAAAATAAAGACAAAATCTACTTATTGATAAATTCTATAAAAAGAAACTTAAGAATGATTATCATTTACTTTCTGAATATATTCAAAGTGTTTTCTTTGCAATTTCCAAGCGTGTAGAAAGACGAACAAATGAGAAAGAAGAAATAATTCTTATCATTGTATATAAAATAATTGCAGATGAAAACTATATATCGAACTTTTACGTTAGTCAAACTAAATATTAAAAGAACGAAATTAATTATAAGTTAAAACATAATCAAATAATTAATAAAAATATTGAAAACTAAGAGAAGAATAACATGACTTGTAAGATATTATTATGCAACGACCGTGATATGATTCAGTTAAAGAAGTTTTTCTATGTATCTATTTTCTGTACACAAATGATACGTTATTTGATTCTTTATAAACTTTTTTCGATTATAAAAAAATGTTTAATAACAGATATATTTTGAGAGAAAAGAATATATAAATGAGCAAAATATACTTATATTAAATTCGATAATATCTGTTAACTCTAATTTTCTATCCAATCGTCTTTCGGCTTTGATTGACACCATTAGTCTTTTAATTTGTGTAATATTTATATATTTCATTTTTCATTCTTATGTTCGAATTAAAAATCGAAATAAGTAAACATCGATGAATATAGTTTTAATTCTTTTTATCAACATTCTATCTGTTATTATGATCAAAATAACTGCTTAGATTATGCATGTAACAATTCCAACAATACTTATAAAGATTTTCACATAATGAATTATTTCCAAAAAAAAACATTTTCATATCAATTTCGTCCATATATCTTTGAGGATGTCGGTGTGGCTGCTAGGCGAATAAAGTATCCACATCCACACACACCCTCAAGATACAGTTGTGTAAGACAAAATTGTATTTATTAACTGATGTAAAGAAATAGGTTAGTTGGATGTGGTATTAGCCTTTACCCAATTGATAACACCACTGACATCATCGATCAGTTTTGCCAACTGTCGAAACTCGTTTGGTGTTCCATAATAATCCTCCACAGTCTTTGTATACGTATTAATTACTAATTCGAACATCAGTTTTGGGCATATCGGTTATATACCGTGTAGTTTCTCGTATTCTTCCATTCGATTGATACAAAATATCTCGTCGGTATCTGTATTGATCTTTGAGTGAGAAGAAATCAATTTCATAAAACTTTCGTAGCAGCTTCTATACATCGATGAATGGAATTTGTTTCTTTTTTCGTCCTTTAATTTTGACAAAGTAGCGTCCCTCGTAAGTCACCGATCCATCACCCAAAATAACTACCGAGTAATCAGGACAGCTGCCCTCACACATAGTACGCCTTAATGAGATCGAGACATTTTGCAAGAAATAATCTTGCGGTGGTTGTAATTGACTGCTGCCAACAATAATGAAAATAACTGCCAGAAAAACACGGAAAAAATACATTTTTGTACTTAATATTGATTCAAATAAATAATACATTCATTATTGTTAAAATGGTTCTTTTTATAAAGTAGATTTTTTTTGACGTGATTTCGAAAATGTTTCCTATAGTCAACCTTTTTTTTTCGTAATCCCCGACACATCTGATGAAGGATTAAATATTGTTATTTTAACTCTGACTCGATCAAACAACGATTGATTATCATGTCAAATGTCATAGACTTAAATAAAATAGCACCAATATCTTCAAGCGAATGAGTAATAAATGCTATACAGATATGATACAGCCGGTGTAACAAAATGTGTGTGTTTATTTATTCTTTTCATTATAGATGTTTTTAATAGACCTGTAAATAGAGGACATATATAGCACTGACAACTATAGCTGCAAGATCGGGAATATAAGCACGATGAGTTTTCGTTCGATTGAGGCCTTCTATGGAGGACATTCTTGTGTTGTTGTTGTACTTAGTGTCGATACAATAAAAATCGATATATATAATATGATAAATATTTCTAAAACAACATCAAATAAATCGTAAAATACTTGCATATTTGCTTTTGTCATTCTTATCTTGCATCAACTATAGATAGCACATTAATTCATAATATATATTAGTAATATATATTGTGTTGATACAAGGGAGAGAAACGCTACTACATATTCTTTGAAAATATATTGAAATAACACTTTCTTCTTTAGACCTCACTCAGAAATTGTGTGGGTCTTATTCTGGATTGTATAACGATTCATTAAAAAGTTTTTTTAACAGTCGTAGTAACTGATGCGAAATAGATCGTATAATGTGTCATGAAACATTTACATGCGTCACATCGTTTATTTAGAGCATTTGTTTTGCGTTCTATGCTTTACGCTTACGAATATATCTATTGATACATGACTTTCCCCCGTTCTATTTTGTCATAATGTAAAACGTAATAAAAAATGATGCTATGATGATTTTTTCTAATTCATTCATATTTCGATAATTATCATGAATTATGTCTAAAATAAGTAACAGATATCTACGCCATTCATAATTTTATTTTTTTCTGTGTCATAAAAAGAAAGATATGCTTATGACGATGGTATATATATATATATCGAATAATTACTTGATCATTATACATTCAACTAATATTTAAAAGTTTTGATATAAGATTATTTACAAAATTTAAATACATATACTTTAATTATGTTAACAAATAAATGGTTTATTATATTATTACAATTGGTTATACTCGTATTTATCAATAAAATCAATGGTCAAACATTATCAACTGTATCGTGCCAAACTGTTTTAAATGATTCTTTTGTTTATTTAACTGCATCACATCCTACTACAGTTCGTTATTTAACTATTCAAGCAACATTTATATTAGAAAATAGATATGTTGCATATTATATTGGATCTCTTACGTATGCTTCATCAATTGATTCATTAAATGGTACAGTAACTGTATCATTTAGTGATCGAACATGGATTCCATCATGTGGTAGTGGTTTGTTATTTTGTCCATCTCAAAATTTCAATTATAAAAATACTGATATACAAACAATTTCAATTAAAAGATCAGGTTCTATTCAATACATATTAAATAGTTGGGGTAATGGAAAATCAAACGATCAATTACAATGTTATGGTGTAAATCAACCACTTTATACAGCACCAACATTACAAACAGCATCTATGTTTATGATGACATTACAAAAACAAGAATATGCTATACCAAAATAAGAATTTTAAACAAAAACTATTCATTTTTCTTCAATATTCTATTGAACAATATACAAAAAACATATTATATATATTTTTTTTTTTCATTCTGTGTATTTCCATCTTCATTTTCATTTATTGTGAGTTATCAAAATAAATTAAGTATACAATTTCGTCTTTGAATTCATCATAGTAAGATAGTAATCATTTATTTTTTGAAATGGTAAAGAGAGTCCATTCGATTGATTGTAAGTATTGCATTATCATCAATCGAAGAACAATTTACTCCACCCATAAGAACACTATTCGACATAAATCAAGTAAACGATAATAAAAAAAGGTGAATAAGATATATCGCATCGTTGAATGTTGGTATCAAGTTGAATTAATAATGTCCAAGAGTAATTTAATGTAACATTAATGATTGTTTCTGTTCATAGAAGATTAAATCGATTCTAAATAGTCAGTTGCGCGTCTGATGTTGATGAAATATAAATATCATAAGGTAAAACATGTTGAATAACAACGGTATACTTCATCAGACTCTTATCTACAGATTCAATTCTAATCTGTTTTATCGACATTTTACGATTGAATGTATTTTAAGGGTGTGGGTGTGCGTTTCAAAAGGCACTCATCTTAGACGAGCGTCACTTGTTATGATTATCTATTTATAAATTTTTGATTCTCTTATCGTATAAAGAGTTGCAATTTAGAAATCTTAGTCATGTTCTTTGCGATAGTCTTATATTCGTTAATATCTGATTCATACATCAATGAAAGAAAAACGAATATACAAATTTTCAGTCTTATCACTCGAATGTATCATTGATGGAAAGAAAACATGACTGATAACTTGACTCATAACTATTTTTATCATCCGTAATAACTGTATAAAGTCATACATACTACTGGTATTACTTTCTTGAATTTAACTGTATATTAAGTATCATTTATTTGATCTGAAAACAAACAATTTCTGATGAACATGATTAAAAATTCTTATCGAAAAACTTTCTTCAGTATACGTTTTTCCAAATATAAAACTTTATGACTTCTCTTCAAGTATACATATTTGAATGAGTCATCGATAAAAATAATACTGTATCTATCATATTTATGAGTCAGTTCGAAGATTTAGTAATCGAACAAAACTATATAAATATATAGCATGACTCAGTCATGTCTAAGCAGAATAAACATTTTTTCATTGCAATAACTGTTATCAAGTATTCACTGAGTCATTTTCACAACAGAAATGAATGTCTGATTCAACAAATGAAAGTGAGAGCAGAGAAAACAAATCTCGTATGTGACTCAGTGCATGAATAATATTCTTTTACCTTTTCGTCTATATATACAACGTCTGAGTATCATTAATTGTGTTTATATTTCTATTTCAAGTCTAGATCGACGATTGTATTGATTTACAAAAAGTATTAACAAGACAATCTCTTCTTTTTAATAATATTCTTTTGTTTTAATATAGTGACAAATGCTAACGAGGTTCAACGTTTATACAATACAATTTCAACTAATTTAACAAAGATTAATAATCATGGTTAGTTATATTTATTCGTTTATTTTTTAAATTTTTTATTCACTTCTAGTAAATGATCTTGAAAAACTCGTTCAAAAATTAGGTACATCCGAAGATAGTGAACCATTGCGTGATAACTCGTATGTAAGATGAAAAACAAAAACTGATTTTGACATTTTCTTTCCGATAGTCATCGTCTTCAAAATGAAACAACAGTTTTAATACAACATACAAATGATGCACTTCAACAATTGAAGAATATGCGCGTATTAACAAATGTTGATCAGGTGAAATATAATGATATTTATATATAGAATTTGAGTTTATTACTTTTAGAATCGTCTAAAAAGTTTAACTGAAAGTTTACCAAAACAATATGTAGCAACATTAGAACGTTTCCGTAACGTACAAAATATTGCTTTACGAAAAGAAAAAGAAAGTTTTAATCGTTCAAATGCAATTCCATTTCACCAACAAGGTATATCGAATCCATTATTTGCTAATGATTTCATTTCAACACCGATATCTTATCAACATCAACAACAAACTGAAATGAAAGCATTAACACAACGTGCCGAACAAATAGGCGATCTTGAGGTACATGATTAAAATATTTCATAATATTAAAAATGATTTGAAATTTTATCGACTAACGGTTAAGACTTTTAAAGACTCGTCATGTCTTGAATGAGATAAAATATTTATATATACATACTCTAATAAATAGCTCATAGTACCAGTTCGATCTAAAAATTACTATTCTAATACTCTTAAGGAAGCTCTGTATCATCTAAAATTGATAGCCATTCCACAAATATTAAATTCATCTTTTCAATTATTAGTATCTATAAGTAAAACATTGAACTCATTTACTATCCGATAGATTTTATTCGATATTTGTTGAATCCTATCAAATTAAATTCCATTCAGTAAAAAAAATGAAATATTATGTTACTTTAATATATGTATAACTTTTTGTATCGGAAAACTGATTTGAAGATCGCATCACACGCAGTATTTATCCTTTTTAAAATTCTAGCTGATAAATTTTCATGCGAAGAGTTAGAAATAATCTTCTTATTTTTCTATTTAGACACTGATGGTTGAAGTCAGTGAATTGATCAAGGACATGGCTCAACTTGTTAGCGAACACGGTGTTATTATTGGTAAGTTTTTCGAAATTATATATAAGAAAAACAGAACTGTTGTAATCAAATAATATTTTTTAAGAGACCATTGAAGGTCATGTTCTAGAAGCTGAGAAGCAAACGCATCAAGCCGCTGATGATGTTGGGAGGGCTCGCGAATATCAGGTATTATATTTCTCAATATTTATTGCTTCTAAATGCTAACTTTATTTATGATCTGTCGAAAAATTTTACTAATTAAGGAATTGATTTCATTATGCTTAATTAACTGAGTAATGATGAATATATGAAATAACTATAACATCGCTGCATTTTTCTAACCTCTATTGATCAACATTTAACAAAAGCTATTATTTATCAAATTACCTCAAAATTTTCATTTATGTGTCGAGCATATATATATATATATATTTCTTTCTTTTTTCTATTTAAAGAGTTCGACTCGGTGTAATATAATTATATTAGTTACAGTTTTGCTCATTATTCTTGCCATTATTATACTTGTTTTGGTTTTATTATTGAAAAAATGATGTATCTGTGGTAAATGAGTTTGAAATAGTTCTTCCTACTTGTGATAATAAAAAATATCTTCAAGATTTAAACAAGAAATATTGTTTAATCTTTTTATTTGAAATTCTTCATAAACTATTTGATATCTACGATCTTGAGGGTGTGGGTGTGTGTAAAGATGATTAAAAGAACACACACACAAGCCTCTCCATAAATAAATAACGAAAATGTCGTGTATCTCTATATAATTTAATTTTTTTTCCAACAAATGTGGATTAGTTACTTTCAAAAAATGAATACTCATATCAGATACGATATTTTTATACCTGAATATTTTATATCGCGATCTTACAATCTCATAATTCAACATACCATCTATTGGTTTTATTTGAAAAACAAATATGGAAAAGAGAAACAATGTTTTAGTAACGACAATATGGATACGTATTACAATATGTACTGAAAACTAATTCATCATTAACGGCTAGAACAATAAATGCAATCCAGAAAGCAATTTTAAATAGTGTAGCGACAATATTGAAAATAAGAGCCAACTTACTCATTGTTCTTGCACTACTTGCATTATTTTTTGTTTTGTAATCTCGACAGAGAAGACTAAACGTCAATGGAATCACGCCAATAAGTATTCCACCAAAGCATATATTAGTTATTGACCATGGTAACCAATCATAAATTCAAGGACTTGTTTGATCGATCTTGTTATTTGGATGACCATTAACAGGTTGTTGGTTTGGATGCATGTACTCTACTCGTTCGTTTAAAGGCTTTGGTTCTCCTGCAACTAAATTTGATGGTTCTGAATAAGGTGAAACGACATTTGAAGAGGCCATGATACGATAAATGAAGTTTGATAATAATAGTATAAAATAACGACAGAGATTTCATTTAAATAGTCTATAATTATTATCATTGAAGATAAGAATTATAATACTTCTTAATGCATGCATTATCAATAAAGACGATTAAGAAAATCATTGTTGGTATCAATAAGTAATTAAAAGTATATCATATATAAATATTTGATAATATTACTCATTGAAAAGAGAAAATAAATATTTGTCGCCTCTTGAACAGATTTCAAAACAATATATCTGTCTGTAGTAAATCAAAATATCCTGTTTTTTGTTTGTCATATCTGATTAATTTGCGTCGTTGATTCGTCACATGTCAGCCAAAATATGACTTTCCCTATTTTCCAGTAACGTCTTTTTTTCACGCTTTTTCTTAGTATTTTTTAATATTATTTTGCGCTTCATGTAATACATAATAATGATAAACTAACCGGAAGTTTATGGTCAAGAAAGCTGATCATCAGTGCAAAATGTTCCATTGTAAGATTATTAAGATTAAAAATAAATACATCTCCTTGGTGTTTCTTCTACTTCATTTTGTAATAAAATCTCAGTCTGTTTTGATTGATTTTGTCTTTCTTTCAATTCATGCTCTGTTTATTTCTCGCATGCAATTTGACAAATCAGAATCTGTTCACGGTAAGGATTCTGTTTATTTCGTCAATTCACTCGACCAACATAAATGAATAAAGAAATATTTTGATTAATTATGATTTTTTTCATTATTTTCAATAGTAGTGTTGATTGTTTTTTCATTATTTCTCCATGTAGCAAACAAATCTTCGTAATCAATTTCTTCATTGTTGGCAGGGCTTCTTTATTAGCATTTATATCGAATGAATATTATTTTTTCGCTCATTCGTATAATAAAACTCTACCATCAGAGAGAAAAAGAAAGATTCGACTTCATTTCGTCTATTTTCTCTTGAAAAAGTACATACAATCGTAGCAAATATAAAAAAGACATGGTTAAAATTATTCGTACTGTCTCAAGTGAAATAGCAGTCGTACATAATAGGAAACGCCAGGTAGTTATCAATTTGACAATATTAACGAAGTTTTATCGAGTTTATCTTCCATTGAACGAATAAAGGGAAACCTCAACTGTTTTTTTTATAGGTAAAGCATAAGTCTAGGAAATCAAAAGACACGAATCATCGTTTATCTTCGAACGTCAGTCAATGCGAAAAACTAGTACTTCCCACGGACAATCGCTCTTCGATAACAATACCACCGCATGCGGAACCAAAGGACAAGAATCATCATTTGTCTCCGAGCGTCAGTCCATTCGAAAAATTAACACATCCCGCAGACAATCGCTCTTCGATAACAAGGCCATCGAGTGTAAAACCAAAGGACTCATCAGTCCAGAACTTGGACAAGTAAGTACTGAGGATGTGGTCGAACTTTCGAAGTATGAAAAGTACAGTGTGTCGTACGTCGGAGTACGGAAGTCTTGCCCCCCCCTCTTGTCTATTTTTCTTAATATATGTCGTACATTGTTTTTTAGGGGAAAGACAAAACGTTCTGTAAAACGGAAAAGGAGGTGTGGTGCATTCTGGTTTATCATGTGTCCTATTCTTACTGCGTTGATATTGGCACTCCTGGCAGCTGGTATATATGGACTTATCACTTTATTGGCAAACAAAACAGGAACTACTAGCACTGGTAATAAGTAAAAAGCTACTTATGTACTCGAAACCTAGAGCATTTGACTAAGAGCACCAGGTCGATAATTCCGATCGTAGAAATCTTAAAAAAACAGCTGTTTTTCTAGTGAGATCCCTCTGATTCCAGGGTGTGGGTGACTGTAGGTATTATATTTATTTGTAATTAACACCTAAACTCACACCCATCCTTAAGATAATTTGTCATCTATTTTAAAGCTACAAGCACAACAACAACGACTGCGACTACAACGACAACAAGCACAACAACATCGAGTATGTTCCATCAAATTTCATAATTGTTCTTTCTCTGCGTTCTGTAACTGAAATTCCAATGCAAAGATAAAGAAACCTTCATCTTTCCAAAAAGAATTCCAAAACAGATTTGCAAAGTGATCACGGTCACGCGCGATCGTGAGGGTGAGAATAAAGATGAAAAGAACATCCACCCTTACACACTCTTACTCAGATCTTCAAAATCGAATTAGATATTTACTTTATTCTTCTCTTCAGCTACAAGTAGCACAACTACTACAGACACCACAACCACTACAACCACCACCACCACCACCACTACAGACACTACTTCTACCTCGACTACTACGAGTACGATCCATCATTTTTTACTGTTCCTTTTTTTGCTATCATCTATACTTCTTTCTTTAGCTACATCGACTACTCCATACGTATGTAACTTTACTTGTCTCAATCAATCATGGATTTCTTCAGCGAATGTTTTGGCTTTATGGCCATTCGATGGGACATTTATCGACAGTACTTTTACATATAATGTCACACCTGCGAATAGTCCTACTTTTGTAAGTAATGGCTATTTAAACCAAGCACTCTCTTTCAATGCGAATCAAAGTCAATCATTGGTCACTTCATACATTCCTCTGGCAAGTACGAGTTTTACAATTGATGTTTGGCTCTATCCGACAGGATTTCCTTATTATGCGGATCATAGTATTCTTGGATTGTGCCCTGTGTTACTGACCAACGAATGCCTCCATTTGATCTTTCGCGATTCTGGATCAGGCTCTCACCTTCATTTTGGATTCTATTTTAATGATTGTGATGGGGCTACAATAATATCTCCTAATAATTGGATCTATGTTACATTCGTTTTCGATATAAGTACGATGACACAATGGATTTATCTCAACGGAGTACTAGAATGTTTTCGAACCTCATCATCAAATCTCTTATTCTCCACGGGCAGCGTTACTATTGGTTTGGTTCCAAATCTCGAAGGTGTGCCAGGCGACGACTATTTCCAGGTATTTTGATGTTTTCAAACGAACGTACTTTAATGTAGAGGCTAGAAAAATTAAGACGGGTTTCATATAACTAGAATACACGTCTGAGGTCCAAACAAGATGCGTCTATACAGGTCTGTCTACTGATTTCTCAGGCGAGTACAATGAACAGAGAACATCACCAATTTAATCATATGAATACTATGGATTTCTTTTAAATCTTAACCATATTTTCATACGTTTTTTGTCAAAATTTCATCTGACTGACAGACCAGTTTTCTACATCTTTTTCGATGTTTTCGGAGAATAGTTTCGTCTTCTGCAATATTCAGAGAACTCTGTTACTAATCAGAAAAAGAGATTCGTAATAATAATTACTAGCGAGACCTCGTGCATATTACACAGTTGTTGATTTCCTATAAAGTTTTACATCTCTGCTTTAACCTTATAACCCAGTAATAGAGAATCACTTTAAGTTTTATCATCGTATAGCCTTACAACCTTTGACTCAGTACAGACAGATTAAATTTTCAATTGATGATAATATAAATTGCTCAATTAGTTGTGAATAAGATGATAAGTTATTAATAACGATTGGAAATAAAATATTAACTTCAGTCTTTTCACGCTAAAATACTGCTGCTAGAACTTAAAAAACGTACTGAAGATACTACTGAGAAAAGGTTTAGTACGACATTTTTTTAACAGTGTACATCTGATTCGCAGAAAAATCTTCAATTTATGAGATAAAATTTTAACATGTGGAAAAAGGGCAAGCCAGGTGGTCTGCCTGTTGAGATCTCTAATACACATACTAAAGAATTACGGCTGCAGTTGAACTCAATCGGCATAATCTAAACGAAATTTGAATAATTAATTAAAGGAGAAAAAGTGAAGTGTCAAAAGTTGCAGTCGAATAATTTCAAAGGCTCTATTTTCTTTTTATAGGGCTACATAGATACATTAAAAATTAGTAATCGAGTCAAAAGTGCATGTGAAATACTCGAAGATGCCACACTTGCTTGTCGTTTTCCATTTGATAGTACAAATACGCTAGTCGATTTTGGACCTAATTCGGTATCAGCAAATGCTTATTCATATTCCGTTTTACCTGTTGGTCACACTCTTCAAGCCATTCGATTCAATGGTTCAAATTCTTATTTTCAAGCATCGGGCTTTACTCAATTTAGTATCAATGACCAACCATTTTCGATATCGCTCTGGATTCAACCTATATCTCGATCAGGTACACTCGTTCATATCTCAAAGTCATCGATTGGTGCCGGATCATGGTGCCTTTCATTCATAGGCTTTGCTTCGAATGGTACACTAATTGCGCAAATATATGATGGTACAGCAATAGTATCTATCATAGCACCGACTGTTATTCCTCTCTCATCACTATATTGGACTCATATTGTACAAACATGGAGCTCAACGAACGGTCTTCGTCTTTATATTGATAATATTCTAGTTGCTTCTGAACCATCGGCAGTAACATTTGTGGCTAGTAGTATAACGCCAAATTATGTTACATTAGCAAGTAGTTTTTCAGCAACATGCTTGACAGGTGGAATAAATATCAGCAATCATTATGTAGGTGGCTTGGATGATTTCAGAATTTACAGTCGAGAATTATCGGCAAATGATGTATGTACTTTATATGTTGGTTGAAATATGAACTAATTAAAGATATTATTATATTTAAATAATCTGGTTTGGTAGTTGAGACAATACTGACGTTATTACCTTATTGACATCATTAACTTCTGCTTCCTCTCATCTGTTTTTTCTTCTCTCCAATAAAAACTTCACTCCTAAATTTGTAAAGGTTTAGCATCAGATAAGTTCAAAATCTTGAGAATAAGGGTGAGTCAAAGCCAACTACGATCTGTTTTGAACTTGCTAAAGAATCTCATGAGGGACCCTCTAAAATAATATAGTTCTATCTGGAACTGTTTTTTTCTTCCAAAAATGGTTCTAGGCTGGTAAAAGATAGTCTGTTCAACACACTAATGAATTAATTGGTTTATTTAAACTCGATATATGATTAGTTCTATGTCCAGGAACAAACATCTATTGATATAAAAAATTGGCGACTATTTTCAATACATGTTCCGTAATGTTCAGAAAACAACAATTCACATTTGACTAAAAAGTCTAAATAAACGTTTTCGTGTGTTTGTTACTAATAGAACTGAATTCGTTACATTTTTCGTCTGAGTAGATGCAATCTAATTGCTTTTTCACATAAGTATACTCAATATACTCTTGTTTATAAGTATATGCTGCTATCTACAGAAACTATTTCATGCAGTAAAGTATAGTTGATAGAACAGAAAACTAAGATATTTTCAGAATAATTGGAGAAATATTTCTTGATTTTTCTGAAATGATCCTAAAACTTACCTACTTTTCGAGAATACGAAAGATAATATTCAAATTTAGTTATGTTATTTGACGAAATACGTAAAACAAACGAGCAGCATAAATATGTAAACTCTATAAAAAAAACCTAGATAGTTGAAAACATCTTGTATTGCAACTTCTGCATCAATATATATGAAAAAGTTATTGTTTTTCTTTATTTTTATACAGGATGAATAATTTACAGACATTTTTTATTTAAGCTTAAATGCTTTTCCTATATTTATTATTTATCTCACCTAACAATTAGGACAAATTGTAATTATACCATTGAATCATTTGAATATTGGCATCTTCATCGAAATACATATGAATCAGTTCAAAAAAGCTCAAAATTATTGCAAATTGTTCAAGCGTTGACCACCGAGATGAGTCCCATTGTGAACAATTTACTCCATTCAAGGCATCGCCAAGTGTATCCTAAGCCCGTCGTACGATAAGTCGTTCGATCCATTCTCCAGTTACACCAGCCTTAACAAAAAAATTGAATTCATAGCAAAATTTCAAAACTTATTAATATATTTAATTTTGCATTAGTACCTTCCACCATAGAATTTTTCAATATTCTTATACAATATTCTGGATGATCATACAAAATTATGAGTTAAGCTCGACAATCTTCCAAAACGTTAGGTTTTCGAATTCGCGTAGCAGTCAACAAAAATGCTCCTATGCGTGTAAGAACCACATTACCTTCTTCAGTCATTAACAGTCGTGTACATCCGTTCATTGGTTCTAAAATACCTGCTGTTGATCCTTCGTTGAGAATTACGCGAATACGACCGGATTGATTTTCTTTACCACCTAATTCTGAACTGCTAAAATTGCTAATTGCACTAAACTCAACGTTGGACTTTTTTCATACGCTAAACAAAACAACCCGTAATGGATGAGTGTAATATTAAAAGAAGACATTAATACATGTACGTTGTGAAGATACTGGTAGATACTGTGCTTCAGTTGATAAAATCTCATCAGGACGGCATAAAGGTACAGGAATTATATTCCGGTGACGATAACGTATCAGAGATATATTTTTAATTAATTTTCCCGCTTGCAATGCATAATACGTTTCTTCTTCTTTTCCGAAGAATAAGTAAAATGGCGATTTGCCAGTCTTTGTCTGGGCGCGTCAAAATTTGTAGTACTTCAGCTGTTGCTGAAGTTGACCGCATAAAATACTATTCGGTATATCATATTCTGAACCATTATTTAATACGAATCGACATTCCATCCTATCAAATAAATAAACTGATAAAAAATTGTTAAACTCATTATCATTTTTGAATACCTGATATTCATCTTTCTATACATTGAAAAACTTTTACGATTATCTCATGATACTATTTAATTACGAAATGTTCTCCTTTGTAAACATCAGATGTAAAAATCGATCTATATAGCTATACGAGTTTCAAATATTTTTTGTTAGAAAAAAACCATGTTTAATGTAAATAAAACATAGAGAACTATCTTATGTGTATCAACGAAGTAAGTAATTTGCTTTTAGAGAAATTTACTCTCGATACAGTGCCACTAACTCAAATTTGTATTGCCTTCATCAACAATCTTTATATGAACTACGCTATGACTATTAGCTAAAAATATCTTAACATCTGCAAAACAATTTTCTTTTAGAAACTTTAGTACCGACAACGGTTCGCTGTCCTCAACGGATCAGTGATCGTGATCAGCAGCTCACGCTCTATCAAACCATGTGCAAAAAAAAATTAAAAAAAATTTCATTTGATTTTTGTATTGCGTGTATCTTACAAAGATATTTATTTTTGAACCTGAAACATGACTTTTTCTTTTTCTAAAATTCTTGAGAAATAACCAGGTTTTGCATAAAGTGTCATCAGGGTTGTTCGAAATGAATCAACTCTTGTTGGTGTAATGTCCGATGGTGAAGGTAATATTGCACCTAACATTTTGAGCGTAACATCAGCCTCATGTAAGTGCATGGCACGTGTACACTTTTTCAAATTACCGAGAATGCCAGCTGAAGTACCATTATTGAATATAATTTTTGAAATTTTATTGGTATTAGTTGTGGTGACTTACTTGCTTCTTGTTGATGTTGTTGTTAATAATTCTGTTTCATCAAGTAAAATTTCTTCAGCTGATTCTAATTTATTGAAATATTTAGCTAAGGGTATGGGTGGGGGTATTACGTAAAGAAATAGTTACTGGTAATAAATTCTTGATGATGCATGAGGAAGATGCTAATTTGATCCGACTCGGCCTTTATCAACCTGGTAAAAATGATGCGTTGATTTTATCAAAATTAATAATTTTGTTGCCACGAATAAGATATTAATATTTTTGCATAGGTAGAGAGTAACCTATTGTTTTCAATTGTTCTCTTATATAGTCACTCGGATGATATTTCAGGTAGTTGATTTAATTCATTGATTGAGAAGTGAGTAACATTCGATTGTCATTAGTTGATACAAATTGTTATTGAAAATATTCGAAAAAAAACCTTGTAAGTTTAATTTTATAAGTGATTCAAATACACAGTCTCTGACTTTTGCATAAATCTGATAGATTGATCTTTTCTTCATATATCAACGTTTAGACTTCTTTATGAGATAAAAATGCTAACTTAGGTTCAGAACTTAACGAGAAAAGAAGAAATAAAGATAATTGCTCTTAAATTGTTTTCATTTTGTGTTTGTGGATCTTCTTTTCTTCACTATCCAATTATACAAATCTTAATCCTAAATTTTTAGTATAGTAAAGATCGTTGAGTGTTAACAGGGAAAACCAGATTTTTTCAGAATTAAAATTACGAAAGTTCTCGAGATGAAAGTGTATATCTCAGTCAAAGAGAGAAAATTTTCTTGAATCGTAGTTGAACTTTGAAAAAAAAATTGGCTTTGAAGAGCCCGCTTTGATATTGATACATGTACATTGATATTTTTTGATTTAGGACAAGGTCAAACGGTTTCAAATCGTTCATTATTATGAGAAGGATTCGATGGTTTTTCAGATTCATCCAAAACGACAAGAATGTACGATTTTTCAATCAAAAATGTTCGTTTATCATTATTAGGTACATGTATGGGTAGTTCCCTTCATTTACTTCTAGCTCGATATTCATCGTATAAAATATCTGATGGGTGTGACAACAGATTTCTGTACCATTTTGTAGAAAGTTATTTAAGATCTTACGATGTCTTCAAAAAGTCAAATCGATTATTACCTGCAATACAATAAATATTCGTTGTTATTCATTTGATTGGAAAAATTTTATACGTCTTTGTGGGTTCTCTGCGTAATGATGAGTCGCAAAGGTTTTCTGAAACGAAAGGAAAACATTATATTGCCGAAGGGCAAAGATTGTTTCAAGAACAACAACCACCACATCTTCAGTCGTTTTATTCAAAAAGTGCAGAAATATTCCCCGGACTTTGCGTGAATATGCAACGTCTTTTAGACGCAATGCTTGTTTTATTTGAAATGAGAAAAAATGAAGATTTACACTTTGCACAAGTTATTGATCTGACATTTATTGCGAAAGGGTGGGTGTGGGTGAGTGTTTTTTCTTCGTTAATTATCGATGCACACACCCACACCCTTACAAGCAAACAAATTAAAATGAACCGGGAATATGGTGAAGTTGTTATTGGTTTTAAAACACAAGAGCGACCACAACATGCAACAAAAATAATGAAAATTAATTATTTTTCGAAACAAAATTACAATGATAGATGGCAATAAGAAGGAAAAATTAATTATAAATATAAAAATCTTTTTACTGAACGAAATAAATAGCATTAATTATTTTAATTAATTCATATAAAGTAAAATTACTTATATATCAAGTAAATCAAATAAAGAATTTTCATTGGTCATTGCAATACTTCATTGGTCTAGTCTCCGCCTGATCCAATATTATATGTATACAAAGACAATATGTTCATATATATGGTCAAACACATGTATTTATCGTGATTATATACACTTATATGAACAATTAATTGGTTTAACATTATTCCCGAAATAATTATGAAAAACGAATACAATTTGAAAATCTTATGCTGATGGGCAAAAGAAAATTAACTAAATTATTCTATTAAATAATCATATAAGAAAATCCACATCACTAGAAATTTTTATAATTCAACATGATAATATTAATTGTGATGATATTCAAAATTTGGGTGTGGGTGTGCGTTTGGGTATAGGTACAATTGAGGAAAAGATACCTACACCCTCAAGAGCTCAGCTCATGAGGACATATTTCCTGCATATTTCATTGTTTTCACAAACCATGTTATTCATCCATTTAAGTAATACACAGTTGTTCTCTTCTTTCCGTTATTTTATGCGTCACCATTGTCAACATTCAAACAACTCATAACTACTACATGAGAAACATGTTGACCGCTGAAGAAAAATAACAACTTCACTCACGTTGGAAGAAAAGTTGGTGTCACTTTACAACGACGTCGTTCAATCTCGAACTGAATTTCGAGAAAGAAAAGCAGATAAATCTCAGCGTTAGTACACATATTTCGACCGCGTTCGTGAGAAGTACGACGAAAGCAGTGGATGAACAACATCATCCAGCCGTTGTACTACGACAGTGTGCGAGTGAGTTTAAGATCACCCACACCCTTATTATCAATCATTTATAATAGAATACGATTTCTTTGTCTTCCAGATGCATCTGACACACTAATGAGATATTAACGTTCTGTTGAACAAAGTAGATATCTTTGACATCATCGATTATCAAGCAGTTTATAGGACTAATGATTAGGATGATTACGTCATTTTACATCCAAACCTTTTTTATCTATGTTTAGCTTGTTCTTGATGTCAAGATTGTTCACAGCACGACGTTTCACCGTATGACGCTTTATGACATTGAAATATTGTGAACACTGTTTAAATACTTTTTTCTCTTTTATACTTTCAAAAAAAAATATATGTTGATTGAATAGAAGTTTTATTCAGAATTTTAATGTGCACCATTCCATCGTGTCAAAATGTAAACAAACTTTTTTTCTACCATCCATTTCTTTTACTTGATGTACGAAAAGCAACATGTCGTGTGTGTTTCACCTTCATTTTTCATTCATTATTTCTTTAGTTTTCTCTCTTTCTCATCTTTTGCAAAAAAAGAACAAGTATTCACGTTACCATTATTTAAATACCTTTTGCTTCCTTTTTTTTCTTTCTTTCTCACTTTTCACGTCCCATGCGATGTGCAGTATGTTATAAATAATTGTGCTTTTAGTATTTCTAAGATTTCTTCTTTATTTTCCGTTCTGGTGAGTGTTAGTTGGACACTGCTATTTAGAAGATCAACACAAGTTAATGGGCGAATTCAAATTTTGACACTAGGTATTTTTGTTTCTTCTCATTTTATCCGGGGTTTATTTTAGATTAATTTTAATTATGTTGAATCGAATACGAAATAAATTGTTCTTGAATTCAATCCATCTTTTTCTTTTATTTATTTTTCTTACAATCTTATTTGCCATCTTTTTTATGAATCTGATAGAATCAAATGCGAAGGTAAAATATATACGAATCGTAGATATAGTCAATACGACAAGTACTCACAAATATAACACGACACAAAAATCATTCATAAATTTAACACTTACTTATGATAATAAGTATAAAACAATAGAAACAACTATTCAATGTGTAGGTCTACCATACAATCAATCTTGTTTGTTTCGAAATCTATATTATTTTAATACAAGATTCATAATTTTAACCATCAAAGGAAGATATCTACCACCATATTCTGTACGACCAGATGCTTTCTCGTTCTGGCCTTTGATACTAGAGAAACGAGAATTTGCTAACTATTCCGATCTTGAAACATTTGTTCGTATTATTGCTGATCCAAAAATAATTCCATCTGTTACTGTTTATTTTAGTCAATCGTGGCATTTTAATATTGGTCATGCACTCTTTGATGGACTCTATCCAGTATATGTTGCACTTATTCGATTTTCTCCGCGACATCTTAATCCTTTTCGTATTCTTGCCGAAGTAGAAGAATGCAATAATTGTTGGAGTGAAGATATTTATAATCGTTTTGGTGGTCTTGGTTTTTTAAAAAAAAGCGTATTAGATAAAATGTCAAGAGATAGATGGTTTGTATTTGATGAATTTGTTATGGGTAGTGGAACTTTTTGTCAACGCTGTACACAACCTCATTTACAATTACCTGGTGGTGTTGAACTAGATGCTTCACGACTTTTCCGCGATAGAATGTATCAACAACATGGTGTTTTACATCCAATCATTCGACAAAAATCTTCATCTGAACAACGAACATCTGATAATCTTCTTCGAGCATATATTATTGATAATAAACGTTTTACAGATAATGATCGACAGCAACTGAATGATGTTATCAATGAACTAAATAATTATACTAATTTTCACTTGAATAAAACTATGAATATGTCAACGAAATTAGAATGGCCATTGATTACTGTGACTTATATTTATTATGATCAAGTTAAAGCTGAAAACCTTAGTCACATTCAAATCAATACGACACGAATTGATTCACGCATACCACAGTACGAACTCATTGATAATAATTTCGTAGCACAATTAAAGCTTTTACGACAAATGGATATTCATATAAGTGGCCCGGGAACTGGTCAAATGTATCAAATATTCCTGTCCGATGGATCTGTTACAATTAATCTTGGAAGTATAAGACCATCGGAATCGGAAAGTAAGAAAAAGGGATATACTTCATATCTAGAACAATATCTAACAAGTGGTGCGCCATATATTAAAGGTCTTTATTATCCAATTAATGAGCGATTAAAAGGTATAAAAAAAGATGAAGTGATCAAATTAATTCGACAAGCCGGTCAACTTATTCTACAAGGATTTTCATTACCAGTCAATCCTCGAGAAAATCTCGGAATTGACGGTCAATTATTTGTGGAAATGTGCGAAAAAGATAAAAAATTTTGTTCTCTAGTGACAGAAAGATTACCGCATACACCGTTTCGTTGTTTAGATACATGGGCAGAAGATATTGTACACGAATATCTTGCATGGCAAGTGGAAGGTTTTGAAAATGTTTCTTGCTCAATGAATCGTTCATTATTGTATGAATTAAGAGAAAAATATGGAATCAAACACACGAGTGTTTAATTTGAATATTGAAGTAGGTGCAGTCTAGTAGTCAGCTGGTATTCATAGCTTTCTTTCAAAAGAGAAACTCTTTGGTTTATGTAATGAAGTGTTTTTATTGAAAATAAATTTCATATTTTTGGATTTGATGATTTCTTCAACATCCATCTGATTCGGTTCTTGTTTAATCTCGTCGTCATTCACACCAATCTTGTAATCGTTGGATAACAGAAAATACAGAACCGTAGTTAATATATGTATATACTTTCTTTTTTATAAATAAATCACATATTTCTATACTCTTTAACATGCGTATTTTTATTCAATACTTCTGCAGAAATAACGCCTGACCAATTTATTTTATTGAAAACAGAGAAATCAGACAAATTGTTGACGAGAAACAAATGAAAAAATATGAATGACTTGCTATTCCTAATTTCGTCTATTTTTTACGTTCTATAAAATTGTGTGTAATACTATGAAATAGAGAAATGCTAGGATTCAGTCAATCAATTAAAATAACAAAACATGTTTCACTCCGTATTTTTCACAAGAATTTCAGCAGTATAGTGTTTATTTGTGAATCAATATTTCAAAGTACCTCCAGCGAACATTGAAAGAAGTAAATGCTAAATAATAAATCTTTACCTTTCCTTTCTTATTATTCGATAAGCTTTTCTTTCAGATTTATAAGTATGATACAACTCTTCATAAAATTCTTTTTATTATATATCTTGCTAAGTCATATGTCCTTGTGTTATTGTTTTGTATTCATAAATCCTTTTTAGATATATGAAAACAATATGAATATATATGCTCCAGCAAAGAGTTTATTATTGAATTGCATGATATAACTGCATATGCAAATAGAATTTATAAATATAAAAAAATACTTCAAGGGCATATAATTTCAAACTTACAACAAAGTTTTAGTGACGTATATGATAAAAAAAGATTTTATAAAGAGTCATATCATGCGCATAAACTTGACGAAGACTTGTAAAACAATAATAAATGAAAAATGACGATTTATTATTCTCCACTAGACTTTTACAGTCTAAAATGTGCTCTGTCATTCTCTTTCGTTTTTATTAACTGCTAAAATTTCAATCATCGAAAAACTTTTCCTCGTTATTTTTTAGAAAATATATGGATGATTTTGATCCTTCCGGAAGTCTAGCCCTTAACCAATATGACGTTGAGACATCTCCGAAACGTTTAATATGGTGCTTTTGGATTTTTTTCTTAATTCTTCTTCCATTATCGTCCGTAGTTCTCATTGGATTTGCATTATTTGACTCAAGTATAACAGCATACAATGAAAAAGGTCGAATTGCCGATATTTTATTAATGTTCACCTATGTAATAACCATCTATGGTATTATTAAAATTGTTTTATCTATCACGAATAGTATATCTATTGAACACAATACTTCTGTTCACACCAAGAAACATTCAAACATTGTGTTTGCATTTCTGTTTATTCTCGGAGTTGGTGATTCGTTATTTATTCTGACAAGATTTGGTGATCAACTTATTTTAATTATCAATCAAAATTTTGTACCGAATTCGAGTTGTGCGACTAATCTTGCTCTATCAATGACAGCAAATTTTTTGAAAAGTTTATGTCAATTGTGTATATTAATGTTTATTCTTCATCAACTTGATCATTCAATCAAATTCAAGAGAAAAGAATCGAAAATATTCTTAACATGTTTATCAATATTTTGTTTAATTCAATGGGCACAAATACTTCTCCAAGAAGTACACTTCCATAAAAATAAACCGGACGCATGTGATATGGCTCTAGATCAGGGTTTAAAACGATTCGATGAAATTGCACCATATTTATATCCATTGGGTTTGGAATTTCGATTTGCGTCTTTTATCGAACTATTAATAATGTCTGAATGTCTTGGAACCAGTAAAAAGAATATTCTGTTAAAATTTTATCATTGGTTTAGTAAGAATATATCTTGTAAAGGTTGTTCGGCTAATAGAATGTTTTCTACGATGAGCCAGTGTTTGAAAAAAATGCTTTCATGTTTTTCGGTTTGTTTTAAGAAAATCAAACATCCATTAGGAAAAAATGATATCTTATTTCCATCCATTTTACTTCCTGCGATTGGAACTCTATTAGTTAGTCTATCAATAGTTATCGTTTTGTTTCAAGAATTCAATGAAACTGATGGCGATCATCGAGCTACTGTAGTGCATTATGACAAAAATAGTCTATTAACATTAATCAGTGAAATCTGCGAAATCATTCTTTTATTTGTCATGTCCTTATATTCAATTTGTTCATTGGACAAATTATGTGAAAAAGAAAAAAATTTCGAACAAATACCATATGTTCAAACAGTGAATATGGAATTTATAGTTGATTTTGCTATTTTACTCATCTCGAATCTTTTCTTGAACATTTATTGTTGCGTTACTCTTGCTGGTTCAGTAATATCAGAAGCAGAGGAGCAGTTAACTCAAACTATACGTTGGTTAACGTTGACGGCTTCCGTAATACCAATTATTCAGACGACACTTCAATTAATAATTATTTGGAAAGTTCGTCGATACAATGGAATGTTAACTAAAGGAATCAATCAAATGTGGATTATATTAAGTTTTGCCATATGGTTATTTGATACATTTAGTGCGAAAGCATTCGATACGAATGAAATTCAAATCAGTGTCTATAGTGGAGGATGGGATATTTTGGCCGCTCTTTTTGTACCTATGTCGCTATTTTTTCGATTTCACAGTTGCATTATGTTTGCTAATATCAAAGATGGAGCATACTGGGATGAGGAAGATCATTCGTTGGCTTGATAAAAATTTAGAATTCAGTTATTTTACTAATTACCACCTTTGAGCACATGTGAGCGTCTTAAAAATGAACAGAATTTCGACACTCACATTCTTTTTTTCTATAGTTTGACGCTAATGTATAATTCGTTTTTTTCTTTCCACGTATTCATATACCACCGTTTTACAATAAAAACTGCAGCAATGATGCAATGAATTCATTCTTATTCATAGTTTTTTAAAACTTTATTCGTTGTTAATGAGAAAAGATTGAAAAGTGACAAAAAAGAAATATTTATCAAAAGTCATTTTATCATCAAAAATTTGTTTTAGCCACGATCAATAATAAATTTTTGTATTCGGTGGTTGTAGCTATCAACAACATAAAGATTACCATACCGATCAAATGATAAATCATATGGGTAGTTGAGCTGCGTAAGTTCGCTTCCAAGTTGTTTTTCACCAACGACAGGAACACCTTCTATTGCACCTGGTGACCAACGTGTTATTTGAGGACTACTTTCACTCGACACATAAATATTACCAACATGATCAACAATCACACCGATGGGTTGTCTTAGTGAATTGAAGTTTCCACGAGAATCTTCTCCTGGAGCAACAAGAATCCCTTCAGTTGCATCTTTCATCCATTTCATCACACGATTATTCGCATAATCCGCTACGTAAATTGAATGATTTCCATCAACAAAGATATACTTAGGTTGATCGAATTGATTAAACTGATCTCCTTGTCCATAGTCACCTACTACAATTGTATCTCCTTGCTGCCAACGTCTAACTACATGATTTATATAGTCAGAAATATAAAGATTTCCATCATTATCCATTACTAAACCCCAGCAAAAGATATCAGATATCAATATTTCTTTATCCTGACTGTTTTGAAGAGACCATCGGATCACTCGTTTGTTGCGTTGATCACAAATGATGAGAGATGTCTTCTCTTTATCAAGAATTACATCCGTTGGAAGTTTTAATTGATCTATTTCATCTACAGATTCAGTTCCACCTGCAACTACTTCACCTTTGTCTGCATCGAATTTCCATCGAACGATACGATGGTTCATACTGTCAGCGATGTAAATACTTTCACTATCCTCATCGACATAAATACCTCGAGGCCGATCTAACTGGTTCAACCCAGATCCTTGTCCATGTCCTCCAGCAACAATAGTTGCACTTTGTTTCCATTTCGTCTCTTCATTAATAATAACCGAAGAAATTATATGTAGTTCTTCTAAAAAAGAATAAAAAGGATTTCAATTTTTTTTCTTCTCTTTCGATCTAAAAATTGTTTTTTAATAAAAAAAACATATTTTATTTTATTGAACAGAATATTTCAACGTCACTGCATATAAACTACAAGAGGGGTACGTGTGGACGTGGATAGATGAACTACGAACTGGATACTGCATTCTTATTCAACCTTCAGCGACCTTTTCAGTATTATTCTATAAAAGTGTAGTTTATGACGACCGATATCGAAGATAAAACTGTTTTATGTTTTTATTCGAATGAAATCCCTATGATTGAACAAAATCATACCGTTGGTTGTTGTTGTCAACAATTTATTTGTTACTATTCTTTCTGCTGTTGTCGTTGTCATCTGTGGTGTTTTTTCAGTTGTTATTTCAGTTGATTTCTCTGTTGCTGTTGTTGTTTGTACTGAATTCGTTGTTGTAGCCGTGTATCCTGCTTTCTCTGTTGATGCTGTTATGTGTATTGGTTTTTCTGTTGTTGCTGTCGTTATTTGTGCTGGATTTGTCGTTGTCGTTGTGAGTCCTGCTTTCACTGTTGTTGTTGCTGGTGTTATATGTACAGCTTTCTCTGTTGTTATCTGTGCTGTGTCCTCTATTGTTGTTGCTATTTCCTTTGTTATTACCTCTACTGTTGTTAACTGTATTGTTGATGTTTTCTCTCGTTTTCCTTTGTTCACTGTAACAATAATTGTTGGAATAGCTATAATTCCAACAATTAAAATAACCAAAACTATTGTCCAAATTAGTTTTCGCTTTCGAAAATGTTCGAATCTAAAAATATAAGAAATTCTTTTTGATAATTTATTTTAATTCATCATATATATATACATACAATGCTTGCATTCGTGTTGGATTTAAGTTAACTACTATAGACTAAAATATTCAAAAAAAAGAAAATAAGATTATTTACTTTCTGTTTAATACATTACATCATCAACATCTACTGTGCCATCCATGTTCATACTTGTTGTTTAATCGAAACTTGAATAAGTTTAAAATCTAAAATTAACAAAAAAGAAACTCTTTTTTTTCTTCAAAGATAATCTCTCATTGAATATTTCTTTTTTATTTATGAGATATGATATATTTTAGTAATTAATCAAAATAAAACAATGTTAAAATAAAGTGTTGATGTATTCTTACGTGATAGGATTAAAAAAGGGTGAAAATGATACCAATTTTTCTATTTCTTATCAATTAAATAAAAAAAAATAACTTTTCCCTTAAAAATATTGCAACATTTGGAAGAAAAAAAAACGTATATTGATAGAAATAATAATTTGGCTTCCTTTTGGTAAAGTTAGGTTTAAATAAAATAGTGTGCAGATGTGAGTTGTTATTTTGTATTAATGTAAAAACTCTTCTAAATAAAATAACATTTATTATGATTATAACGAAAAGAAAGAGAGAGAATAATGTAAAATGCTGCCTAAGATAAACTGAGAAGGATTAAAATGAATAAAATATTTTATTTAACATGATTAGGTTTATTTTGAAAAACTTTTCCAGATGTTCATTTTCATGGGCATTTGACTTGTAAAAAATAATACACTAAATGATCCCTACATAATCTTCTGACGATTATTCATCGTTCTGTTCTTTGTATCGACTAATAATGAATCATTTATGAAATGAAAGGAATAATGACTAAAAATTAATTTTTTTTTGCATGCTCATAGGTTGTATATATGAGATATGAGAAGGAAAGTGCTAGTTTTTTCTTCTTCGGCGTGTACAAGCGATAGAAATGAAAATGAATTCGTATGCAGTAGTATATCTTTGGAGTAAGATGTAAGATCCTCCTCAATTGTCTGAAATCATTCTATGTAAAATATGAAGGAAGATTTCTTCTATTCCCAATTGAAAAGGATCCAAAACTGGCTGTGTAATGTTTTAGAACTTTTTCTTTGATGATCATCGAACGTCGATTAGGTACAGAGAAATCGATCTTTGATTTTGCTTGTAGAGGAAAAGAAGTAGTTCTCAATACAGTCTTAGCGGAAAATTATACATAAGAAAGAACTAGATCGATATTTATTTGTTTAGAATCAATAAATGAATAACAAAAAAAAATTAAATTATTAGTGAAGTTGCTATATACCAATTCATTTATGTAATATAATTAACATAGAACTATTTCAATGATTTGTTGTCTTCATTATAAATTCGATATGCAATATCAGTAAGAATATAGCCTAAAAGATTAAGACCTCTCCAATTTGTATGTGTTTTTATCATTGGATCATTTTCACATAAACCAACACCCCAAATACAATCTCTTCCTGCTGCTTCTACAAATAGACTGTTACGATATTTCAAAAGTGCTCGTTTCAATTGTTCATTTTGTGTAAACTACAATAAATCAAATAGAAATCTAGATTCTTATTTTTTACACAGACAATTATCTTACTTTGAGATAAACTGCATTGGAAACAATTCGAGTACGATTTTCATGCCATTTTTGTTGATCGAAATTTTTTACTGCACGTCCTAATGCTTTACATTTACCTGGCGTAGCAGCTCCAATAATTTTTCGAGCGATACTTTCGTCTCCAAACAATCTCGCTTTATGATACATCATATATTGTTCACTTGAATGAAACGTAACACCTTCGTCTGTGATTGAACAAGGATGAAAATTGCTGAATGGTGATGCAGTGGCATAGAAGAAATGGAATTGGTTAGGATCATTATTGAGAAAATATGCATGAACACGATTGACAAGTTCGATTTCAATTGGAGATAATGAAGACTCTGATCGATTGTTGTTGCTATATGCCATTACAGAGTGATTGTTATGAACCAGAGATCACGAAATAGTGAATATATTATTTTCGTCTAATACTTATATAATTCAAACTTTATTGATTTGTTTTTTTTGCTATGGTATTTATATGACTCGTGTGGCAAATATTTTTTTTTCCTTTTATTAAAAAATAAATGCTTACATTGTTGTTGTGTAAGTCAACGATGACATCATGAAAAGAACGAAAGAAAATAATTCCTTTCTTATGAAATTACTTTCCACATTGACTCAGAACTACCCACATAGTATGTATTAAAATATAGACGAAGGTGTACGCTGTAAAGTCACACGATGGGTGAATTCCTGTGTGGGATTTTTATGTTTCCTCTGAAATGACGCTTTTTTCATTCGACCAATCACAGAAAGTGCCGTTTGAAAAAATAAGTTACTTGTAATATTCCGATCGAACGAAAAACGTCATTCTTCAAAGTAAAAAAGCAGAGGTGAGTGTTTTACCGCTGAATAGAAAATAAGTTATGCATAAATTTATTAACCATCGATTTTTGTATGAATTTGCGGTAGGAGTAAGTAATGCATCTAAATTTCCTTTGCATGAAAATGTAAAGCTATTTCGATTAGTTTAAAAGATTTCATATTCGTTCACATCGACACTGCGTTTTATTGACATGGGTTACTTCTGATTAGTGAAGGATCTTTGGATTGTAATAGAATGGATAATATTCATTTTATTTTATTTTAGAAAATTAGAAAAAATCCAAGTCAATGCTTCCCGCAACGGGATCCAGCCGTAACGTCCAGGAAACTTTAGTAATTCCAGTGACTTCCAGTCAATTCCGGAAAGGATCAGTACGGAACAGGCAGGAAGTATACACGGAAAACGGAAGCAGTATTCTCGCGGGAATTCACTGGTACAGGAACCAGTGACATCCAGTAGCTTCCAGCAGCCGGAAAGAAAACGGCATCCCGCAGTTTCCACTCGGATGATCACGGAATCATAATCGTATTTAATCGGAAATGACCGGAGAAACAACGTAAAGAGCCGGAAATGAACAGAAAGAACAACGTAAAGAATCGGAAAGCCTCGGAACCCCCAATCTATACAAGACAATCAAAATTCAATTTATGATTTCGACTCCGATTTGGGTGTGGGTAAGGGTGTGGATGTGGCGTGGATGGGTGTCATTTCTTCATCTCACACTCCCACCGACCCACACCCTCAAGATTGAAGAGGTTTCACAAAAAATTGATACAAAATCAATGCATTATACATAGTCGGTCTTGTTTTTATTCAGATGAAATGAATATGAAAACACTTTTTATGATGTAATGTCATTCTTAAGAAATGAAGAAAATAAATCTAAACTTTTGCTCGACACACAGGGCACTGGTCACTTCCAACTAACCATGTTCCAATACATGATGAGTGAAAATAATGACTGCAGTTTGGTAAACCATTCACTGTATCACCTTCCACATAAGTATCCATACAGATAACACATGAATATGTCACCTTATTAACAAACTCTTCTTGAATTGTCCAGGTAGGCAAGTTTCCTGTAAATGTTGAAGATAAAGAAACAGTAGCAGTAGTTGTAGCAGCAGCACTAGTTGCACTTGAAGCACCGTTGGCGTTCAATCTTGCTAAAGGATTCAATACTCCATTCCTACGTATTTGTTGAATTCGTTCTTGTCGTTCTCTTTGATGATCAACAAATGTACCTGAAGAAAAGAAATAAATAGAAAAAACATTTGTTCTTGTGTGATTCGTGCCAAAGATGGACTGATCGAATCTATTTTAACTCTGTAAGAATCGACTCATCTCTGACTTTGACGACTACTTTTTCAACTCACCCTCAAAATTATGCCATGCCATCATAATACCTTCATCAGTGGGTAAACCATTTGTACTGAACACTCGTATTTCAACAACAAATTCTGTATTAATTGGTCGTTTACCATCACTTCGACGATTACGTACACTCACTCTCAATTTTGAATTTGGTACTTCCCATTCATACATATGTTCACATTTATTATCCTCAGAATCAGACCGTGAAATAAATTTAAATAAACCAACTTCCTTAGCTGGCTGTGTTGTACTATTACTTCCATGATAATTAGCAATCTCTCCTCCAGCACGTTTAATTTCATCGTTGTTCTGTGAAATTTCAAAAAATTGTTCAGCTGTCAGAATGAGTGTACGTCTTTCACCTGATTGAATAACCTTTTTTAATTCTATATGCACATCATTATCAATATAAGTTAAATTTATATGTGGAGCATGAACACCTGCACCACCAGGAAGACGTATTCTATTATTATCATGTCGTCTTCTGTTGTAAGAAAATCGGTAAGACATAAATTTCGGCATAATTTTTGTTTACAGATTAAACTTCGTATGATATTTCACTTGAAATAATGTTTCAGTTTTGAGACTGTGATGAAATGTGTTTGCTAGATTTGTCTCGCCTTTTATATTCACCTCTTCTTGGGAAAAAACCCAACAAAAGTTAGTCACAACACGTCTGACTATGTCTTTTTTTTTTTTGTTCCTTTCCTTCCATGCGAATATTTTTCTTTTTTATAAATAAAACAAGTCAACAAGAATAATTTTTTAATTTTATTTTTGAAGGCAAAAAGAAAAAATAAATTATTAACAGAACACAAGAAGGAAAAATAAATAAAAAAATAATTGAGGAGAGGGAAAATGCAGGAGTAGTTTTTTAATAACGCGAGGCCTTTCGAATTGTTTATCTTTTCAAGCGATTAAGGATGGGTGTGGATGTGGGTATGAACTAAACACCTCTCCATATTGAAAGCCTTCGAGAGTTTCTGAACTATCGAGCGCTTAATGTTTTTGGAGAAGACCTCTGTTAGGTTCTAACATTTTCTAAATTACTAAAGGATTTTGAGAGTTTTTAAAGAGTTATTCGAAAGATTTCGAGATTTTAATACTGACTAATGAGAATTTAACAGATTTTTACTTAAAAATCCTAGAATTATTATAATTTGACTATGAAAATATCAACAAATATTTTTAAAAGATCCATCAAAAATTCTTAAGATAAGGGAGACTTCTAACGCTTTTCAAGTCGACTACTTCAGGAGGAGCTTCTATTTAAATACATGAAGAATGGTACTGTAGTAGTATTGAGACTGAAGTAGATTTTGAAATTATATATGTGGTTTTTCTATGATTCTATTCAAATATTTTAGACACTGATACTCATATTATTTTTAATTAAATAAGAAAAAAAACAATAAGTTATAATTGAATATTTATGCAGTACTATTAGACAATGTATACTGAATTGTCACAGCTGTATCCGAGGACCAATCTCGTGGTATCGAATCTTCTTCAGTTGTTTCTAATGATAATGATATCTTTATTGTCATCCGTAATTGTAGAGTTGGTCGACCGGTATCTTTGTTAAGTAAGAATCCTTCGAATGGTGCTCGCATTTCAAATTCATTACCTTTTTCACTTCGAGAATAACTAATTACACCATTAAATAGTCAATCTAAACATCGTTTACTTTCACTTGCAGTTGTTTTATGTTCCAATAAATGTAATGCGTGTAAAAGTCATAAATTGATTTTTTTTATTTTCATGTTTTGAATAATTTACTTCCGTATCGTTATTAGCGGCATGATCAAGATAAGCATCTTGATTAAATGAACCATTAAAAAATTCTACTTCAAAATTCCCATCAAATCTTGGTGCAGCTGGATGATAACCAATAACCTGTTGTATTATTATTGTCAATATCAATTGCTGTTATTACATAATATCTTCCAGCTGACGATTCTGACGGATTATTTTTATCAAATTCATTTAATCCAACAGAAGTCTTACCAATAACTCCACCATCAACTACACGATAATAGGCATATAAAGATGTATCATCGTGAGCTATTTTAGATTCAACTATATTTACATTTGGATTATAAACATGTGTTGGCATAGGATCTGGTTGACGAGTATCTGCATCATGACAATCAGGAAATGTCAGGGAAGGAAACCATTGACTTCCATCATAACTGTACCAGCGATATTATCTTCTGGATCAGTACATGATCACATAGTAGTTTTTTATGTGACATACTTAAGAACTCCAAGATCATATCCTCGAGTAAGAGTACTTCGAGTACTTTGCTCAGCTCTGATCTAGTTGATTATACATAAAATAACTATCAAATATTGAAAGACATTCTATTAATTGTATAATATATAACATGATTAAATTTTTACGCCTTTATATATTTTTTTGTTATAAATAAATTTCTTATAGAAAATAATTTCAAACATAAAAAACGTTTACATATCATATCTATAATGAGAATTTCTGTTAGTAAAATACATTTGTATTTAAATATTAGTTGACTTTTTCTTTTAAATAAAAAAAAATAAAATAAACTAAACAGTTGTTGTGACAACAGCATTTGTTTTAGGATCATCTTTATTATTCATAAAACGGTAACGGGATTCCATTAACATTTTAAATGTTCCATTAGCATATGGTTTCCAACTAAATATCCAATGATGAGCAATAGCAAAGAAGAACATTTCTACACAAATTAATATATTTGATAATAAGATTTTTTCTTGTTCAACTGTAAATCCTGTTGTTGATCCATTACAATCAGTATTTGTTGTTGGATCACATAATGTATTTCGTAAAATATGTATTACTGCTAAACCGCTCATTAAAACCGATTGCCAAAAAATAAAAAATACAATTAATTTAATAACAATAAATTTTGCTAATGGTTTAAATGGTCGTAATTCTTCTTTTGTATTTGTATAAAATGCTATTAAACTATACAATGCTAATGATTGACTAATATTTATAATGATAGTTATATATAGATAACCTCGACTAAATTTCCATTCTCCATTTCCATAAACATCGGCTAAATTAAGAACAACAGCAACTCCAGAACATATTGGAGTAATCCAGGAATATTGTAATAGACCAATTTTAAAATACCAAACCCATTTATTACTTGGATATACTTTAATACAACAAAGTGGGACAGGAAGTTTAATTCGTTCTTGAATTAAAATAACTTCTTCAACACCACGATGACCACCGAGATATTTTGTTAATAATAAAAAAAAACAATAAATAATGTAAGCTTCATAACATGACTGCACAAATTCCATATAAATAGCTGATTTAAAAAATAAAAGAGATAACCATGATGTTATTGCATATATAGGAACCATACCTATAATTTTCATAATTCGCTTTTGAGATGGATGATGTGTTTTATGAGCAAAATGTTGAATTATTTGAACAAGAGACATACATGATGCAACAATAGCAAAAATACCACCAATAATAGTCATAAGACCTTGTTCATGAACAGGATCTTTATACATTTGCCATTGAACAGGACTATTAACAGCCCATACAATAATAAGTGAAAATGCACAACAAAGAATAACAAATATTCCCCATGTAACTTCATTTTTAATAATCGATAAAATTCTTTCACAACATGTAATTCTCTCTTGTGGACCGTTTTTTGGTAAATCTACGGCTGGATATTGTGTTTGGATATGGACTGGATGTGGATATTGATGTAACATTTCTTATGATGAAAAGTAATAATGAATCAGTTAATCGTGTCTACCACTAGTTAGTATATTTATCTGTATGACGAATAAATGTCATATACAGGTAATTATTTGTTTATTATAATAAGACAATTTGTGTGAACGCTACACTTTCATCACCAGTTGTTTGTTCGTTCTCCATATGCCATGGAAAGTTGCCAAATACCATTCAACGTCTTCGTCGGTTCTTTTATACTGTTTTTTTATGATAAAAGTAATGTAAAAAACGGCGGTCTATGTTATGTTTATAGAGAAAGAAAAGAAAGAATATCACTAGAAAAAATAAAATATTCTAGTCCGTTTAGTCAGATGTTGTTATCGTTACTGTTGTCAATGGAAGATGATTAGTCATAAAGTACGTTTAAAAAATGTTTTTAAAGTCTTACCTGTAGTATTGAAAAGAACTGTCTTAGTTTTACAAATAATTATTCATATTTACAATCATTTTTGTTATACATTAATCGATATAAATTTTTTGAACTACTCAGAAAAAATTATCTCTGTTATTCATTATAACATAATAGTATTTTTAAAAGCCATATTAAATAACAGAACAAGAAACATACTCTAGTGAAAGAACTCATATCAAAGTACTCACGCTAGAAAATGCCGCGAGAACTCATGAGTACTTATGTAAAACTGCCGAGTATTTAAGTACGATAAGGAACTACTCGTTTCTAATTTTACGAATACTCTATTGATTCAATTCATATACGACAATATTTGTATTAGTTTTCGATCATGTAACAGAAACAAGATAAAATATGATAGAATATTTTATATAAAAAACAAAGAAAAGACACTGAAAAAAATAAAACGATAGATAAAAAAATCTCCTTTAATTTTATAAAAAATTAAATTATCTCTACTGCAGTACAACTAGTTTGGCTTAATATAATCATGGCAAAATATGTAAAATCACGCATGAGTTATATAGTGTTCATTTGCATGATTCAGATGGTTCTAATAATATTGCCGTTGTTGTTGTTGTGCCTTGTTTGCTCGGGATCGTTGATATTTGTGCAAAGTGCGGAGTTGGTTTTGTTAATATTAACAATAGTTCTGCATAAACTATTTCTTTTTTGTTGCTTTTGTTCTATTTGTATAAATTCTAAAACGATAAGCTCTAGTGAACTCTGTAGTGGAAAACTTAAAAATTGTATACTGACCTTTAAATAAATTTTCATATTTTATCACCAATATGACCACCTTTTTTCATTAATTCTCTCATTACCATTGTTCGACGCGTTAATGTAAATTTAATTTGATTAAGATTTATATGAATAATTTCCTAGAATTGCAACAGAGATCGAATAAGGGTGTATGCAAAAAAACAAGAAAACTAAAAATAAAGCTTCTATATGAAACGGATGTGTCTATTGAATTTTACTTACAACTGATGCGTTTAATCGAAACTTCTAAAATTGTTTATTAAGCATCTAAAAATAAATCAAAGGCTAGATAAAAGCATTAAACACGTGATTATAAACAAACAGTTCTGGCGAGAATAATAACTGAGAAAAAAAAAGAATGACGTTATTTCGATATAAGGCTATTGTCTGTCTTCTATACACAGAAACACAACTCACGTTGCTTTTTTTATTATTAATTAACGAAAAGTGACGAATAATCTTATTGAACAAAACGGTTTTTTTGCAAAAATATCTAATCACATGGAAAACAACTTCAATTCCTTCTATAGAATATAAACACGTGGAAATCAACATCCAATTGTATATATTCTCTTTCCTCTCTTGGAAACAATATGGTCGTTTTGTCGTCTGATAATACTGAACAAAAAGGAACAGATAAAATACGTTTTCATATCTAATTATATTGTGCAAACTTTACTTTCAGATTATCTTTTTTTTTTATATTTTATATTTGAAAATGCATAACTGTTTTATTGAGTTATTTTCCAAAAAATAAAAGAGTACTCTAGTGAGCACTCATTTGAGTAATCTGAGTACTTATGCTGGCAAGTCGTACTCGCTTGATGAGTAGTTTCACTAGGGATATGTATCGCTGGTTAAGAAAGGGTTAATTATTAATATCAAGGGGGAAAAAGCTGATTTAAATCAGTTAAAAATCAATTTTTAATCAGAAAATCACTTTTTAATCATTTAAATCAGTTAAATCATGTATAAATCATTTTTTAATCATCACGACTCATGACAGAAACTTTGTGAAATTACTACTGTAACTGACATAATTAAAACACATTACGTTTATATACGTTATTGGATACACATATGGTATTGCCGAGCACAACAAACAGTTTTTCGGTTTGATTTTATGATAAACATGTGTCCTCTATAGTCGTAGAATATTTTAATATAGAATTTCTTTTTGTCCCTCCATTTAAAATTAAATAATACAGAACGAGAAGAATTTTGTTCGATTTGTTACTATTATTAAGGCGGAAAGATAGAGAGGAAAGATATTTTCTTTTTCTCGGTTCATTAACGTATATTCATCCACATCTTATCGTTATCACGTGCTCATTTCCATCTTATCGTTGTTCTATTCCGACACGTCCTTTATTTGCCTGATAACTGAATAGTTGAATACTTAAATGAATACTTGAATTCAACTTTCTACTATTACATTTATGAAGTTAACAAGATCACAATGTAAAACTTTTACCCAGAAAGATCATCCATCAAATAATAGTAAACAAGACGTAGACGACGAGTATGAAGAATATTTGAGTCAAAAGCAGTCTAATGGAAATAATAATATTGATGACTACGACGAATCGATATTAAGCGATGAATCGGATGCTGATGTTCTTCCTGATGTGTTGAATTCGACATTTCATGGAATGCACATCTTTGACTCTATCAACAGCAATCAAAGTGCATTGTTTTTTTTCTGTCGAAGCGAATGGACAAAAGAAATTTATGCACAAACATGCTGCAAACTGGTATTTTTCCAAAACAAAGCGTATACTATCATATGATCGATCAATTAGAGTTCAAGAGAAATAAATTTTTTATATCGTTTATTTTTCACAGATAGACAATGTATGTGTGTAACAAAAAACGATCGTTTCATTTTTCTATTTCTTTAACTGACATAGTTGACTAACATTCAGCTCATCTTCCAATCATTATACATAATCTTAATTGAATTGTAACTCAAAATGCAGAAAAGACATTTCATTTTAAATGTTTTGTTCTAAACTTATATACATATAGATTACATACATTAAATAAAGTATGGCATGTATATTTGTACATATCTAAGCTTTTCATATGTACCAATTGATTGCTTACTTCAGTAATTACTTGATAGATTAGCTGGATAAAAGACGAGTACAAGCATTCATATGCTCCATGTATATTTCTAGGGAAATAATAATCTTAAACCACCGTAAAGTCATGTTGTGGTGCTTAATTTACGTGAGTTTTAAATCACCTTAACTCAATTTAAATCATAAAAAATCAGCTTAAGTCATTTTTAATCACAAAAATCACCTTAAATCAATTTTAATCACAAAAATCAATTTTAATCAAAAAATCATGAATCGCTTTTTCCCCCTTGATTAATATTGTTATCATAGAAAACAAAAGACATACTTTTCAATTAATTTTTAATAAATTATGAAGAGCAAGTCTTTACTTATTCATACTTTTCATACAAAGTAGCTGGAAATATAGTTTGATACGGGTACGATTCTATTGTAAATGAACTCGACAAATCCAAAGTGAATGACTTCATCCTCTCCATCGATGACCACAATTTCTGCATAATACGAATAGAGTCATGGGTTCATCTCCACTAAGTGTTTGAAGTTCCGAATATGAACAATTATTTTTCTTACATTGTTCACATTGAATAAGATCACAACCAATACCATCATCGACTCCTAATAAACTTTCACGATGAGTTATTTCTTTCAACTTGTCGCATTCTTTCTTTAAAGTATCACTGATCATTTCTTGAGTAGTCATCACAGCTAATTGTTCTGGTGTTATAATACCAGCAAGTACTTTAGTACGAAGATCAGGATTCTTCGTATCTCTCAAATTAAATATTCGACTACGAATACGACGTCCATATTGAATTTTTGTATCTTTGATTTCTTTGAAAATAGCATCTTCAATACGAGCACATAGTTCTTCTGGATCACTCGAACCTTCAGGAATTGCATTGATCGATAATGCACTTACCAGTAATTCACGTGATTTGAGTCTTGCATTATCAGCTGTGTACCATGGAACATTACTATTCGAAATTGTCGATTGAGTAGTTGTTGATTTATTGTCTTTAACGAAAGAGTTAGGAAGAAGTTTTTTCCAGTTCTTCAATAAATTCTTAGTCATTGTAGCCAGATTTTCATTCGTAATAGTTCGTCGTAGTTCATTAACAGTTTTTCCAATACCAGTTCTTTGTAAAACCATCAGTGGGACGTGTAATTCTTCAAGGCGAACAAGTAATGTTCGAGCAATAGATTCATTTATTTCTGATTTATTAATCATTTTTTTAAACTTTTGATTAATTTTCACAATTTCTTCTTCCATCATGTTCTAAATTTTTAAAAGAAAAATGACGATGTAAAAGATTCTCCCAATACAAAATTATTAAAAATACCCACTGACGTCATCGGTAGTAGAATGAGAAGAATATGAGTCATCTTGTATGAAATTACACATGAAGGAAAGAAAAAGAATATGCCGTCTGTTCTTTATATTGAATTTTTTTAGTGATGTTTACAATTTTTTATTAGTTCATCAATTATACCGAGTATAAAATTAAAACTTATTAAAACGGCTTTTGTCGTTAAAATAAATTCCATTAAAGATGTAATCCAAACAAATATTCCATAGACACCCAATGGAATAACAGTTAAACATAATAGAATGACTACCACAAAAAATGCTTTTCTATTTTCACATTTTATCCATAAAATACCTTTACCATATCCATGTCGTCGTGAATCCCAACAAGCTAATGTCCATAGTATTAAATAAATCGTACTACCTAATGTTATACCAATACCAATATAAGTATGATGAAGTATGAACAATGATTCTTTCGTATGATGAGGTAAACATAATTGAGTATAATCAAAAATACCGATAAAATACGTTGGAAAAAGAAATGAACCTTTTTGAAGTAATTGAGAACCAATCGAACTGATTGTCTTAGTACCAAGAGAGGTTTCTTCTTCGACAGATTCATAGATATCATCATGTTGTGTATAGTGATCTACGATAGTTAAAACTATATCGAATATACTGATAAGTACAGCGACTATTGTAGTTAACCAATAGACTGTAACGAATAGAAAATTTTCACCTGTTTTACTTATAATATTATTGTATACAGTTGTTACATTAAAAGTAAATAAAGCATTCGATGAACAATTTATAGTTCCATTTATATTTTCTCTAATAATATAATAATTTGAAGTTGTATTCGGAACATGATATACTACATAAGATTCTCGTTTTTGATATTTATCATAATTTAAAGTATTTGAAATAATAAGATAGATTGTTAAACCAATATTGAATAAAATCGAAATTGGAAAAAGTATTTTTCTTACGAAAAAACTATGTTTAATATTATTACATGAATCACACATAATTCTTCAATTGTTTTAAACTTATGAGGGTATATGAAATTGTTGATAAGATAAAAAAAAGAAGCAACGTTCTCTTTCTAGTATTCAACTATTATCTTTTGTTTGCATGTTAAAATCTCTTGATGGACAATTTTCAATTAAATATCTTTTACATTTTATGATGAAAAGTGAAGTAAAAGAGAAAGTATTTCAATGTCGTTTTTTTTATGATTCAACAATCAGAAGCTTTATCGTCATCTTACAGCCGAGAGTTTTATTACATTATTCTGTTGATATCAATACCAATAAACCAAAGAAGAATATAAAAAGGATACATGTATTACATTTCAACAAGTTAAAAGGCAAACGATAGACAATGGTAAATATCTTTGCGATCTGTTTTATTCTTTTTATTAGCAATATTCAATTTGCGACATGCCAACAGACCAGTTATGATTGTGTTGGGAAACGATCTCAAATCAATACAGCAGAAAAATTATCACAATTACGGACTCAAATGAAAAATCTCGGTTTATATGCATATGTTATTCTTTCGGAAGATGAATATATGCACGAGTATGACACACGACGAGCATGGATAACAGGATTTTCACGCTCAATTGGTTCTATTGTTGTTACACTTGATCAGGCTACCCTGTGGATCGATGATCGATACAGAGCACAAGCGGAAAATAAACTCGATTGTGCTAACTGGCTTCTCATGCGACAAGATGAATCTGGTGTATCGACAATTGCTGACTGGATTTCTAGTAAATTGAATGTAAGATCACCGTACAATAAAGTAGGTATGGCTGCTCAATATACTTCGTCTATTTCTTGGTCATCGATGAAAAATGCGCTGATCTCACACGATGTGCCCTTAGTTGAAGTGGCAGAATTAATCGATCAAATTCGAATAATGGATCGATCAAGAAATTTGGACAATTCAATTTATGTTCATGATATAACATTCGCTGGTCTCAGCTGGAAACAGAAAGTAGAAATCATTGCCGGATTAATTAATGCTCAATCAGCACAAGGTTTCGTAGTAACAGCATTGGATGATATTCCTTGGTTATTTAATTTACGTGGGTCGGATAATCAATACACTCCATATTTCACAGTATAGTCGTTGATATTTCTTGTTGATTCATTTGAGAATATTATATTCTACATAGGCTTATGCATTCGTTCATGCCAATCAAACGACTCGTCTCTGGGTAGATGAATCTCAATTGACACCCGAAGCAAAAATACAATTAGCGGATGTCATTATTCAACCTTATGACGATTTTCTATCCAATCTGAATACATTAGCCAACAGCAGTGATATGAACAAGATATGGGTAACTCAAGCTGCATCGCAAGCGGTTCTAAATAGAATTCCTGTTAATAAGCGTTTTATTGCAGGTTCACCGATAGAACGTACAAAAGCTGTGAAAAATCCCATTGAACAAAAAGGCATGCGTGAAAGTAGTATTCGTGATAGTATAGCACGTATACGTCATTTGACATGGTTAGAAAACGAAATAAAAAATAATCGTCAAGTGAACGAAACACAAGCAGCTGAACAACTTGAATATTATCAATCACAAGAGGCTCACTTCAAAGGACTTAGTTTTCAAACAATTTCAGCAGTTGGTGCTCATGCAGCAGTAATACATTTTGAACCCGATGCCGAAACAGCAGCACAAATTACCAAAGACAAAGTCTATCTACTAGATGCTGGTGCACAATATCTCGATGGTACAACGGATATCACCCGAACACATACATTTGGAGTACCAACCATGGAAGAAAAGAAAGCATATACGTTAGTTTTACAAGGTAAACATTCAAAGATAGTATTAGTATTTTAATTAGTCAATATTTTCTTTTTTAAAGGATCCATTGATCTAGCTGATGCTATTTTCCCTGTTGGAACTTATGGTCGACAATTAGATATTCTAGCACGACAATCTCTTTATAAAAATTTTATGGATTACGCTCATAGTACTGGACATGGTATTGGTCATTTTAATACAATTCACGAAGGTCCTTCATTTATTGGAATGGGTTACAGTACGCGTGACATTCTATTGACAGAAGGTATGGTGTTTTCTGACGAGCCTGGTTTCTATTTACCAAATTCATTTGGTATTCGTCTCGAAACTCATATCATGGTTAAGAATTACACATTACCAAACAATTATATGAATTCAACTACTCAATTTCTTCATTTTGAACCGCATACATTCGTACCGTTCGATCGCAATCTAATCATATGTGAAATGTTAACACAAGCTCAGTTAACTTGGTTAAATTGGTATCATGGAGAAGTTAGAAGTATACTCGAGAGTACAGGTCGATTGAACTCGGACGAATTAAATTATTTGAAGGAAACAACACAACCAATCAATTGCTAACTAAAACATCTTTAAATCTGAAAATAATTTTTTTCTTTCTCAATAAACACATTTTATACTCTTCTATGAGTGTATACGAAAAATATCCTTGATGATATCAAACATTTGCTTTGTGTTACATTTCGAAAGTAACTATTGATATCTCTCATCTGGCTTCTTTTTTATTCTTATATTTCACGTTGGAACTTTCATTTGTCCTTTTCTTATTACAATGAATACTTCTGTCATTTTGTTAGGTTTTTGTAATGTCAAATGGTGTGTCTGGCTGCTTTAATTTCATAGTACACCGTTCAGAATATAGTTGATAACATTCCAAACCTAATTTAAAAAGTAAAATAGAGTAGTTTTGCCTAGATCATATATCACATGTTTACCTTTGGGCGATAAATAGTTCGGATCGAGCTTGCTTACGCGTGTTTTGAAAAGAGAGCATTGCGATTCACGAGTTAGATCCTCGAAACAGATGATAAACCAATTTAGACCAAGTTCACGTTCGAATGAACTGGCTCGTTCATTACTGATTAATTTTTATTTTGAATAAAAGTAATCGTTAAAACTAATGAGTTTTGTCTATTCTTTTAAGATGATCTTATTTTGAATATTTGTAGTGAATGATGTCTCTACTATTACAATAAATGATACATATATTCTGTTACTACTTTCAAGCAAAGACAGTGCATTTGTTTGATTAAATAATAAGGAGAATTTATTTTTTGAAAAAAAATCGAAAACTGATACAAGAATATTTTTGAAATCAAATAAATGTTTTTTTATTGTATTATAGTACTAATTCAATCGGATGCGAATATTTCCTTGAGAATTTCATTATTTTTGCATCTAAAAAAATGATCTTTAATGAGAAGAAAAAACAAATATTATTAATTACCCATCTACAAATTGTGTCTTGTTTATTTTTTCTGCTTTATCGACACCGAACATCTTAAAGAGACCGAACGCCATCAAATTTGGATCCAATTCCTTGGCTTTTTCCGGTTCCAATAATTTAAACTTAAAAACAGCAAGCATTAGTACAAAATAAAAACAATATTAAAAACTTACACTTAAATCAAGATATGCCACTAACTCATCATAACTTATTTGTCCGTCACCTGATCGATCAATCCTAAAGATGAAGAACGTATTGAGAAAATGTGTTTTCTACTATACAAGCAAATAACAATGAATGAGGGGAGGAAAACATGAATTATTGCTTGATATATTTGAGTGAATCTATTACTCACGCTCGGAAAGAAAATTCCAGTTTGTCATCCGTATCAAGCTTGCTGCACAAAGCTGTAGTTAAAATAAATTCACTGAAGTCGACTGTGCCGTCATGATTGGTGTCATATATGGAAAACACCGGGCTTAAACAAGAATAAGCATTACAATATAATCATAGAAACGTTAACGATACACATACTCAACTAAGAAATCTTCATTGCTATCATCAATCAATTTTTTATAAATTTTAGTGAACTGATTTTTGTCCAATTTACGTGATGGACATTCCTCTATAAATTCCTAAAGAAAAAGAAATGACATTTCAAAAAAGAAATCTTTTGAGAATGTTTCGTTGATTACTTCGTAAAGTCCTTGTATCTCTGAAAAAACACAAAAAATTTGATAGAGTGAATCGATCTCAATTTGACTAACCTTCTTCGCTCATCTGAGAAGCAGCCACGAGCACTTGCATCTCTAATAAATAAACTCTTTTTCTTACAATAATTTTCATTAATCAGCAAAATATCAAACCTTTTTCAGGAAGTTTCTTGTTAGCCATAATTTTGATGATTGAATTTCTTACTACACAGACGAATGAAAATATCTGAAATGTAAGTCAAACTATTTCATAGACATTCCTTTTCTTTAATGAGTGCATGTCGACAACAAACTATTTGTATTTATAGACGAAAAAACAGGAGAAAAATATTCTTGTGACGTTATTGAATTTCATAGAGAGAAGAGAATAAAATAAATATTAAAAAAATTGCGTATTTTTTCTTCCACCTGCTGACGAGTATTCACTGATTAAGATCTCGACTATAATCAAACTTTTCATTGCAACAGTTAAATAGTTATAAATACATCGAAAACAACATTAAAAGAAACGAAAAAGAAATACAGCTGCAAATTGTTGTTTTTGTCAATGGTAAGAAAAAAATGAAACATGAAACTGTGACAATTTCTAATAGAAGGAATATTGGTAATGATGGTATTGCAATTTTCATACAAAACATACAATTATATACCTGTCGGGCAGACAGACAGACAGAACGAAATGACATGAAAGAAAAGGACAAAATAAAATGGGAGCAAAATAGTGCATGATATATGGAATAAGGACAAATAGCTAAGAATAAAACATCAAATGAAAAGGAACAACAAGAACAGGACAAGCATCGTTACAGAAAAACGACATAATTATTTGTGCCCCTTGATCGACACAATATAATACGAAGAAAAAATGTCCTTTTTATTTTTTGTAAGAACAGTAGAACAAATACGATTATTAAAATGATCACAATGACATTTTCGTCGCAAATATAATTCTATTGATGAATGAGTTATTGATAACAACCTCGATTACTTCGATAGCAAGCCGTCGCCAAGCATAGGGCCGTGGATGGGTGGGTGTGAGATTAATATATACTTACACTTATATCCACAGCTATACCCACACCCACATCCCGATTCCGTCCAATGCCGAGAACTCGATCAACACACAACATAAAAGATCCATTCGAGATTGGTCGAGTTCGACCGATTTCGGAATTTCTAGAAGATTTTCCAGCAATTCTGGAATTGCAGAAATTGGTTCCGATTCCCGGAATCGCTAACCGGAATCACACCATCCTCCTCACCCACATTTGTGATGTTGTGCTGATAAGTTATCCCGTGTGGACACGATCTAATTCCATTACGGAATTCCTACTGATTTCGGAAACTAACGGAACTTGATCAATTTTCGAGTGGGTATCGGATATCATGTGTCGATCGAGTTTCTGGAATTGAACGGAATCGATTGCGGTGCGGAACTAGTTCCTGAAATGTTCAACATTGCGGAATAGGATGACTGCTCATAGTACAGTTTGAATTTTGAAATATGTCGTTGTAATAGTCTGTCATTGTTATTTGCTACCCTTTATCTTATTTTCTTATGATTAGCATTGAAGTCACCAGCATAAAATCAAAAAAGGAAAAGTGGTGGGTATGGGTGAATACATAAAATATATACACCCACCCACTAGATCATGTGTTTCTTGGTACAATCATAAAGAAGATAGAGATGATTTCAACAAATTGGTTCATTACTTTAAGAATGATTATAATAGTTATTACATTGACAGAAGCTTTTCAAGTTTTATTTTCGTATAATTAAATTCTATTTATAAGAGAAAATAAGTTGTCCTGAGATTGAAAAAATATTATAATGAAAAATTGGAGGAGGAGCTTTACCAAAAATCTCGACGTAGATATTTATTGACCTACTTCATAACACCAAAATGTATCTATTTCACATATAACATATATTTATATAGGACAGATAAAAAGAGACAAAGAGAGATGAATAGAGAAAGGATAAGAATGAAAGAATAATCGAAAAAGTCATATCATTATCGATATAAATATAAAATATAAAAAAAAAGAAAGGTCAAGATTTTTCTCACATGTCTTATCTTTCTTCCATTAAATGATAATAGCAGGTAAGATAATATTGAAAGAAAGAAAAAAAAAAATTCAAATATATATCTCTGATCAGTAAACTGATTTATATTGTCAAACAGAGTATGAACATGTCGGGGTCAATAAAGGGTATGGTAGGTTGTTACAACATGAATTCAAGTCAACAAATGTGTGCAGTTGAACTTTCATTACCATTTATTCAACAAGCAATCGATATTCTCGATTTATCAAATATATCAATGACACAACCATTAATTATTGCCGATTTTGGCTCATCACATGGTTTGAATTCAATGTATGCAATAAAATCGATTATTGAATATATTCAGAAGTCTAAAAATGAACAACGATCATTTCTTATTGTTCATAATGATTTATCAACAAATGATTGGACAATCCTTTTCGATCTACTCAATAAAGATAATAGTTATTATGGTTTAGCATCCGGTCGATCATTTTATGAACAATGTTTACCATCGAATTCACTTATAATTGGTTATTCTTCAACATCAATACATTGGTTATCATGTAAACCATGTAATATATCAAATATTTGTATTTCTCCATTAAATATTAATAATGACAAATTTAAACATCAAGCTTATCTTGATTATTCACAATTTTTAGAACATCGTTCAAATGAACTTATTCTTGGGGGTGTTCTTATACTTTGTATACATTGTCTCAATGATAAAGAATTAAATGGACTTGAAATTGCTCATCAACTTCTCTACAAATGTGCACAATCATTATTACTTACAGAGCAAGAATTACTTGATTATACCATTCCAGTTTATTATCGTACTTATTCAGAATGTATTGATCAAGATCTATTTAAGAAATTTTCATTAAAATTAATTAAATCTGATATGTTGGAAGCAAGAATAAATATATTAAATCAATTACAACAAGGAAAAATTTCATTAGATGAATTTGCAAAGGATCGAACTCAATTTGTACGTAGTTGGGGTGAACCATCATTACGACAAGCTTTAGAAATGAATAATAAACGTTCAGAAAAAGATATTCAAATATTATTGGATCAATTTTGGAAGATGTATGAAAACGAAGTAAAACAACTTTCAAATCAATTTGACACTTCATCTTGTCGAACTTATTTAATATTAAAAAAGATTTAATATGAACAATTATTTTAATTACTTTTAGATTTGAAACAAAATATATCATCTCACGAAAAATTAATCATATACATAATTAATAGAGCAAGTCTTAAATGAAAATGTTATTCATAGTTCAAGTTGGACCAATCATGTTCGATTAAACTTTTATTTTATGCATATTCTATTGTTATATATTTGACAAATAATCTGTTTATTCCCATCTATCTCTATTTTTCTTTTTTCAATTAAAAAAAAAACTTGTAATATTAAAAATACTTGATTATTGCACATTAGATTTATTGATCAGTTGAATCACAAAAAGATTCACTCTAAAAAAACCCGCAACCAGAGGGTTAATAATTCTCTTTGAATATGATTATGTAGGTTAAATATATATATATTTTGCTCTTATTTTTTATGCAAGTGTTCTACTTTACCTGTAGTCTACTTTTAAGGAAGAATGCAAGCAAAATATTTAGATCATTTTTTTAAAAATATAGAACAAAATATTTTATCAGTACGTGTCACAAGATTTTAAGACACAATCTGCTTTTAATAGCCTTGCGCAAAGTCCGAAATTTTATCGTTACCCTGTTATCATCCCCGTTAAATAGACGAAAATTAGACAGAAGTATTATTTTGATCACCAATGTTAAAATTACTTTCGTTTATCACAGCATTTATTTTGCTGTTATTATCAAGTGCTGATGCGATAGTAAGGACCAATGATCTTTCAACCAGTGAAGTTCAAGATTGGGCTGAAATAACGACTGCAAGATTAGTCGCTTGTTATTACGATAATTCAACAGGATTATTTACAAATGAATTAAAATGGCAATCTGGAAGTACATTAGAAACTTTAGCAAATTTTGTATCCCTTGCTGATTCACCTCAACGATATATTTTTTCAGAAACATTTAAAAAAACAGATCCATTTATTGGTGGTAATTGTTTCGATGATTATCTATGGTGGGCATTAGCTTGGATACAAGTATATAAAGTTGATCCACATATTGAATATTTACAACGTGCTGCACTTATTCACGATTTTGTTTCAGATCGAGCATGGATATCAACAACATGCAATGGTGGATTGCAAGTTTGTCCAACAAATACATATAAAAATGCCATAACTAATGAATTATTTTTATTGAGTAGTATGCGTTTACATCCGTATACTAAACTACTTGAAAAACCACCAACATATTATCTAGAACGGGCTTTGAAAGAATGGAAATGGCTTGAAAAGAGTGGAATGATTAATAATGAATATTTGATTAACGAAGGATTAAGGTAAAGATCTTTTATCTTTAGCATAATCTTATATTAACTGTTATTATAATTCAATCTAGATCATGTGTAAATGATAATCGAACTACATGGACACATAATCAAGGTGTGATTCTATCAGGTTTAGCATTACTATATAGTGTAACACATAATTCAACATTAATTGATATTGCACAAAAGATAGCAGATGCAACAATACGACATTTAACATATCCAAATGGAATATTGAAAGAAGCATGTGAACCGAAATGTGATACTAATCATAGATCATTTAAGGGTATATTTGCTCGAAATTTAGGTTATTTAATACCATATCTCACAGATGCGACACATATTAAAAAATATACATTATTTTTAAGACTTAATTCAGTATCTAGTTGGACTACGAGTCGATGTGAAATGGATGGATTATTTAATATATTTTGGGATAGTCAATTGCCTGATGCATGTGATGCACCACGAGATACTGCTACAACATCATCAGTATTAGATTTATTTATATCCACTGCAAAAACTTCACAAACAACAAGAAAAACAGCAAAATGGATGGTGATTGGTTTAGGTAATTGTATGGATGATAATAATGCTTCTATGCCAAATTTTTATCAAAATGCAATTAGTGAAGATCTCTGTCGTCAAACAGCTGATGAAGATAAAGGTGCTGTTGCTTATGATTATCAAATAAGTTGTACTGGATATGGATTTTGTCGTATACGTACATTATCATCTGAAAGTCATACTCCACCAGGATTTGAATATCAAGATGATGTTGCACGTCGTGTTACAACTACAAATAAAGTAACAATTGCAAGTTGTTATGTTAAAATAATTTAATTGCTTAAAAATTCTTTTTTTTACTTTTTTTTAAATAAAATTTGATTTGTGTGAAGATCTTATTTCTTATCACTGAAGAATAGCAAAAAATCTTATCTATTTATTCTTTTATTTTGACTGAAGAAAATGAGTTATTCTATTTGCCAACTAAAGTATAACAACAATAAGAACATTATTTTTTAAAGATCAATGTCCATATGAAAAAAACTAAAATTGAAGGTTACTCATTTTGAATGCTAATTAACATTTAATCTTTTCACATGGTATTTGTTCTTTAAATAGTGAGAATATTTCAACTAGAAGATAAGCGACAATAGAACCGATTAAAGCACCGAATTGTACATTAGCACCAAACCAGAACATTCCATTTGATGAGTGAGCACGAACATAATTAGCAATAACAAGACGAGGATAACCAAGAAGAAGAATGGTGCTCAACCAAATAAAAAGAATAAGAATATTGCCTTGCATGGTGTTGATCAGCGGTGGACAAGGACTTTTGAATGCTAGTATCAATTCAAAACTAAATGTAATCGATCCTAGTATAATCATAAGTAACAAATAACGTTTCGCGATAAATGGTTTAATTGTACCAAATAACCATACAAGTGAGAACATCCATGGAGAAAGAATTGTACCTAAATAAAAAATTCGATGACCGTATGGCATAAGAACATAGGCTGAAATAGATAAAACCATTCCGAATATAATTGAACTTGTATAAGCCGATCCAGATAAAAGCAAAAGATAGAGTACGGGAGTTAGTTTGATAGTATTATCAGAGTCGATGACAATATTCATTGAATTTTCACTATTAGTTTCTGATAACAATGGCTTTTTGGTAGCATCTTGACAACTAGTCTGGGCAATTTTTGTCCATTGTAGAAGTACGAATGCAATAAATGATGCAACTAATATGAAAAAAATACAAAGAAAATAGACTGAAACCGAAAAGCGAGCCGTTTTATAAATAGCAATAGTCGTGTCGTTATTAGATGAAGGAACACATGTAAGTTGTCCATTACCTTGCATCATAGCTAAAACACTTGGAATAACCATAGTAAGACTTTCACCCAGAAAAAGAGCACTTATAAATTCATGTCGAAAACGTGTCATATAATGAGAAAATGTCACCATTGATGTACAATCAAGTAATGCTAGAAAGAAGGTAAGAATAAGAAGAGCCAAACTACGATTTCGATTGAATATATAAGTTGTATCAGACCAAAGGAAAACAAGTAAAAAACATGATATCATACCAATAATCATAACAATATAATTTATTGGAATAATATTTAAAGTTTCTTTTCGATAAATACATTTACAAAAAACAAGTGCCAAAGGTGCAATATTACTTATACTAGAAACAAGTCCAATATAAGCACCTAATTTCCAACCTTCCGGTTGTGTTAAAACTATTTGAGGTAGTTCAGTATATATACCATTTATATCTGTCCAAGACGATAAAAGTACCAATGTAAGAAGCAAATAAGTCACATATTCATTCAACTTCCATTCTTTATTAAACATTGTCAAAAAATAAAAATAATAGTATTGAAATCTGAATAGATTAAACAATTTTTTTTATTATCGTATTACTAGAAAGCTCGAGTGTTATTTGTGTTTTATTTTACCGGATTGTATCAGTATCCTACTACTCGATGTTATAAAATGTACACATTATCGAAGGAAAAATGTGAAAAATCATTATTTTTTCTTTTCTTTCCTTCTTCTAATATCGAGAGAGACGAAGAACAGCTATTCATGTCATACAAAAGTGAAGGATACAAAATGTGAAACACGTTTTTTCATTGCCTATTACGTATTGATCCATTTTGTCTTGAAAAAAGAAGAATACGCTTCTTTTATGAATCACATGTCACATCTGTTCACATAAAAAGTACTGCTGAATGTATTTCAACCAAGATAAAAGCGCATTTTTCAACATTTATTCTTATAGAAATAGTCCCTCAATTATAAAACTATGATCTCTAGTATAGAAGTTTATATGACAAAAAAAAGAATTAACTCTTTCGCGGTGATTCGATTTTCATGTGTATTTACTTTTGATAAATGTACTTGTTGGTCGTTTCTGTTAGTGTAATCATTCCTTCGTCTTTCACTTATTTATACCACCACATAGACGCTCCTGTTTTACGTCAGAATGAAGAACTACTTATGTTTGTTTTTCTCGTTCTTATATGTGTTATGTAGTAGGAACCATATAGTGACACGAAATTCCGTTTTTTTCTTTTGCATTATCTTTGACTCTTTCCTCTCATATGTATCGAAACAACTGAAATTTTGAGCTGATTTACACGATGGGTGTAGACTCATATATCTGCATACTACATGCACACCCACCCTTATTTTCGAAAACGATTACAATAAATACTGATGTGTGAATTGTAGAACTTTTCATGGTACATCTTGTAGTATTTTTTATAAAGAATGTCCGTTAAGGAAACGGCGAAATAACAAAAAAATAGTTTTTCTCTGATTGCTGCTTAGTTTCTCGAAATTTTGTCCGTAGTGAAAGCAAAAGATGCAACTATAAAATGAGCGATTCTATGTATCTTTTATAAGAAAAATATATTCTGACTTATTAGGACAATTGCGTTGAATAATTATATAATTAACATCTCGTAATTCTAAAATAGTTTTGTTATTAATATTATTGAGTGTATTTTGTGATTCAGGGCAATAAAGAGAAAAATATTAGATAAACATGCACCAAATGCGACATCGATGTTCGAATCTTGAGCTTTTTTGTATCATCGTAAAAATATCATGCGGCATTATCTTTCTTTACTACTTCCTAAATGTAGCGAGCGCATGTTTTGCATAAAACAAAAATCAACGATAAAATGTATGGATTGCATACGTAGTCGAACTTATAGTGCGTCTTAGTACGGAATTTTTTTATTCAATAATAAAATCGTACTGAATATAAAAATTTTAATTTAAATATTATGCATAATCTGATGTTCCATGTACAATTTTTTTTTCTTCTTTTCGATTGATCTATTTGTTTATTTGAAATTAATTTAAAAATTTTATTATAGAATGTAAAAGAAAATTCTAAATGAAGCCTATGAAACTTTTCTATATTGTTTTACACGTCCAAAACTAATGTTTTGAACTTTGAGTAATTGCAATACATATAGTTCCATAACTAGAAATGGTATTATTATTAAATAATGAATTACTGTCCAGTGTATGAATACTGGTTTATTTGCCAATATTATCCATAATCGGAATGTTTTGTTGAAATTTATAATGTGGAGCGAACGTAAATAGCAGTTCGCATCGCATAATATTTTATAAGCAGAATATTTTTAATAGAGCAGTAAAATGTTAATGAATAAATAGAGGTTTATCATTGATAAGCCTTAGCAATGCAAGAGAACGCTGGCAGTGTTCGAACCATAGTTTGCAACAATAATATCAGGTTTAGTGTCATTATTCACATCGACGACTGCTACTGATACTGGGCTAGTGCCAACTGCGTAAGTAGTTTGAGCATTGAAAGTGCCACTACCTGTATTGAGAAGAACACCGGTGGTGTTTGAACCAAAGTTTGCAACAATAACATCAGGTTTGCTGTCGCTATTCACATCAACGACTGCTACTGAACGTGGATTAGTGCCAACTGAATAAGTAGTTTGAGTATTAAAGGTGCCATTACCTGCGTTGAGAAGAACACCGACATTGTTCGCACCAGAGTTTGCAACAATAATATCAGGTTTATTATCGCTATTTGTATCGACGACTGCTACTGAGTATGGATAAATACTAACTGGATAAGCAGTTTGAACATTAAAAGTACCGTTGCCTGCGTTGAGAAGAACACCGACATTGTTTGCACCAGAGTTTGCAACAATAATATCGGGTTTGTTGTCACTATTCACATCGACGACTGCTACTGATATTGGGTAACCGCCAACTGTGTAAGTAGTTTGTGCATTAAAGGTGCCACTGCCTGTGTTCAGAAGAACACTAACAGTGTTCGAAAGATAATTTGCAACAATAATATCAGGTTTATTGTCACTATTCACGTCAACGACTGCTACTGATATTGGGTAAGTGTCAACTGAGTAATTAGTTTGAGCATTGAAGGTGCCGCTACCTGCGTTGAGAAGAACACCGACGTTGTTCGCACCAGAGTTTGCAACAATAATATCGGGTTTGTTGTCAGTATTCACATCGACGACAGCTACTGAGAATGGGTTAGCGCTAACTATATACTCAGTTTGAGCACTGAAAGTGCCATTGCCTGTGTTGAGAAGAACACTGACTTTGCTCGAACCCCAGTTTGCAACAATAATATCGGGTTTATTGTCGTTATTCACATCGGCGACTGTTACTGCCTCTGGGTCAGTACCAACTGAGTAAGTAGATTGATCATGAAAAGAGTTGCAGGCTATTGAAAACAAAAATTATTTCAGCATTTTGACTGATTTATAGACAACGAGTCTTCGTTGAATTATATAGCATTTGCATAACGTTGCCTGAGTTAGGACTAAGGTAATGAACAGAATCGTGTAATCTTTTATTGAATAGTTTTGAATACTCTCAGGTCTAACTGAACTAATCTTTTTGTTCCATTTTATGGCTCTCTACGATGTGTGGGTGTGAATGTGCGTGTGCGTGTGGGTATCTTTTCTAAATTAGCAATCATATCCACACCCACACCCACTAACACCCTCAAGTTTTTAAATCTCATGAAACTATTTCTCTTTTCAGCAACTAACGTAAGCATTAAGCATTTGATCTAACACTCACCACTTGTTGTTGTAGACGATGATGATGTTGTTGATGTTGAAGTTGATGATGATGTTGTTGTTGACGTTGTTGTTGATGATGATGTTGTTGAAGTTGAAGTTGCTTCTGAGGTTGATGATGATG